CCAAACGCGTGATCGCAGCATTAGGTTTGTTTGGAAAGGTACGATCTTAATACCGGATATAAGGATATAAAAACACAATTGATATATTGTGTAATACAAACAGTGTCATCTATACTTATTTATTTATCTATACTAATATTATAAAGAGGCAGAGTTTGTTTGTTTGTTTGGACGCGCTAATCTTAGGAACAACTAATGCGATGTCAAAAATTCTTTTTGCATTAGATAGCCCGTTTATTGAGGAAGGCTATAGGCTATATATCATACTAGCGTCTCACCCTCGCTTCGCTCGGGTTCACCTCTAGAAAAGCACAAACAGATCTATCCCACGGGAACCGTTTATATTTCCGGGATAAAAAGTAACCTTTAAGTTAGACCTGCAATATAAGGTATCAGCATGCCAACTTTTACTAAATTAGGTGCATAAGTTGTTGTGTACTGAGCTGTATAAGTTACTATAGTTTTTTAACTATCCCACGGGAACTCTTTAATTTTCTGGAATGAAAAATATCAAATTTCATTTAAATCGGTTCAATAGTTTCAGAGATTAGCCCGTACAAACAGACAAACAGACAGAGAAACAAAAAAAATGAAAAAAATCTGAATTTGTTCTATTTCTCTCCTTACGGGATGTAAGAAGAGAACTGACTCGGTTTTTAGCATTTTTTCTATCATCTATGTACAGACATTCGACCCCTACAGTTTTATTATTCATATATGTATATTCAGATAGAATAAATAACGTATAATAAAACTGTACTATATAATAATGAAAATAGTTAAAGCGAGTGCACCTTAGGACATAGACATATACTATGTAGAACTTTTCTATAAACCTTTTTAAGACTTACAATTTTCTTGCACAATGTTTTGATCTATCTCTTAAGGTTAAACCAACGTTAGCCATATAAATTACTAAGGACGGTTCGATAGAACCAGTTATTATGTTTTCCCGTGGGAATGACTAATTAGCCTGTCGTAAAAGGTATCTTAAATGTTGACCCGAGTACTGAGTTTTATCACTATACAAAATTAAGTTAAAATCGGTTGAGTACTTTTTGCGTGAAACGCGCACTTTGATTTGACTAAGTTTTATTATAGGTATAGATAAGAATAAATATTGCGAGTGTAACTTAGGAGATAGACATATTATTCAGAACTTTTCTGTATGTATGAGTTAAGGCTTAGCCAGCGGAAGGTTTCTAGAGAGGACTCGATAAAACCAGTTATTTTATTTTCCCTTGGGAAAGAAAGATTTTCTTGAAGTAAAAGTTATCTAGGCTGTGGTAACGCGCTCCCTTGTGAAACCGAGTGAAGCAAGTAGTTCAAATCCCGGGTCTCGCACCTCTGATATTTTCATGTGCGAATCATTTCTAACACAATTACCATTTGTCTTAACGGTGAAGGAAAACCTGCATGTCTGACAGAATCTAGCAAGCTTTCGAAAGACATGTGAAGTCCACCAACCCGCACTTGGCCAGCGCGGTGGACTATGGCCTGATCCACCTCGTACTGAAGGGAGGCCCGTGCCCAGCAGTGGTACGTTAAAAAGGGCTGAATACATACATACATACAAAAGGTACCCTAAATGTTGACTCGAGTAATAAGTTACCACTTCACCAAATTTCGTTGAAATTGGTACATTACTTTTCGCATGAAACGCGCACACAAAAACAGGCAAATAGACATACAGGCAAACAGACATTTTTTTAATAACTGTTGTTTTGGGGTCTATGTTGTGTACATAATACGTTATAGATAAATAAAAACATCTATTCCACGGGAAAAGTACCTTTTTCCGGGATAAAAAGTTACCTATTTGTTATTCTGATGTATGAACTATATTATTGTTAAGTTTCATCAAAATCCAATCAGTAGTTTTTGTGTACTAAGCTGTATAAGTTACTGTAGTTTTTTGACTATCCCACGGAAACTATTTAATTTTCCGGGATGAAAAGTACCTGATTTGTTTTTGTCATGTATGAACTATATTATTGTAAAGTTTCATTAAAATCCAATCAGTAGTTTTTGTGTACTAAGCTGTATAAGTTGTTATAGTTTTTTAACTATCCCACGGGAATTCTTTAATTTTCCGGGATGAAAAGTATCTAAGGTGTTGCCCGGGGATATAAGGTACCACCATGCAAAGTTTCATTTAAATAGGTCTAATAGATTCGGAGATTAGCCTGTACAAAGAGAAAAACAGACGAACAGCTCGCTCGGGTTCGTCCATTCCTACGAATATGTTGTATTATCTCTTTAACCATTTGTCCAAATGATATGCAGTAAAAGGGAAAAGTCTTTTGTTTTAAACATTTTAGACGATAAATTTACTTATTTGGATAAGAATTCATAATTGTTGATAATATGACCAATAAACATGACCTACCGATTTAATATAATATTTTTTAATATAAAAAACTACTTTTTGTGACTTAAATATAAAAGTTAGACATATGCTGTCGCTGACTTTTTGTAGGCATTATTAAGCTCTACAACTTTTCTCTAGAACGTAATCATATATCTCTCATCGTTAAGGCAGCGTTCGTAAGAAACGTTTTCGTTCGACCGTTTTTTCTCCGACTTACTTTGCAAATCCGACTACCATGAAAAAGCCTTGGCATTCTTCGGGTTAATATATAGCCTATGACACTCAGAAAGAACGTGGCTTTCTATTGGTAAAAGAATTTTGTAAATCGGTTCAGTAGATCCAGAGATTACCCCCTACAACGTCACAAACTCACAAACTCACAAACCCACAAACTCACAAACTCACAAGATCACAAACTTTACCTCTTTATAATATTAGTATAGATAAATATATACCGTTAAAACGTAGCGAGTGAAAAACCCGAGCGAAGGGAGAGCCAGTCGCTAGTTATATTTATTTAGAAGCTTGAAAGGCTAACTTACTTGTTGTACCTAATTTAATATGCGTATAACTATTTAAAATAATGCATACATTTAATTTTTATTTAATGTAATTAACAAACACATAATAAAAATAATTATTTTATTCTACTTAATGACTATTTAAAATACTTAATTCAAATCCGCTAAACAAAATTGTTTGTTAACGTTATTTGTTTGTAAACTTTTGTTACCTAAAAAAAAAAATATAACAAGTTGTAACCAATAGTGATAAAATAGGTGACTCATGATATATTTGTGGCAATTAATAAAGTCGCTGGATAACGAAAATGAAGCTTTTAATAAACGAAACCCGTTTCAAAAGCCAACTTTGACTATGCATTCGATTTACCTACTTCAACTTTTTACTTATTTACATATTGTTCAAAATACAATTTCATTTATATTTGACAGACCTAATTTACCGAATTTCAAATTATAAGACCTAATTTACCGAATTTCAAATTATAATATATTATAAATGTGAAAGTGTGTTTGTTTGTTTGTCTTTCTTTCACGTCGAAACGGCTTGGCGGATGGGCGTGATTTTTTTGTGTAGAAATAAATGGAGAGTGACATAGGCTACTTTTTACCGGTGGAGATTATCTCTCTCCCACGGGAAAACACGTTATAATATAATCCAAAAAATATTTATGATCAGAATTACTTGAAACTTGGTATAAATACTCTTCAATACAATTAATTAAACACGTGTTTTTTGACATATTTCGAAATTCATCCATTCATCATTATGGGGTAAAATAGCGGATGAAAGTTTGTATGAAACCTACCATTTTAGAGTTTTTATTGTAGTTTTAGCGCGAGCGAAGCCGCGAGTTCTGCTTGCTATTAATAAAATATATTAAAACTTTATAATGTTAAAATAAACTTTATAGTGTCTAAGTATCATAAAATAGAAAAGTTTTATGAACTGTAAATATGCAACTAAATAATTTTAACACTAACCGGTATACTCGTATATCGCGAATTTCGTCTACCAGGGGGTCGGACCCTCACCGTCTCACCCGTGTGCAGTATTGATTAACGACACTTGTAGCTGCATTTAAATGGAATTCCCGATATTTTAAATTCAACTAAACACAGGTGCTCTTGTAACACGACACTACACGTACTTGTGTACGAATCATAATAAGTCTAATGCTAAGTAAAAGACTGACGTTCTTTAAAATTAAAATATTCAAAATATAAGTATTAAAATATTATTTAACTAAACTCTTCAAAATAACTTCAAAATTTAATAATTGGGGGCTAAATATTTTTCTTTGCAATATACACTTAATTCTTCAAAAAATAAATCTGTTTTAAAAAAAAACTTTAATCGGTTACAATTGGCGACAAATTTGTTTTACATACACAAAAACAAACCCTTACTCTTTTTTTAAGTCGGTCAAAAATAAACTTCAAGGTTTTATACATAAAATACATGCAACAAAAAAATTTACTTCTGTACATGAGGCCAAAACATTTATTTAAGATATTTAAATCAATATTCAATGGCAAATGATGTATTTTACGATAATAATTTCCGCAGCGTCTGGCAAGTAAAATGTTTAAGTGATGATCTCACTAAAACCTGTTAAACAATTTTAATTATCAATATCGACAATAGTATAAGTTTCACTATATTAGAAATAAGCACATTGTATAAATGCTGTTAAAATATGAATAGGTACTTAAATCATTTACTATGTATGAAATATTAATGCTTATTAAATCATTTAAAGTAAAATAATCAAATGTTAAAAATATTTAATACAATAATAATTGTAAAGTACTTTGGTGCTATTTTTCAATTTTGTGGATTCATTTTATTATCTGTGGGTGGGCTGTCTGTAACTACTATATATATTACTATAATACCTTTGAGACATCTAACGCCTTATTTTCTCGCGTGATGCTGTAGCCATGATTGCTGTAAAGCATTCGAAATGTCGAGAACCAAAAATCAAAATAAATCCGCGAAAAAAACCGGAAAGATAGTTTTATTACAAATAACAAATATTCGCGTAAATCTAAGACAGTATTATTTTCAATTTTACAATTTTACAAATATTATTTCTCGTTTTCAGACTTTTACAGCATGGTGCAACAGTCACTTGAGGAAGGCTGGCACCGGCATCGAAAACATCGACGAGGACTTTCGCAATGGCCTCAAACTAATGTTGCTGTTAGAAGTTATCTCCGGCGAAACCCTGCCCAAGCCTGACCGTGGCAAAATGCGTTTCCACAAGATCGCCAATGTCAACAAGGCTCTGGACTTCATCGCATCCAAAGGTTAGCAGATTATATTATGATCTACACAACGTTATACTTAGCAATAAAAATGCCGCAATATCCATATCTTATTAAATGTATATAATTCTTTTTTATGTGTGTTTGTCACCTAATTCCTCCTAGACGGCTGGACCGATTTGGATGAAATTTTGTGTGTATATTTCAATGGTTCCCTGGATGGTTTGAAAACACAATTAAACCCGGTAGGTGGTGCTGCGGTCGGTATGTCACTGATCTTCTCCTAAAAACGGCAGGGACGATTTTAATGATATTTTTTGTGTACGTTCGAGTGGGTCCCGGCAAGCTTTGAATTCACAAATGGACCCGGTAGATAGCGCTGTCGGTGTGTCATCAAATTATTATTAGTTATAACATAAAGCCAAAGAGTTTTTTTTAGTAGTTTGAACGCGGGCGAAGCCGCGGGTACTGCTAGTGATTTATAAATTTTCGTTGTACCTACAAGTGATTTTTTTATTAATAATAATTTATTATTAATATGTAGTAAGTAGGAAGTATTTGTTTTCGTGCAATAACAATACTTAATATGAATCATATGTTATATTATTCATGAGTATAATTAAGTTTTCGTCCAATTTGATCTTGTCACAATTGTATCTAGGTTTTAAGTTTGGCGCTTTTATATCCAGTAGTAGTGATGCTACGGCACGATGATATTATATGTGATGAAAACAATAGATAAATTTTATGCTAATAAATAATTGAAAGTAATAAAATTTACATAATTAAAAATAAAACTAATTCAACGTCACAACTATAATTCCTTCTCGTGACCATGGTTGTTGTAAAGCATTCGAAACGCCTGGAACCAGGAATTAAAATAAATCCGTAACTAGATAGTTTTACTTAAAATGTTTAATATTCGTATAAATCTAAGAAAGTAATAACTATAATTCCATGATTTACAGTACTAATTACATAAAATATAGATTTAAATAATTACCTACATGTAAACTAAACTTACGCAAATGTTAAAAGGTAGACCTGCAACAAATGAAATAAAATAAACTTTATTCAATTAGACTTATTACAAGTGCTTTTGAAATAAGTGTGCTCTCTCATTCCTAGCAGAGTATTCTGATAATAATGAATCATTTCGTATTAATTAATGCATATTTTATACCAATTTAAATAACTATATAAAATATAAATTATATAAAATATAAATATATATAAAATATAAATTGAGTTATTTCTTATTATTTTATAGATTTTCATATACGGTATACTTGACTACGAATAACAAGTTTATAAATGCTTTTCTTAAAACTGCTGCGATTAATTGGGGTCTGACTTAACTCTCGAAACCAGAACTCGAGGGAAGGGATGAGAAGAAGTAATGTGGACAAATATATTATAACGGAAATTCTCTTTTTATTTTACACAAATATAATAAAGATAATTTTTAGTATGTAGGAGAGGATATCTTGAACTATTCAACATTAATAGAAAACTGTATCCCTAAGTAACATAAACTGGTCCTTATAAATGAACTACGTGTTTTGGATGTCTGGGTTGAAAAAAATAATTTTTATTATTAATCTCGTAAGATCAATTTATCACATTATGAAAATAAAAATTATCCTCGCATAGAATAATGATTTTTTATGATTTTTCTCTAGCATCTATATTTATAATGATCATCATCATTATATTTATCTCGAAAGCTTTAGACATTCTGACTATAACTATATATATAAAATAAATTCTTCGCTAACTCTCTAGTCATATAATCTAAATGATCTCTAGCAATCTAAACTAATGGAGGTGTTTATTCTTAGAGCCATTGGGTCAAGGCGCCTGTCTTCAGCTCACTGCGTTTAACTGTAATTATTTGTACCTTCTGTTCAGACTTAATATTTTATACATTTTTTTCTGATATTTAATATAAATTGACATAATATCTGAGGGTATATAACACATAGTAATTGACTCCTTTATAAAGTAGGTTCTTAATATCACAAATATAAGACTAAAGAAACTATTTTTATGATTCCAGGGGTAAAATTGGTGTCCATTGGTGCAGAAGAAATCGTTGATGGCAATCTTAAGATGACCCTAGGTATGATCTGGACCATCATTCTGAGATTCGCCATCCAAGACATCTCAGTAGAAGAAATGACTGCTAAGGTAAAATACAAGAGATGTAAAAATTCACATGAGTCAACTTCTTGGACACTATCCTTAAAGATTTTACTGTGTTTTTGACTCATTTGACCTTTACTAAATAGCTTTGAGTCAATCATTAATTTACATCACAAGTATACGTTTTTTTTTATTTTCTTTTACAGGAAGGTCTACTTCTCTGGTGCCAGCGCAAGACTGCACCCTACAAGAACGTCAATGTACAGAACTTCCACCTCTCATTCAAGGACGGTTTAGCTTTCTGTGCTCTCATTCACAGGCACAGGCCAGACTTGATCGATTACAGCAAGCTTTCTAAGGACAACCCACTGGAGAACTTGAACACCGCATTCGATGTTGCCGAGAAGTACCTCGACATCCCCCGCATGTTGGACCCTGACGGTATTTTTCTTTTAATTTTATGCTCTATTAAATAAAGTTCAATTTAAACAATTGCATAAAGTAATAAGCTTAAATTCAAGATTTATAGATTTTACAAAAACTTATAAGTAAATTTCTGAAATTGACTGTGATGACGAATGAAAACAGCTTTCTGTATACTGTTACTAAATCGTTAAAGAATGAAAGCTCTTTAGTCAATTTTATCCAGTTCTTAAGCACTATCTTAAACTTTAAAACTAAACACCGATTAATTTAAAAATTAGCGAACCATTTCTACATTTCAAAGTGATAATAAAAAATGTAAACAATGAATCACAGTTGTAGTATACTTGCAGACCTTATAAACACGCCCAAGCCGGACGAACGCGCCATTATGACCTATGTGTCATGTTACTACCACGCGTTCCAAGGCGCGCAACAGGTATAAAAAACAAAATGGCTGCCAGAATTCGATACCCGAGCCCTAACGCCTTTGTGTGTCACTTATAGCATGATCCGAATGTTAGCAGTGTGTATGTAGGGGATATATGTTGGTAATGGGAGCTATATATTATATGGGTAGGCAAAATTTGTGCGAAACATTCGCAACTGTCTCTTAACTGTCGCTTAACGCTTACGCTTATCTATGATAAACACATTCTATTGGCTTTTTTATATATCATTTGACTGGTTTATTTCATGCCAAATACATCATGCCAATTTTGTTGGTAATATTTGTTTCATTTTTTCAAGCTCCCATAACCATCCTCCTCTACATGTGTTCAAAATTTCAACCAGTTTTTTTTAAGATTAAGGTTTAAGTTTTCATATGTAAGCTCTAAGGCAAAACTACCTTTTATAATGATATCATATACTTTATACGTACTGCAATTTAGATTACGTTATATTTTTAATAACAGTATTTTAGCTTAGTTTCGTAATTAACTCTTTAATAACGTTAAAATGAAAACCAAATCCTGGGATGTTTGTATTTTTTCGTATTAAGTACTCCTCATATTATAAGTTCATATTTACTTATTATGTTCCTCGTCATGTGATTTCATATTTATTACTGTTACAAAAACACATTTCAAATCATAATTTATATTGTATAGAAAAAAATATATCTCTATGTTTTTATTTATAAAATATATTATCTATAATTAATTAAAATTATTATTATTTTACAATATAAAACATGCATTTATATTATCATGCATTTATTAGCGTATCATTGATAAAATCATTTATTATAATTCGGGCTTATCATCATCGCTATACTTCTTGTATATCAAATATCAATGACCTTGATACAGTAATATATTTTTATGTACGTATAAATATATATTAAAAAACTGTCCCAATACAAACATCCCAATAAAAGCCGCATGAACTAACTCCATGTCGCTTGCGTGCACCGCTAGATCTGCAGAATACCGCGATGCCGGACGAGCGCGCCGTCATGACCTACGTATCTTCATACTACCATTGCTTCTCTGGCGCGCAAAAGGTTTGTGTCGTTCTAACATGTGCTTTTGTTTGTTTTTATAATTGAGGGTAGAGGTAAAGAGAACCATGTTATATTGGAGAGGAGGGAGAAAATGTATTTACCTGTAAGTAAACAAACACAACAAGTACAACAGTTCATAAATCCACCAGAATGGCGCTAGTGTAGCAAGAGGGTATGATATGAATTTAGCAGTTGTAAACAGAGTGAGTTGTGCCGAGTCGCAAAATTTAATATTTTGGGTGACTAGAGTAGTTATTGAAACTATTTACGCAGTCCAAAATAATTTAGTAAATATAACAGAAAAATCTGTGTTGATATAAACGTAGAGAGTATTGAATTTTTTGTAAACTTTTAATAATATTTTTGGCGTTTTTTTCAAAATTTACCAACTTGCTACCGTGGCGCCACTTTAATTTGAGGCTTTTCGAAGGATACTTTTTCATCAGTGGTAGTTCTCCTTACCTCTACCCTCCACAGTTTTTTTATTAAATCAAATTCACAGATTATCGATCATAGATTATCAACATATCATTCATAAAATTATTCAAGTATTACACTATAAAGCCAGTACGTGAATAATCCAGTTCAAGAAATTATTAATTCACTTTTGTGTACATTTTCAAATTCTATCATCATTGTTTTGGTCACAGACTTTTTTTTCTATTAAAATCTGACCATACGTGTTTTATTATATATCGTTTTGAGAAGTTAAAGAAAAAATAGTCAGTTGTAAGAAAATTATAGCGAGATAATAAATACATCATACAATGTACTATAATTTAACTCGTTTTATATAGCAGATTCAAACTTAATATTAATTTTACAAAAACCTTTGATTGATGTTTACTGTTGATGTGTTTTAACATTATTATGGAAGTTATTTACTCAATTCTAATATGTAAAATACGTTATTAAATAAAACTATCTTTTCGAATTATTTCGCGGATTTATTTTGATTTTTGGTTCCCGACGTTTCGAATGCTTTACAGCATCCATGGTCACGGGAGAGACTGAGGTGTTACATGTCTTAAAGATATAGTTGTTACAGACAGCCTACCCACAATCAACAAAATGAAAATTGCACCAATTACATTACAATATTTTAACTTTAAACATTTTTATAATTTTAATTATAATTGAATATGGAAAATTATTTATTTAATTTTTGCTATTATTTTTATAATTATTACAATTTTAAAAATATTAATTAGTAATCTATATTTAGTGTTGCCATTATTATATTTATAACCATAAAGAAAAATAATAATTATAGTATTAATTATTTAAGCCATATAATTGTTCAATGTGTAATTTAAAAAGTTAAAATTAATTAAGGATTATAATTTTAATTTAGTTTGCTATTATTTAAAAACAAACTTACTAAGCAACACTATTAATATATACTTTTACAAATCTAAGAAAGTATTATGTAAAATACGCTTTAAAAAATTGACATTCTACAAAAAGTATGACAAAGCGTTAAATAAAATGTAAGTGTTGAAATTGAAATAAAAAGTTAAATGAAATATAATAATTTTAGATAGTTTTAAATGATCTAAATCATTATTTTGAACTGGACTTACGTTTATACCTGCACATAACATTGTTTTTTTTTTGCTAAACAAAACAACTTGCTGTACACATTACATAAAATATAAAAAAATGACGTATTAATTATTTTCTGTTAACAAATCAACAGGCTGAAACGGCCGCGAACCGCATTTGCAAAGTTCTCAAAGTCAACCAGGAGAACGAACGCCTTATGGAAGAGTACGAACGTCTCGCCAGTGACGTAAGTATCATAAAAAAAAACATTGTTAATATAAAGAATATGTTAAGAAGATAATTCTCATGTCTTCTGATTTTTATAAATAGTTATTGGACTGGATCCGCCGCACAATGCCATGGCTCAACAGCCGTCAAACCGATAACTCGCTTGCCGGTTGCCAGAAGAAACTGGAGGATTACCGTACTTACAGGTAATTAGAAAAATATCTTAAAAAATATTTAAATGTAAACTGTTATTAAAGCTTCATGTTTTTTCATTTGTCCTGCGCACAAACAAATATGTATTGTGACAGTTCTTCTTATTATTAATATTAGAAACTGGACGGGAAACGATTTTTCTACCTCTAACGTAGTAAGTAAACTAGAGCCTAACTTCGCGGAACTCGTCTATTAATAAAATGGATATGGTTTTTTCTAGCAGAAAATTAATAGTTTTATATAACGAAATGCACTGAATATAAGTCGGTCAACTTGAAACGTTTTAACAAATGTAATATTATTTTCAGGCGTAAACACAAGCCACCACGTGTAGAACAGAAGGCCAAGCTGGAGACCAACTTCAACACCCTACAAACTAAACTGCGCCTCAGCAACCGCCCCGCCTACATGCCCACTGAGGGTAAGATGGTCTCTGTAAGTATCATGTAGGCAATATTTATTAACTTTTATTTAATTATATCTAATAATTAAATAATAACACAAAATTCGTCGAATTCGAATTCTAAATATAATAAAATCTATAAATCCAACTATATGGAAACATTTGCCAGTTCTTTAAAATTGTTTACAATTATCACGTCAAATAGGTTATATAATAAGTATCGTTAGCTATAAATGAAGTGGTTAAGCAACTATACATATATGTTATAATACTCGTATATAATATAAACATTTGTCGTCATTTAAAACAGGACATCGCTCAAGCATGGAAGGGTCTGGAAATCGCCGAAAAAGCATTCGAGGAGTGGCTCTTGAGTGAAATGATGCGCCTTGAGCGTCTTGAATATCTTGCGCAAAAGTTCAAGCACAAGGCTGACATCCACGAAGACTGGACCAGAGGTATTTTTAAAAATTAAAATAATACTAATATATTATATTTAAATATCTATCAAATATAGCATAAGAATCACAATCTACTTTAATATTTTTTTCATCCGGCTTGAAGGACCAAAATACAATTTTCTAAATAAAATTAGTAAAAATTATGTTATTATTTATACTAGCTAAATTTAAACTCTTTATCGAATTCGCTACACTAAACAATTTCCCAATAGGTAAAGAGGAGATGCTACAATCGCAAGACTTCAGACAATGCAAGTTGTATGACATCAAGGCGCTTAAGAAGAAACATGAAGCCTTCGAGTCGGATCTCGCGGCGCACCAGGACCGCGTCGAACAGATCGCTGCTATCGCACAGGAGCTAAAGTACGTGATTTGTTCTGGTATTCAAATTAAATTATAATTTTATTCAGTACGTAACGTTTTTAGAAACTTACATTTCAATAAACGAATTGACGAGAAGGAATTTTGATTATGTATTGTATTTTTCGTAATAAAGGATATCAATATTTTTCAATTCATCTTAAATTGGAAGGGAACCATTTGTTCGTTCGTTTGGAAGCGAACCGGACTATTGAATTAACCACACGAGGCGATTACTCGGGACAACGCTGCAAAACGTCATAACATGCTTGTTCAAATATTATTTTGTTAAATCAGGAAAAATTCGAAATATACACGAAATCTCTTGATCTGATGTTTAAATGAAACTATTTTTTTGTATTTTGTTGCTTTTTATTTTGAATTTTGTTCCCGAAGTTTCGTATGCTTACCAACAAACCACAAATCACAGAAACATTTAAAATGTCAAATAATGGTGTAAATCTAAGAAGTATTTTCTGGCGGAATGTATTGCGTCTGTTTACACAGCTCAAAGCCATGAAGAAAAAAATGAAGTACTTTATTTCGATAGTTCAAAAATATTTTAAAACTAAATTGATTACTATATTTATGTTTATGTATATGTGCAGTACTCTAGAGTACCACGAGGTGGCGTCCGTGAACGCGCGCTGCCAGCGCATCTGCGGGCAGTGGGACCGGCTGGGCGCGCTCACGCAGCGCCGCCGCCTCGCGCTGGACGACGCCGAGCGCGTGCTCGAACAGATCGACCTGCTGCACCTAGAGTTCGCCAAGCGCGCCGCGCCCTTCAATAACTGGTGAGCGACCGGTTATCATTCTATCGTCGATATCGATAATAGAAAACTAATCGAATTGCTATTATAATTGCGAAAATTCGTATCAGTTTGTTAGTATGCGCACATGTGTGCGTGGGTTAACACTTATATTTTTTAGGGTATGATCTTGCCAGTTGTAAGCTTACTTGGTGGCTTACCCTTGTTTAAGTCAAAACTGATGTTTTAAACTCTTATGATCTCTTGATGATTTAGGCTCATAACTCATGTGTTGTTGATTTCAAATTATCATCCAAAAATAAGTATGTCAATATTTTTTCATTTCTAATATAAAAGGAAAATATATACATTATACATACATTTTTATACATATTTTTTATATATTTAACTCTTACTACTACTCTTACTATTAGTAATATAAAAACACTTATTTTTACAAAGTTTTATTTATGTATATGATGTATATTTTATAAAACAATGATTGTGTCAGGCTGGACGGCACCCGCGAGGACCTGGTGGACATGTTCATAGTGCACACCATCGAGGAGATCTCCGGGCTGATGGACGCGCACGCGCGCTTCAAGGCCACGCTGGGCGAAGCCGACAAGGAGTACCAGGCCATCGTCAGCCTCGTGCACCAGGTCGAGGCCATCGTCAAGCAGCACCAGATCCCGGGCGGCTTGGAGAACCCCTACACCACGCTTACCGCTCATGTTAGTTGATTGCAGTTTTATTTTTTGTATGGAATTAAATATTTACATTGTATATGTGGTTAAGTTCCCACATAATCCAAAGTAGTAGTATTCAAGCGATATAAGTTCATTGTATGTATGGTGTATGATGTATGTTTGTCCGTGCGTGTGTAGGAGCTGAACCGCAAGTGGTCGGACGTGCGGCAGCTGGTGCCGCAGCGCGACGGCACGCTGGCGGCCGAGCTGCGCAAGCAGCAGAGCAACGAGACGCTGCGCCGCCAGTTCGCGGAGAAGGCCAACGCCGTCGGGCCCTGGATCGAGCGCCAGATGGACGCCGTCACCGCCATCGGCATGGGCCTGCAGGTACACACACACAAACATAGGTTGCCGTCATAAACAAAGGCCGCAACTTCGTCAAAGTTGATATCGAGATATTTGAAGTTTTGTCTTAATAATATTTATGAAGTAGTTTTGACGTAGCTACGATGGAAATGGTTAAGGTATCTCCGGATTCATAAAACTTAGAGCTTTATGAGTAAGATTATCAAATAGCAATTTTTTGCTGATTCCGAATCTGCATTTAAGTCGTTTTTACCCAATTTGTTAGCTTAGGATCTTCTTTATTATGACAGCAGTATGTGTTGCGTGTCGTTAGAGCCAGAGGTGGCGTGGTGTGGTGGCGTTTGTGTGTAGAAACGGACGCCACTCCTGTCTCTAAAAACGTCATTGACGTTTTTAATCTCATTGTTTATTTATAACAACGTTGATTCTGGATTTGGGTAGTTGACATCACCGGATCCACGATTAGATTTTGTATGGAAATAGCAAACTGTGACGTCATTTATTTGTCAACTCTATTTACTATTTATTGATTCCAAAGCAACTAAATATGTAATTTTACTATAAAACACTGAATATTATTAATTTATATAGTAATATTAAGTATTAATACTAAATAAAAAAAACAGGGCTCGCTAGAAGACCAGTTACACCGACTCAAGGAGTACGAAGCGGGCGTATACGCGTACAAGCCGCACATCGAGGAGCTGGAGCGTATTCACCAGGCTGTACAGGAGGGCATGATCTTCGAGAACAGGTTGGAATTTACATTAAATACCATACTTTTTAAGCTTTATTTGTAAAGTGGCATGCAATGCTAGCCTAAACAATCCTGATCTAAGTTGGTTCGCATTCAAATCATGCAGTGGATCATATAAAAATACGTAGAGCAGAGCTAGTGTTGTTTCTTTAAATTAACTCGGCTTATTGACATGAAACATACCTATGGTTTTTATTGAAATAGTTTATCTATGCAATAAAAAAATAATCTCTCTATTTTTCTAAACTCTTATTATCTAGCATAAAATATTTAAATTTCATTTGGTTTATAAATCCATCTCAGAAAGACGTTTTTTAAACAAATATTTATACAACATTATATAATATGTTTTAATATTACACTTACACAAAATCTGTCCAGGTATTCTCAATACACAATGGAGACGCTCCGCGTGGGCTGGGAACAACTCCTCACGTCCATCAACCGCACCATCAACGAAGTAGAGAACCAGATCCTCACGCGCGACTCCAAGGGTATCACGCAGGAACAGCTCACCGAGTTCCGCGCCTCATTCAACCACTTCGACAAGAACCGCACCGGTATGAAGTGGCTATGTATTGATAGGTCTATTTATGGTGGCCGATCGCAACTGTTAGGGCTACTATCTACTGTTTACCCGTATTAGTCAATAATGACGAAGTGTATAAACACTTTGTGTACGTGTCGCAGTTGGATTGCTAAATTAGTTATTTTATAGAACAGCTAGCTGTTTTACAAAACAGCTCCGTTATGTAAAAAAGCTTTTTATAATTACTAAACTTTAGTACGCAGAATTGCATGAACTTATTCCATTTATCAATACAGCGGCTCAACGATTAGAGATTATGTAAAACAGCGTGAAAGTGAACATCAGTTGTAGAATTTAATCATTTTTAATTTCCGATTAGGTAACGGATACGTCTTGGATCACGATAAGTTGAGAAGCCTTAACGAAAAGTTCGTGAGGTCTTAATGATTTCAAACTCAGAACCAAAAATCATATCTAAAAACTACTAGCGAAATGACAATCGAGCTGTTTTATATAATATTGGTGTTTTATAAAACAGCTGATTCGGCAATCCATCTGCGATAAAGCATTCTTGCTGTTGACATACAAAAACTTGAAACTAAGCGGCAACGTTGCGCTTGCGTCGCTGACGTGTTGATTTTGGAACGGAATTATCACAATTTGCAGGAAAAACCAGGTAGTACGACGTATTTTGACTGACTTGACCTAACCTTGACCAATATTTATCTCTTTTATGGAAAAGATACACAGCACGCTGAAAAAAAAACGTATTTCCGCCTTATCTAGAATTGTACAACATCGGGTAACACTTGCTGATTTGTAGTCGCTACGTATAAAAATACTTTACTAAAATAATTTTAATATAAAAATACAGGCCGTCTCGCCCCCGAAGAGCTGAAATCTTGCCTCGTATCGCTCGGCTACAGCATCGGCAAGGACCGTCAGGGAGAACTCGACTTCCAGCGCATACTCGCCGTCGTCGACCCCAACAACACTGGTAAAATATCATTTAAGCATGGAAATGATTGCTACTTTTAAATCATTATCATATGATAAAATTACGTATATTTTACGTGATTTCACCTGGCACCTACTTTTCACAGGCAATGATTTTTCATTCTCATCAATCATTTTTCAGTCTGGTGTCACACTTTATATTATTTGCTATTAAAATGAAGTATGAAATGTCACCAATGTTATTTATACCTAATTATAACGAAAACAGAAAACTTAACTAAATTGTTATATTTACACTAACTAGTAGTAACTACTATCTATATTTATTTAAATGTAATTACAACGAAAACACAAAACTTAAGTAAATTGGTATATTAAATATTTACACTAACTATTACAATGTATGTATTAATGTATTATCGCAATTCACATTTCACATCTATCTAATGATAAATCATTTAGCACGACAAGTAAAATAATATCATTACTGTCAACTATTGTTACTTTCATATTTCATTTCATTTCGTGATTTGTGATAAAATGTGACCTGCTACAAATTCAAATTAATAAGGAAATCGAAACTTTATGTTTTAGGACTTAAGGTTTATTTTAAAAGGTCACGAAGTCGTATTCGACGATATAATATTGTTTACAAGTAATAACGCATCAGCAACATATATTTTTCTCTTTCTAACTCGCCCACATGCCCATTTCATGCCTACTCGCTAGCTCTAATTAGCAATAACGAGTGACGACGATTTAATTCTACGATGAAATCCGAATACGATGTGTGATTTCACCAATTTCATGTGATTTTTCACTTGCTACTCGTGAAATGTTCCATGCCTAAATTATCATTTAATTACTACACCATGTATGTACTAAAACATAGTCTTATTTTTATACCGTTAATCACTACATAGTACAAAACAAAGGCTTCCCTATCTGTCTGTCCCTATATATGCTTAGATCTTGAAAACTACGCAACGGATTTTGATGCTGTTTTTTTAATAGATATAGGTCTTGAATCACTCATTCAAGAGAAAGGTTTATATGTATAATACATGCATATTATAGTACTGACTAACCAAGAAATTCAAAGATTTCTATTTCATATTAACCGTTAAAACTTACCTAGGGACGAACCCGAGCAAAGCGAGGATGAGTCGCTAGTCTTTTTACTATGGTATAGAAAGATAGACAATTGAAACCCCACACTTTCTTCGCACAATATGTATGATCAAACGTTCGTTTCTTACAGAAATCCAAACCTCTACCTTTAGTGTTGTAGTTAATGCCACGTGATCACACGTCTTTCTGGATTGTCTGTTAAAAAACATTAAATTTTGTCAAAATAAAAAATCCCACTTCAGTTTTTATTTTAGCTTTTAAATAATTTCTATTAATAAGTAATTAATATAGATAAAAAATAAAAATGTTATTTTTCATTACAGTTTTTATTTTTACTTATAATAATTAAGCTACATAAAATAATTTATTAAATAATTGGTCCCTAAAATAAAATATCTGAATTAAGTAAATATGTTGTAAATAATGGTTTATTTCTAGGCTACGTGTCCTTCGACGCGTTCCTGGACTTCATGACTCGGGAGTCCACCGACACCGACACCGCTGAGCAGGTCATCGACAGCTTCAGGATCCTGGCTGGTGACAAGGTGGGTAACATGTGCTACATGGCAAGAGCTTTTGTGCCATTGTCAACATACCGCCATTTTTATGATTTTCTAAACTTGCGGCGCACTAATAAACTGGTTTATAGGAAAAGAAGACTTAAGAACAAATTAAAAAATTAAACATAAATGGTGCCCTAAAGTGTCATATTTTGGATTTATTTCAAGGTTCCATAAAAACTAATTAATAACAAGTTAATAAGCACTAAGGTATTCAAATAATAGTAATCATATCTATAAGGTCATTAATTTCATTGCTCCCATTAATGTGATAATTTTAATTAAATAATGAAAATATCAGATTTTAATAATAAAATTCAATTTATTCCCTTTTTAACTAATAATAAAAAAATTACGTTTAATTGTTGTTTTACGACTAATCACTAAGAATAGATGCTTAATATTTGCATCTGGAAGTATAACCAATAACATTACCGAGAGATCTTCTCCCTGCCCATGTCCCAATAACTTGGGGTCAGCGCAGTATATGTTCTGTATTTCTGATAGGATTTGGAAAAAGTTTTACGTCCGGCCGCCTACCTGACGTCAACCCTCTTTGGGAATGCTATTGTTTATCGCGGAAGTCTTGTAATATGCACTTTCGATTTTTTTTCTTTAAAAAAAAAATTATACTATACCTACTCAAAGTTTTAATATAATTTTCGGATATATTTTGATCACACAATAAATTTCGTTTTGACGTTGTCAATTTTTTTCTAAATTCTAAATCATTTATTACCAAGAAATATGAACGTTATTAATACAACTGGTTGCCTATAACATAAAACATTTCCCCACAGCCGTACATAACGGCGGACGAGCTGCGCCGCGAGCTGCCGCCCGACCAGGCGGAGTACTGCGTGGCGCGCATGCCGCCCTACCGCGGGCCCAACGCGCCGCCGCACGCGCTCGACTACATGGCCTTCTCCACCGCGCTCTACGGCGAGACCGACCTTTAGGTAACACGCACGCACACGCACACACACACATATGGCCACACCAGATATACACACATGCACACGGACGCATCCCACACTTAATTAATATAATCCGTATATACAACTATTTATTTATTAGCAAACGCTATATAAGTTGAGTAAAAATGGCGCTCTTTCCAAATTGAATGAAACTGAAAAATGGTTTACATTGAAAAACATCCATAAATTTACATCGTACGACTCAATACTTAATTAAAATCGAATCGAATAATTAAGTCAATAATTTTGCCACTAATTATTTATAATATGAGTAAATTATTTCTAAACTTTATTTAAATGGTCTCTACCATTTACGACAAACACCATGTTATTTTAATAGCGCAATTGTTACTAAGAAATAAAATAATCTCTTGGCCAATGCCCAACCTAAATGTTCCTGTGCCAAACTTCATAGGCGTGAAGATTGCTATTTAGATATAAACATAACAATTTAATTACGGGCATTTATCACCGACCTTGAGTAGTGGATGAGTTGGTGAAGCATGTTAGAAGTAATAGGTTCGATTTCTAATCATACCAAGTATTTATTTATATTAAATTAATTACATATATAATATAGTTATATTTTTTTATAATTTAATTTTCCTGTCATATGTAGTATAAGTTTTTGTGTACAATGATATATTTATTTAAAATGCAAAAAAAACTGTCAAAAATATCACGTTCAACGTAATTTCTTCTCCTAAATCTCTTGTGTTTTCTAGATTTATTTAGTTTGTGTGCAATTACTTTAAATGATATGTTCAGACACAGGTCTAATCATCAGACATCATCTGAAACTCATCTGGCGAGGTCGCCCTCGACGTGACTAGAGAAGATCTTGGCTCAGAACACCGACATGGCCGATGCTGTTCCGATGTAACAACACAAAAATTATTTCCTTACTTTGACCTCCAGTCGCCCTAACCTGGTCAATTTAATGCAAACAATTTTTGTGACAAATTAGACTTTCAGTTCTGTATTAAAAAATGTGCAATCTTAAGACCAAAAACGCCATTAATTTTCCTACCATGTTCTTCTCACTTTATCCACTTTTGGCTCAAATCTGAAGAAATATCTGTATTTTAACTATACTATTTATATATTAGACTTAGGTATTTTTTATCTTTTGTATGAAATTATGAAGGAAGTCACAAATCAATTATTTGTAAGTTAAAGATGGTGCTAATGTTAGGCTTGACTAATGTGTTACACCAAAATAAGACTCATTCACATTGTAAGAATGTTTTGTTATATTTTATTTATTTATAAGCAACATTATTTATACAAGTTTGATTTTAATAATTACTGCCATTAGTAATTATAGTACTTTGGTAGGGACTTTTCACATTATCTAAGAATTTCATAAATGTTGCAGGGAAGTGTCACACAAATTATTTATTGTCATAGACCGCCATAACTTGCCTGCATCTATTTATTTATCACCTGAATATATCATGTTTATATGATAATCGTTTGTGAGAGTATTTTAGTATGAGTACTCTAAATAAATGATCTGCCATATTTTTGTCTTTTAATAATGACTGTGTTGTTAATCCAACCAATATTACTATGAGGAAGCAGTGGTATGTAGATTAAGAATGAATTATGTGCCCAAAAAGTATACTAACTCGAATGTACAGCTAATTTAATAAAGAGCTCTTAAACAATACTTTTTTATTTTTACCTAATAGAGAAATCTACAATAACATTTTAAAGAGGTAAAGTATATGAGTTTGGATGGAGGCGATAACCCCTGAAACTATTGATCCAATTCTGAAAATTCTTTCACTAATGGTAAGCAACATTACTGCAAATTGCTGATAAACTATTTCAACAATTTTCTGTTAAATGGCTTTAAAACGAGTCAGTTGAGCCAGTACTAAGCCAGTGACAGAATGGCAAACACAAGCAGCCTATTTTTTATTCTGATAAAAATGTGTTTACTATTTAAAATCATAATCATAACTATAATTGGGTTGTGGTGAAATGCTGGCCGTTAAGTTCCTTTATCGGCATACAAAAAACCCTGTTGTAGTAATATAACCCCATCTATTAAAAATTTTACAGTACATTCAATAATTTAATCAGGTGCATTGTTTAGAAAGGAAAAAAATATGGAAATGTTTTCAAGAATAATTATTTGCCAAAGATTTTTCACTTTATTTAACAAGTAATTAAATATGTATCATATAATTGATATTTTCAGCATATCATTGATAACAATAATAAATTACTTTTGCCTAAAAATTCAAAATCATATAATGAATAATTAGTCAAGCCCATTAGTAGTGTTAGATTCTTTTTTCTAAGAAGCAGATTTTCTACTCTTTGTTTTTAATGGTTAAATTAAGCTGCGAGTCATGATTACACACAAACCAACAGTTTGTCTTATATATAGACAGTCTGCAAAGAGCAGTCTTAAAGTACTAATAAATCTATTTCTTTATTAAAAATGTATAATTTGGTATTAGCTTTGAAATATTGACCATTTATAACAAATTATCATACCAAGCGGCATAATTTTACTTTCACCTTATATTATACAGAACAAAAAATTATAAATAAATATATTTACTATTATCAGTTCGTAACCAAAAAAGCGAGACTCATGATTTTATTTGAATACTTTAACATTTCAAAATATATGAAAAAGTAAAAATATAACATTTCAAATGAATATTATTTTATTAATGAGTCACTAATATATAGAACTATATTACATGCTACTTATTTTCTTCCTTTTTTGCTTCTTCCGCTGTAAGCAATGCACTTTTTATGCCAACTTTTTTAAGTTCTTCAACAAGTTCTCCAGACTGATGCATTTGAAGCATTATATCACAGCCACCAACAAATTCTCCATTAATAAATACTTGTGGAATTGTTGGCCAATTAGAATATTCTTTGATTCCTAAATAAATTAAATAAAAGTTGATTAGAATCTAAAGACACCAATCATTAGAAAGAAAACATATATATGATATAAACTATAGACAGAAGAAAGTACTGAGAAAATCCTTAACATATGTAAATTTTAAAAGAGTACTGATTTATTTTAAATAAATGGAACAATTATATAATTTAGATACAAGTAAACCAACCTTGCCTAAGGTTCTCATCTGATAATACATCATGACTTTCATATGGCACAGCGTGCATTCTCATTATTTGAACAACCGCATTACTAAAACCACAACGTGGAGCATCTGGAACACCTTTCATAAAAACAACTACTTTATTATTCTTCACAATTTTGTCGATTTTCTCATTGATCGGCGCATCGGCTAATAATCGAGTAGATAACTTAAATGTCGTATTACAGAATGGCATAAAGCTTCTTCTTATTAATGTATTCATTATTTATCTTTGAAGACTATTCTTCAAGTTAAATATAATTATTTCAATCTTAAATTGAAAAGAATTGATTCTGATGAAAATTGAAAATATAGGAAAATTCACGGCTATCAAATGTCAACGCAAGGCTATCCGCTGTCAGTGTCAATGTCACGACTCACGACCATGGATGACAAATAAAAGTCACGACTCACGAGCACGGAGCACCTTTCAAAATCAAACTATCAAGCATGATAATTTTAAAACAATAGTCTTAGAATTGTACGTCTACAAAAAACATAATATAAAAACAAATAATGTTCTAGTTAAATAAAGATCCTAGTGGCACAATAAAGCAGCGATTAACAATATAGTATATATATAACAATATAGTTTAAGGGAAGATTTCTAGAAAGGAGGGCGCCACTCGTATCGCCTATTTACATTCTGTCTGAGGTTAGGTAACTTATTATGATATCTTTTTTGTACCTGGTATTTTTTGCTTCTATTGTGTTCGCATCTTACCTCTGTAGTGTATTCAATTGTACCCGGAAGTTAGAGCTGCTGAAGAAAAAATTGAGTGTGTTTGTGACTGTGGTGGTCCTGACTGACTGATGGACACACACAGCATAAACCGCTAGTCGTAGAAACGTGGAATTTGAATGACGTATTTCTTACATGATAATGACATCCGATAAAAAAGAAATTTTTTGAAATTCATCCCTTAAAGAGATAAAAAGGCGTAATAAAGTTTATATGAGCAAATAATTATTTATGATCAGAATTACTTGAAGCTTGGTATTAATACTCCTCAATACAATTGAATAAATACGTGTTTTAGAATTTTTCGAAATTCAATCCCATAAGGGGGTAAAATGGGGGATGAAAGTTTGTACGAAACTCTGTTATTAATATGTAAAAAAGTACAAAAAAAATATTATTCTGTAGACGATTTAAGAATTTTAAAATCCTTTTCTTTAAAATGATGCCACCGTTGCCCACATTGGTCTCTGTAATATCTGTGTTACTCTGTTAATATGCAATAAAGAATATATAAATGATGTCCACATAGCCTAGCCTCAAATACAAAGATTGTGATTTCGCCAATTTTGGTTGTCTTATTGCTTTAGCCCACATTTTTTCAGTTTTTTCTTTTGGTAACAAATGATATCCATTTTCTTTGTATCCTAGCACTGTACAATTTGTCATTTTAAATAAATTTTAAATAAAATGAAAAGAAAAACCAACGTAGAGCTTTACAATATACTGAGGGCTATAGTGATCGCGACATCTGGCGGGAGAAAAAGACAAAATTCTTCCCCCAATATACTATGGTGTCAATGTGGATTTTGTCCGTGGTGTAGTTAAATTTTATTCTCTTCTCTGTGGACTTTTAAAGTTTATGGTTTTAATTTATAAAATAATAATTGTTTGGGAGAGTTAGTTGATTTGTCTTTGTGAATAAAAATACAAAAATGGAAAACGCTGAAGAAGTATTACAGTTTCTTGAGGAGTTTTCGAAACGTAAACCCAAAACTATTCCTCAAGAACTTAATGATTACTTAGCGTATGTGGCGCGTACCGGTGACCCCGTCTATCAATGGGCTCTTGTTAAAAGTTTGTTCAAGGAAAAACTTCTAAACGTTATAACAGACTTTTATGAAACCTCTCCTGGTATTGATATTCCACCATATCCGAATGTTGACCCTTTTAATTACGATATAATGAAAAATAGCTTATTAGAACGACTCGATTCTTTTACCTCTGCACCATTTACTGTACAAAGAATTTGTGAACTTCTAACCTACCCACGTAAACAATACAACCGCGTGGATAAATTTATGAGGGCAATAGAAAAGAATATATTAGTTGTAAGTACCAGAGAACCTGGTCACCAGCGGCATCAAGAACCAGAAAATGGAGAGCCAATTGTTAACGGATCAGATAATAATTCTGAGTACAATGTAGATGTCGAAATGGAAGATATGTCTTGGAAAGAAAGTAGTGGATCTCGACAAAGCTCTGAACCTCAACCAGGGTCCTCTGATGCCCATATAACAGTTGACGACTTAGAAGCTCGATTACAAGCCAAGCAAGAAAACTCTATGGAAATTCAAGATAAACCAGTTACACAATATGAATCAGTTACTCCTCCAGAGTTAAATGTTACTGAAACTAATGATGAATCTGATCAAACTTCAAAGGATGCTCCACCAGCTGTTGCATCGACAAGTGAAGATGCTAAAAACAACAACTCTGAAGAACAACCTCCGGATTCAAAGACAGATATAGAAATGAAATCTGATGATTCAAATGAAACAGTAGTCATACCTGAAATAAAAGTTGATGATGCTGAAATGACTGAACAAAAACTTCTAGAACAATCAAAGAAATCCAAAGATAAAGTAGAAAGTACAGGAACGAAAATTTTAGAGACAAAAACCATTGATGAAAGCCGCTCTGATTCAAATAATAAAGAAGAAATTGAAATGAAGCATTCAGCAGAAATGTCATCTAGTGAAGAAAGCTCCTCATCTAGCGATAATACGGATGGAAACAGTAATTCACCGAAAACTGATCATCATATTGATATTCAGGATGAAACTCAAGTAGAGAAGAAAAACAAAGATTCTGATGAGTGTGTGTCTAATCAAAAAATCATTGACAATATCTCTGAAACTGAAATAAGACCAGAAACTAAGATGCAATCTGATAATTATTCTATAACAGATTTAAAATCTGAATTACCACAAGGGGATGATAATAAGCCCCAAGATGTAGAACAGCCTGTTGCAAAAGAGGGTAATAATAAAAAAGAAGAAAAAGAGCCAGTTTTGGCTAGTGATTCATCAACAAAAAGTACAAAAAGTTAAATTTTACTAAGTTTTAAAAAAAGTTCAGTGATCAGATTTTCATAATAAGGCCAAATTATTAGGATATCAGATGTTTTATTTCAGTGTATTACAAAAAAGTTCTAAAGTAACTTACCAATCCATTACTTTGTTTCTGATAAAATATGTAATTCTGATAAGCTTTGTATTTTGTATTAATTGTTAAATCAGTAAAATTACCATACGAAGTATACAAAATAGGGTGTTGAAAAATTAAATTGAAAAAACAATTTTTCATGACTGATTATGAAAATCCCTATGATTATTTGATTAAGTTGATTATTTATAACTATAATGACGTAGGTTAATAATAACTGAATTATAAATTAGTATTAAAATAATTTAATTATTTTTTTTTGTTTCTTTTTGTCAGAATATTACCTATACTTACTTATCTCTTAACAAATGTAGAGTTATCACAAAAAAAACGTGTGTGTATGTATGCTCGTAAGAAGTTATACTATATGGAGTAACAGGACAAAAATAGCTAAAGAATTCATCCCGTATGTCAGAACCTTAGAGTATAATAACGTATAGGTACTCTAAGGTCTCTCTGTAAAAGGAATGTAGCTAACTTCATCATGTCTTTTTTAGCTGTCAGTATAGGCGCGCTTCGTGAAAATTTTACTTATAATTTTTTCCAAACGTGCTCAAAGGTAGTTTATTTTTCTTTATATATTTTATATTTATATGTATGTAATAAATATCGATGAATTTTCATAAAATAAGATATATAGTCACGTCAAAATTTCACTTTAAATATTCTTTATGTGAATTGAATATTATCATTAAAAAACTATTAAATCTGAAGGTCTCCAAATAATACCTATAGTCATTTGGTACTCAAAAAACAGATTATCTTGAAAGTTTTCCGGGAGTTTTGTAAATAGGTGATTTTATAGATTTCGACGGGCTCTTTCCGAATTCCTACTTTGCCACCTCTTCTTTGCCGCTCGCGTCGCCGTATTGGGATTTGGGAAAATGGGAGTATAAAAAGTTTTTTGACAAATATCTCCTTTCCTACTCATTTGACGATGAAAATAGTCATAATAAATTAAAATAGAGACCTATAATTTACATAATATCTTTTTTTTGTTAAATGAATAATTTTAGCGTACGAGCGCGTAAAGTCAACTCTCGACAACAACACTCGTTTTGGCCAAGAAACTCATTTTCACACCATCATGATCAAATTTTGTGAATTAAAAATATTTATTTAGTTATTATAACAAAATTTAAATAAATCAATTAATATCTTTTATAACGAACATATAAATAATATAAATTATATTTCTATTAATCAGAACTCCAAGGATTAAGGCCACTAGAGCTAGCAGCGCTCATGTCGAAAAATAAGGAACGGCGAACGTCACGTTGCCGTAGACCTCCCGTCCCCCCTTGTCACACTCAGGAAGATTCCCCCCCCCCTTCCCCCCTTTATACGCGAACAATTTTAGTACTTATTTAGTTATTAATGCTACAAGGTTCTATATGTCATTAGCTACAGTTTTGCAAAAACAAACCACTAGATAGCGGCACTTAAACTACAAACTATTCAATTTTACATAGTTCTATGTTGTTTTTTTTACGTTAACAAAATAACGAAGTTCTATGTAAAAATTACTAAACTTTATTAAAATTAACATAGAATCTTGTAATAGTGAGCCAACGAATTATATAGGTGCTCTGAGTGTTAGCGTTAACACGTCAAGTGATCATGACCATGTCGATCACGACTTACGTGAATTTACTCCCCATTCAAACAAACCTGCATATAGAAGTTTTCACTTTAAAAATACTACAAATTGACAATATATTAATAAAAACAATTTCGTATTCTATGTATTATACCACTTTAATAACAGTTTAGTAGTCATCATTTGCATATTCGAAAGGCTCGCTTGTAACTTTATCTTCGGGACAGCACACTTCAATGTGCGAACATTCCCTGAAAATTAAATGAATTATTAAAATATTAATAATCGTTTTTATTAACCCCCGATGCAAAAAGAGGGGTGTTATAAGTTAGGTGTGGTGTGTGTGTCTGTCTGTGGCATCGTAGCCCTCAAACGGATGGACTGATTTCAATGCGGTTTTTTTTTCATTTGAAAGCCAGTTTCCTTGCGGTTCTTAGCTATGTTTAGTTAATATCGATCCAGCAGTGTAAGAGTAGTAGCTCTTTTCCAAAATGATGTAAGGCATTTTGGCGTATGATTACTCGATTAAGTGCTTTACGCGTGCCAGTTTAATCGTTAAATGATAATTAATTTGCGTAGGGGTTTTTTTAAATATTTAATATTTATGTTGTTATATCACACTACACTACACATTTGTCTATACTCTATACTAATATTATAAAGAGGTAAAGTTTGTGAGTTTCTGAGGTTGTAGGGGTAATCTCTGGATCTACTGAACCGATTTAGATGAAATTTAGTAAGAAGATATTTTAGACCCTGGGAAGGGTATATAAAGGTAAGTATACTTTTTATACCGGTAATCATCTAGGCATTCCGACCTCGAACCCAAGGCCTCCGGATGTGCAGCCGTACATGCTAACCACTCCACCACCGAGTAGTATAGAAACTGTAGATATCTATGGATATATTATATGATGAATTTACCCTTTGGAAGCATTTGGATTGTTTAACAATTCTTCTCTATTTTCGACGGCGCAGTATTCCCTTGATGTACAAACTCCAACCAAGTTATGGAAAGTGGTGCACGCTGTTGCCAACATTGGAAAACATAAAATATATTATAGTTATTTTGTTCTATAGCACATTTACTCTAGTATTTTTTTTTCACTTTTATTTCTCTGCTACTAGAAAATTAATTAATCCAGCTTAGCTTTAAATATTATTTATTTAACGCACTTGGCCAGCGTGGTGGACTATGGCCTGATCCCCCTCGTATTGAATTGAGGCCCGTGCCCAGCAGTGGGACGTTAAAAAGGGCCGAATACAAATACTTAGGTATTATATATATATATATATAATCTCCGAAACGGCTGGACTGATTTTGACAGGATTTTCACTGGCAGATAGGTGGTGTTATAAGGAATAACTTAGGCTACTTTTATTTTAGAAAAAGAATTAGGATTCCGCTCAAAAAAATTAAAACGTACCTAAGGGGTAAACGCTAGTCTATACATATATTATAATAAAATTCTAACTAAGTCAGATCTGTACATTAAATATTTTTTGGGAAATCTAATTGAAATAGACATTATTATCGATACAGAGTCCGAATATATAGTTTTTAGAATTTTTGTCTGTCTGTCTGTCTGTTACCGCATCACGAGAAAACCACTGGACAGATTTTGATGAAATTTGGTATCATGATAGCTGGTTATCCGGATTAACATATAGGCTACTTTTTACCGCGGGAAAATATCTCATTTCTGAGAAAAAATACTAAAACACAAAAACTGCATTGTAAGAGTATACTAATATGTCAAACCTAAGAATTAGGTTTTTGGTCATCTGAACGCGGGTGGAGCCGCGGGCAATGCTAGTTTTAAATAAAATCCGGAAAAATGTTTTTTTTTTGTAATTGAATGTACCGATTTACAATAATGATTTTATTAACATAACGAGTTGTTTATTATCATAACGAAAATATAACATGCATTACTATACTAACATTTTGTTTTGTTCATCTCTTTCTCCGATTGTTTTTTCTGACCCCCGACGCAAAAAGAGGGGTGTTATAAGTTTGACGTCGATGTCTGTCTGTATGTGTGTGTGTGTATGTGTCTGTGTGTGTGTGTGTCTGTGTGTGTGTGTGTATGTGTCTGTGTGTGTCTGTGGCATCGTAGCTCTCAAACTGATGGACCGATTTCGATGCAGTTTTTTTTCATTTGAAAGCCAATTTCCTTGCGGTGGTTCTTAGCTCTATTTGGTTAATATCTTTCCAGCAGTGTAAGAGTATCAGCCCTTTTCCAAAATGATGCAAGACATTTTGGTGCTTCTCGCGTGCCAGTGTAATTGTTAAGTGACAATTAATTTGCGTAGGGGGTTTTTAAATTATAATTATGTTTAGTAGCTATTGACGAGCTTTAGTGTCGTCAATAAAAAAAGTTTGGAAACGGTTTTTTGTAGTTATACTTCTTTTGGCACATTTGGAAAAAAATATGAGAGTAAAATTTTTACGATGCGCGCGCACACCGACAGCTAAAACGCGACATGATGAAGTTAGCCGATAACCATCTCTGCGATTTCCGTGAAAACTCATAACTATATTCAAAGTAGTTTCTCAAATATTCATAAATCTATAACACGTGTTTTACATCAGTGGAAATATACATTTATTTTTATTAATTTATCATTTCTTTTACAAACAGAGAGTAGTGACATACGGGATGAAATCTTTAGCTATTTTTGTTCTGTTACACCAAATAAGTATAACTTCTTTAAGTGCGTACCTACATAAGCACACACACAAATTTTTTTAATATACAAAACAGTTCAGTACAATAAAGAAAAATATATTATGGTCGACCACTGCGCGTTTATTTACTCACCGATAGACGTTGTTTTGTTATTTGTCCCAATTTGTAATCTATGAGTTTATACAAAAGTCTTAAAGGAGGAAGCACTTTCTGCTTTTCCCGAATTTTGTAAATTCCCAGACAATTTTTGAGATTTTTCTAAGTTTCAGGAAATTTACTAGCCTTCGTTCGGTCTATTATAATAGGTGCGTATACGCACCTATTTAAAAAAAGCCAAATCCGTCCAGTCGTTCTTGAATGATACAATGACAAACGAACAGTATTTAATTTTTATTTATATGTATAGAATGTCTAAACATATAATAAAATTCTAACAGAGTCGAATCTGTACATTAAATATTTTTTGGAAAATCTTATTGAAATAGTCATTATTATCGATACAAAGACCGAATCTATAGTTTTTAGAATTTTTGTCTGTCTGTCTATGACCGCATCACGGAAAAACCACTGCAGGGATTTTGATGAAATTTGATATGATGATAGCTGATTATTCGGGTCAACATATAGGATACTTTTTTAGTGGGAAAATATCTTATCTCTGAGAAATCCATACTAAACTTTAAACTATATTTTCAAAATCTTTGTAAAGATTTTATGAATGCCAACAAAGCAATATACATATTACCATTTGCCTGAAGTCCTTCTCTCACCAATCCACACACGATGGAGAAAACACTGAAAAGTATTATTTTCTTATTTTCCTATTTTTACTTGCATTTCATTATTATTTTTTGGGACATTATCACACAGCGTCATCTAGTTCCATGGTAAGCTACGAGGCTTGTGTTATGGATACCAGATAGTTGTTATACTACATACATATATAACTAAATACATACATATTATAAATATAAACACCTATGACTGGAGTACAAACATTCGTGCTCATCACACAAATGAATGCCCCCAGCGGGACTCGAACCCGCGACCGTTGTAAGCACAGCAAGTTGTGTCACTACAAACTAAGCCAAACGTGTCGTTATTATACAAGTATCCACCAACCCGCACTTGGCCAGCGTGGTGGAGTATGGCCTAATCCCCCTCGTATTGAAGGGAGGCCCACCCTGGGGGTGGGCCTCCCTTCAATAATCAGTGGGATGATAAAAGAGGATGATTACAATATATAATTTTAGCATCTATGACAATGTGACAATTTTATGAGAACGGATGCGTGGATGATTGTTACTCTTTGCCGCAAAAATTACTGAGCTACTGAACAGATTTTAATAAAACTTACAGTACAAAGTTTACAAAATTGTCACTTTTGTAATTTCGTCATTTTTCTTTAGACGAGGTTCTTTTATACTAGCGTCTTATATCAATATACTTAAATAAAAACTCTTTACTTACATATATCCGGAAACTTGCATCTTAAACGGTACCTAACTTGAGCTGTAAAATGAATGTTTAAAATTATAACTATCAAAAATCGTTGTATAAACGAAAAAAAATCACTTTTTTAAAACACAAACAGGTCCTAGTTACATCGCCTGGGTGCCTTAGGAAAGTTTTAGTTGGGATTTAGTGAGTAGTTTCTTTTTTAAAGTGCAATAGGTAAGGCTAGAAAAGCCTTCACTAACCTATTGCACTGTGGTGATAATTCCTGTCCTCAGATTATCAGTCCCTTGCCTGTCGACCTGAGGACCGACCTCATGATGGGTTTTACCAGCGATATCAAAGAATAACTAAAATCCCACGGGTTTCCAATCAACTGATATTAGGTAAGCTACAAGTAGTTACTTAGTAGTACTGTTCTTAATAGCTTTGTTATAATCACGAAAAATAATAAAATGGCAAATTTTACCTGTAGAAAAGTTACGTTATATCCAACTTTTATATGTGGACCCACTCTAATTGCAAATGTCATCAAAATCTATTCAATCGTTTTGGCATGAAAATCTCTACTAATATTATTAGGAGCTAAAATTTGTGAGTTTGTGAGGTTGTAGGGGGTAATCTCTGGATCAACTGAACCGATTTAGATTTGATAAGAAATTTGTTCAGAATATAGTTTGAGACCCTGGAAAGGACATAGGATATTTTTTATGGAAATCATCCTTTATGAGGATGAAAGTTTGTATGGGAAATCAACCTAGGGACGAACCCGAGCCAAGCGACGGTGAGTCAATGATAAAATGCAATTCGTGTTTGTTTTATTTTAGACTAGCATTGCCCGCGGCTCCGCCCGCGTTCAGATGACCAAAAACTAAATTCTTAGGTGTTACATATTAGTATACTCTTACATTGCAGTTTTTGTATTTTTCCTCAGAAATAAGATATTTTCCCGCGGTAAAAAGTATCCTAGGATCGCGCGCTACATCGCCCGGTTTATATAGCTTGAGCAGGCGGTCGAGCGATGCGGGGCAGAGGGGATGGACTCGCCGTAGGCATCTCAATGCTCGCCAAGCATTAAAAATGTTTCGCTACTAATTACTTCTAACAACGATATCTCAAAAACTATTCATCTGATTGATTTAGTGTAAAGAGCAATTTTAATCTGCATTAAATGACTAAGCTAACTAAAATATTCATTTGGATAAGGATTAATACCGAACTAAAGAAAATAACTTTGAAAATAACGTAATGTTTTTAATTAAAAATGTTAACATAAAAGTGGTTATTGTAAGTCAACCGTAAGAGATAGAGATATGCTATCGCGGACTTTTTTGTAGCATTTTTATAGATTTTGAATTCTCTAGTACATTACTTAACTGTATCTTTGCTAGTTTACGCGGCGTTCGCGTGGAAAGTTCCCATTTGGCGAGATTTTTTGCGACCTCTTCAACATTTGTCGCCGTATTTCAGCTAATTTACATAAAAGCATAATAAATTATATACCTAAACCTTCCTCAAGAATTACTCTTTCTATTGTTGAAAACCGTATAAAAATCCGTTCAGTAGTTTTCGAGTTTATCGCGTACAGACAGACAGGAGGACAGAAAGACGCGGCCGGGGGACTTATTTTTATAATAAGTATAGATAGATACATATTGACGAATTTAACGTAAGTTTGAATCAAAACTTACCACGACACAAAATATTTAATGTATTTCGTACAACGTGCTCAGTACACAGTGACATTTTAATATATTCATTTGATATTTATATTCGCTAACAAATTGAGTTATTTGTAAGTTGTTATCAAAAATAATTCAAAATAATAAATGAAATCAATCGATTTCAAGGGTTTGCGTAAAATTATTATTTTATCATACAATTTTCTTCAAAGCGATTTAAACGACGACGACGACACGTTTGGCTCAGTTGGTAGTGACCCTACTTGCTGTGCTAGCGGTCACGGGTTCGAGTCCCACTGGGGGCATTCATTTGTGTGAATAGCACGAATGTTTATAATATGTATGTATTTAAAATTATATATTATGTGTAGTGTATCAACTATCTGGTACCCATAACACAAGCCTCGTAGCTTACCATGGTACTAGATGGCGCTGTGTGTTAATGTCCCAACATATTTATTTATATATAAACAAAATAATTAATAATTTATTATGAATATGGAGGAGAGATGTTTCTTTCGCATTTTCATTTAGATTATCATTTGTGGTCAAAACTTCTGCAAATATTCGTAAATAATCGTAGGAAAGAGGCATAGGTACGTTACATTCTACATTACTTCAAAATGGCCAACCAGCCCCATTTATTCCTGGTCATGGTAGCGGCCTAGACAACCCTTTTTTTTAACGTTGGGAAATGCATTTACGCACGACGTGTGGGACTCACCGGTGTAATACAGCCAGTACTACCCACTAAAACACAACAAAACCTTTCCCCGTCTTAATGGGTCGTCGCAGGATCGCTTACGCATTCAACTACGACGCCCCGACGGCAGGTCTGCCGAAGCAGACCACCACAACTATGGGGTTGCTCCAAGGTCCACTCTGCTATCAGAGAAATACCAGGAGCAACCCGCAAGGTACACCGCCCCCCGAAAAGGGCCACCTCCCACCGCCCACCGAAGTGGGCAACATCCTTGTGCGTTTCTTAGCTTCGCGCCCAGTTGGATTGCCGGGCACTACTGCCCCCCCCCCCCCACTACGACAAGGTGAACGCACGTTGGGGGGGGCTAGATAACCCTAGATTAAGTTAGGTGGGGCAGGAAATGCGAAGATCTTTGAATGAGATCAGGCTACATCGTGACTCGTACCTAGCTGACTAACTTGAGTAAGAATTGAGCAAGTTATGATGGGATGTCAGAAGTCTTATAGTGGAATTATCAGAAGTCCGAAGAGTGGGGGATTCGATAACGTAGAAATCTGGTAATCTGCTCTATTTCCGGGAGGGCAACCAACAAGATCAGGATGTGATCATGTTTATCGAACACAATTCTCTTCTGAACAAGGTGGTGATATCGGAAGCTTATCAATAATGGCAGCGTACCTTGTCCTACGAATAATCAAACGTTATTCTTTTAAATTTATAAATCGTCTACATCAATGAGGGTGTGGAAACTATGTACGTAAATATTAATAGAGTCATGCAAAGCTCCAAAATTGTATTTGAGACTTTAACACGAAATTATGCAAACAAAAAGGTGGTGAGATGATAGAGGGCCTTTTTGGACTTTTTTGTCAAAATTTGCGGGAACGTTTACTTGCGTGTTTCAGAGGAAGAAAAGAGGGACTCTTTATGATGAATTTCTTATAAAAGAAAAAACCCCAAAGGAAATGATGCTGTAACCAGAAACGAGATAGACTTCATCTAGTCATAGAAAATGCATTTATTCCATAATGTATCTGTAATCGATTCCATAAAAAACGAAAAATATCACCGACCGGTAAGAGGTACATTGAATATGTGTAAAAGTTAAATTTTCTTAACTTAGGACCACGTTCCGACCAGCGCAACATATAAATTAAAAACTCCGAGAGGTTTCAGCTGGAACTCCAAAACCGCTCCAATTGCAGTTAGAAAGTGACATAGAAATAGACTCAAAAAAATTCTGATCAATTAATTACTCTCAAGCTCATGTCGGAAATGTATGGGATATACTTGCCAATCGTCGGATGCAAATTTAGGCAACGAAAACTCAAAAGACATATCTTAGAAGTCCTTAAGACTTGACTTCAACACTTCCGCAACTTAAATACTGAGCGTATTAAAGATGCAGTTGAGCTTAAAGGCAAAGGCTTCAAGATTTTTTTAAGAATATCTCGATATCGGTCAAAGCCAGTTATTGAAGCTTAAATCTTCTAATCCTTAACTTGTAAGGGAAAATCATGAGATTTTATAGAAAGCTATTTACAATCAATGTGACACTCCGTCAGTCTGGGGGACAATTCTAGTGGCAAACTCTATCACGTTACGAGATTAGTGTGGCTCTTGGCACCCAGGTGCAGAATATGGAATTATGGCCTAACTTCTTAAGGTATGAATCCTTAAGACCAATCAGAAGTTATTTTCATGCTTCTCAAATGCAACTCGTGATGCTGAAATGTACAAGGTCAAAACTGGATGTGGTGAAAGTCTGTGAGGGGGGTCTATGTCCAGCAGTGAATATCTTTCGACTTAAAAAATGAAGACTTTTTTACATATGATAAATGTAAGTATTTGATCATTTTAACATACAGACGTCTACTGAATACTTACTTATCCCAAAAATTACAGGCTGCTCCCAAAAATTTTCATGACAGGTCTACTGCCATCCACATGGCACATCCAGTTATTACGACTTGAACCAAATCATCAGCCCACCTTGGAGGCCTTCACGTTCTGGTAGGAGTCTCCCAAGAATTAATTATATTTTTTCATTCTGCAATGAACCCCGCCCACGGCCACTGAAGCTTGGGGACTTGGCTTTTATAAACTTCATCTTTCTACGTATTTCCTATTATCATTAGCAAATCCTTACCTGTTACGCCGTTTATTGAAATTTATTTGGACTATTTCTTACGAGTAACACAGTGGAAAAGGCAAAATTGGAAAATAAATAGAAGTATAAATTAAACATTTTACTATAACTACCTTTAAAAAGAAAATAAAACAGCACTTTCTGACCCAAGTTATTCCACAATTATATTAACTAGGTACTATCTTCAATATTTGTTTGACATGAAATGAAACTTTATTTAAATAGACTTATTATAAGCACTTTTAAATCGTCAATTTAAATCAAAGAGCGTCAGAGTCCGTGAGGGAGCTACCACCGGCTCTGAAAGCCGTTCTGCTGACGCTGAGAGTTTAATGGGAAAAATGTATAAAAATAAACACCATATTAAAATTACCTATACAAAATTTTATTTCGCACAAAATTATATTATTTGACATTTTGACAATGAAACATTTTATTTATGTTAATTACTAAAATGAGGTACCAACAAACAAATAGTTTACTAACAACTTTTACCATGCCGTAAATAATCTCACTCAAATAAATAATAATAATATTTCATTTATTATTTTAATGCAATACAATAACTAACATTTAAATGTTACCATATTACACCGTAAAAATAGAAAGGATGTTTGCCCTAAATAAATTGAATCATTTAATAATATTTCTAATATCAATAAATAAGTACTCGATATATTTCTGACTAATATTCTAACACAATCGGTCTAAAGGTATACACCTACCTCACAATGATTATTCACGTCTTCAATCTTACTATGAATTGTAAAAATACTAACAAAAATATATTATATACAAAAATTACACTACCTATCTGATTTTATAGCGATTACTTCTTTCCTCCTAATACTTTAAGTTCATTGCGCAATATTTTGCCCGCCACATTCCGCGGGATAGAGCTTACAAACGCCACACCTCCCTCTAAATGTTTATATCTAGTTAATTTTTGAGCGACTAGATCATAAACTTTTTTTTCTGTAAGTTTTTGGTTTGGTTTGACAACGACAAACGCTTTAGGGACTTCCCCAGCCAGCAAGTCGGGCACGCCGACTACAGCGACATCCGCAACTTCCGGTAGTTCCATAATAACACTTTCTATTTCAGTTGGTGATACCTACAGATTATTATTAATGATTAATTAGTTTGTATTATCACGAATTATTAAATAGATTCTGAATAATTATAATATTATAAACGTTTTAGTTTACTCACTTGATTACCCTTAACTTTAATAAGTTCTTTAGTGCGGTCTACGATATAAAAGTAGTGATCTTCGTCGTAGTACGCGACGTCTCCGGTGTGCAGCCAGCCTTCACTGTCTATAGTTTCTTTGGTCGCCTTTTCATTATTCCAATAGCCTTTCATCACCTAGAAACCAAAATGTATAACAAAATTTTATAAATATTTAGAATCTCTTTAGACAGCATACATGTAAATTATCGTACAATAAGGTGTGAGGTGCACCAGACTGTCAAACGTACTTTTATGTGACAGTCGGGAAACGGATACAAATGTAACCCGTCACATGAAATCGTCTTTTTTATAGAAAAACGGGCAAACGAGTAAACGATCCACCTGATGGTACATAAGTGCTATCGTCTCTCATCTGCAACATAAGAGGAGTTGCCAATGCGTTGCCGAACTTTAAGAGATCTGAACACTTCACTCTTGAAGAACCCTATATTATAAGGCTAAGGAAAAACCTGAGGAGGTTGATCTACAATTACCACGAAACGTAATTCGCCACGAAAATTGATATTTCTTGACAACCCTCGCAATGGACAGCGTTTCCGTTAAAATCAGATGCCATTGCCTACTGTTTACTGTACATGGGACATTCCACGCTAAATCGGACGGTTTCAAAATTTTTATTTTTAATTTTCTTTTTCGAATTTTAAAAATAAAAAAAAATAATTTTTAAAAATCGAAAAAAAATTTGTAATTATGGAAGGCCCACTACCGGACTGGGCTTAAAAGTTGAATGATAGATAGAAGTTTAAAATAGAAAATTTCGAAAAAAATTGAATGATACACAGTTTTAAAAACACGGTTAAAAAATTAAAATTCATTTTTTTAATGTAAAGGTCAAAAACAAAAATTTAGAAAAAATAATAATAATTGAACTTCGACCATAATGGAGCGGAGCAAAAATGGAGCGGTTTTTTTGAAAATTCGATACTTTTGAACTAGTGGTCGAAAAATCTCGAAAATTACTTGGCAGCCTCTTTTGAGAGGTACTAAAACATACCATAATATTAAGAAAAATCAAAAATATTTTTTTTTGAAATCGTCCGATTTGACATGAAATGCTCCATAAGCTCGTACACTGCGGCGGTACCTGCGGGCCGCGCAGCAGCAGCTCGCCGGAGCGGTGCGGGCCGAGCGATTCGCGCGCGGCCAGCGCCAGCACGCGCGCCTGCGTGCTCGGCACCAGCTGCCCCACCGATCCCACCTTGCCGTACGGGTAGCTGTACGGCGTCATCAGCGTCACCGGGGAGCTCTCCGTCATGCCGTACCCTGCGACCGGACAAATGTATCGAACGGTTAATACTAAGCCTCTGATTCTTATTTCTCTTAGCATCCTTGGGCAGAGCTACAATTACTCTATACGTAGTCTATACCTACTAATATTATAAAGAGGTAAAGTTTGAAAATTAATTTGCAAAGATATATTAATGCATAAACGATTTCTCACGCTTTCAAGGCTCCTGTAGTTCGATGTTTCCGTTGTACTAATTTTATTTGCATTGAGGTCAGCGAACTTCCTTAATTTTAAATACTAAATTGATGAATGTTGAAAAAATTATGTTTCATTGTAATAATTTTATGTTGCACTAGCGATTTACCCTCGCTTCATGCGGATGCGTCCTTAGGTGTGGTATCATTATTTTCAGACTAAGCAATAATATCGACAGAGTGTCATAAAACTAAACATGAAGCCAAATAATAATGATCTAAAATAGTATATAAATGACAGTTTGTGATAATTAAAATGTTGTTTTTTGTATCTTATTTGAAATAATTCAGACGAGAAAAGTTTATTTTTGATCTCGGACAAAAAATTAAATTACGATCGAATTTATTGTCCTTTTTGGAAGTCGATTTGAAAAGAATTGAATTCTTACATAACAGAGGAAAAAGTTTTATAAGTTATATAGTAAGTTTTATTAACTTTTCAATGAAACCAGCCGTTTCGCACATACCTTGTAGTAATTTAATATCGTCTTTAGTTTTTTCACATTTAAGCAAGAACTTCTCCAGCATACTGTCGCCGGTGGGCGCGGCGCCCACCATGATGGTCGTCACCGACTGCAAGTGCTCTTTCTTAACTGACGGGTGCGTCGCCAAGAACGCGAGCAGAGAGGGCACCACGAATAACGTTTCTGGCTGATATTCTATTAAGCATTTGATATAATCATCTGGGGTGAATCTGAAAATAAATGATGAGTCTTCTTATAAAGTTTATATGTACGTGTTACCACCTGTGATAAGCATCTCAGGTGGTAACCGGTCGATTGTTGTCTCAATCCGAAGAAAACTCAGCAAATCTGATACTGCTACTTTACGTCAATCTTCTGTGAGAAAGTAGTAGATGCTTCCAGGTTATAATATTAATTCCTTTAAGATAAAACTTTTAAGATAATTTTCATTTCAACTTAAAGAAATGGAACTTACTTAGGAATTGAAACAATGTGGTATCCGAGAGTTAGGTTATAGTTAAGAATTCCATTGAAACCATAGATATGGAAAAATGGAGGAACGGTGAGAACAGTGTCACGTTTACCTGAAAATATTCATTTAAAAATTAATTTAATGATATATTATTAAATTAAAATATTATTCAATTAATATATAGAATTTTCCTTCTGTTTCTAATGGATTCTAAAAGATTTCGTTCCTTAGTTTTAACTATGACGGAGACTTTCACGACAGTTACGATAGTCGATACGATAAAGAAGTAGAAAAAAAGAAATTAATATGAAAATCTTACCCATTTCCCCTTCATACTTCATTAACTTCGGTGCTTGTACTTGTTTCAGATTTGTAACTAGGTTTTTATGAGATAACATGACTCCCTTAGGAAGGCCAGTAGTGCCACTGGAGTAAGGGATTAAGCAGACGTCATCACAGTTGAGATCCGGCAGATCAGCGTCGTGGTCAGCCATTAAAAGCGATTTAAGTCCGAATATACCTTAAACATTTTTTAAAATATACATATATTAACGTTTTTGTTAAAGAAATCAACTTCTATACTTAATATACCTTGATCTAATAATGTATATTAAGTATAACGTAAATTAATAATTAAGTATAAAGTATAACGTAAATTAAGCTATTAATTTAGATAATAGGTCTGCCTATAATGCCGTTATGCCTTACGGTGAAGGAAAACAACGTGAGAAACCGGCATGTCTGAGAAAACCTAGCAAGTTTTCGAAAGACATGTGAAGTCCGCCAACCCGCACTTGACCAGCGTGGTGGCTTGATCCCCCTCGTATTGAAGGAAGGCCCGTTCCCAGCAGTGGGACGTTAAAAAGGGCTGAACACAATAGGTAGGTATTTTTTCATCTTTCTGAAGCATATTTGGGCACAGTACCAATTATAAATACCTACACCCAAAAAGCCAATGAAAGTAATTTATAAGTCCGATGGTAACTTGTGTTAAAGGGGAGATTATTTTTTGTATATTATGCCAGTGAAATATTTATTTATTTTATTTATAGCTAACTATACAATATCGGTCTCTATGGGCATATAAATATGGTAAAATTGACAAACGACGAACGAACGAACAGCCTTGACTTAAAAATGTGTAGGTAAATTCGATACTTAATAAGTACCTAATACCTATACAGTAGCGATTGATATATAGTAAGAAAATATTCAGTTATCTCACTATATGTATTGCTGCTATTCGTCATACTCTACGTAAAATGAAAACATCTTATATCTTTTTGCAAGAAAATTCTAAATAGCAATAAGTTACTCTCAATAAGTACCTACACTGTGGGCCATCATGCAACTCCTTAGATTTTATTGTGATGGTAGAGTTATACCTATTAATAATTGGGAATCTTTAATTATGGTAGGGGAGCTCAAGAGGGGATTTTTGCAGTTACTCAAGCGCGGCAGATTAACATAAGAGGGGATTCCTTGCAATCTGCTGAGTACCTTTAACATAATATAAGTCCTCTGTATAAGGATGCGCGTCTAGGGCAGCCGATAAGTTAGATTTATAGTTGAAACCGTCAGATTTAGGTATGGTGGGCTAATTACATCTTGAAAAGGATGCAAATCAATAATCCACCGATTTGCATAAGCCGAAGAGGCAAAAGTCGACTTTAAAGATTATGTTAATTTTTGCCTCTTAAGATTCCCGTACAAGATTTGACATTTCGAAACACAAACGAGTTACATATTATCAAGTAACAAGGAAATATTATAATAATATTAAATATATACTTTATTGCACTAAACAAGTAATAAAAAAAATATACATGAAAATGATCTGGACAAAGGTGGAGTTGGTATAAAGAAGAATTCGCAACGAATTTCCTACCAAACTAGTGTGGTAGTTCAAAACGGGAATAAATTTCATAGTCTACACTACACGACATTTTAAACTATCAACCAAACTTGTATTAGGGCCATATATACTGCTTACTTACCTTGAGCCTTATCATCATCTCCTCCAACCCAAATAGTGCCTTTGTAGTCCTTAAGTGATTTACATACTTCTTGAGCTACAGGCATGAACATTTCAATGGTCGCAATCGCTTTTACGTTGCAATCTGTGAATTGACGTCGCACCTCCTCTATAAATTAAAAGTTTGTAATATAATTTTTAGTAAATATATATGAAATGGCGCTTATTATCTACTACTTACATATAAAGAACTTTATAAATAATTGAATTAGATTGGATACTTGGAGACCATAGACCATCAATACATGGTACCAAACACATTCGATAGAGATTTTATAGAGATATTAAAAAAAAAACGAAGTGTCTGTTAGCTGTTTTAAATCGAGCTTTTTTCGTCGAAAAGATAATATGTAAGATCCAATGATATAGTAAACATGTTTACATAAATATTTGGAATGTGGATGCAGGATCGTCAGATGCAATAGATACCTTATTCAGGTCATTCGTTAATTTAATTAATATATGGTAAAGATATAGGTCGCATTACAATGAGTACCTACTTGAGCTATCATTACTACGAATCATCAAGTAATAAAAATACCTACATATAAACTATAATAGTGCCTGATACATTATCTCTTAAAGTACATAGGTACTTAATATTGTAGCTCCATGTGAATGCCTACTTTTGGTAATGAAATATACCTTTCATCTCAATCGTCTCTCAATGAAGCTGTAAATTACTTTGAACATAACATCCAATTTTTTATCTCAATATAACCCAGTTTGGATGTGGTAAATCATACTGATTATCTTTTATCATGATATCTAGCTTTATAAATTAAAATGAATGTTTCTTTTTCGTTTCGTCTTCTATTCTATCCTAAACCATTTACCCGATTGTGATGAAACTTTAGTGAGTTATTTTGCGTACGCCAACAAGTTTTGGGCCAAAAGGTTTTTTTCTTTGTATGTTTCCCCTCTATGCATTTCTAAACCATTACTTCCTGGTAATGTATAAAATAAATTTTAATTAGGTTCTTAATTTAAAGAGTTAAATATCGTTTTAAATTACAAATTACAATCTGTAACTCTTCAACGTGATATGGTCATAAGAATCATTGACAAGTGATAAGGTAAACTTATATATCAGATCAGAATAATGTTCCATAAATATTTGTACATACCTACGTATTTCCAATTCAAATACGGAAATTGTAATACGTACCCGCTGTATATAATGGATTCGCAAAAGTAACAACCAATCCAGCTCTCATAGCCCCATGTATTAAGACGACAAATTCAGGCAAATTTGGTAAAATGAGACCGATCTTTTCCCCAGGTGCTAGTTTCATATAACCAGAGAGAGCGCACGCGCAGCGCTCTATCATCATACGCATCATGCCGTACTCATATGATCGCCCTGAAGCACCGCATGTCTAATAAAAATTATATAAATGTAATTGGTTACTACTTACTTTAGAGTCTTAAGAGATCATTTTTAAAATATTCTTAAATGATTTTAAAAACTCCACATCTAATAAACAAACAAACGTGGTCGAGTGTACTATAGATAATTACTTTAGTAACTTTACATTATGTGACAGTTGATAATCATGACCGTTGAAGTTTGACTCCGGAGAGATTTTATTTATAGGTGTACCATTTTTAAAGATAAACAAATCATTTTGCTTAAGAATTGCCTGTTTTTGGTAGATTGAATATATAATGCTATTTAAATATTTTTAATTTTTTAACTAATATTTGTTAAAAATACGTAAAATGTTTTAATTGAATGGGTAGGTTCTAAGGTAAAACTAGAAATAAGTATGACGTTAACGACAAGTTTTATGTATAAAAAGCTTGTTACTCGTTGTACAAATATTGTACGTTCGCCAACTTTCCTGAAATGGCACAAGTGAAACTCCAATCCTCTCTTATATTTTTCATTAATAGAAAAAAAACTTATAGTACCAATAGTATGAAACATGTTTAGGTAATTCACACAAATTTTAAGTTGCTTTTACTATTCTTGTAGACGTTGAGACAACACAGCTCTTATCTTTTTATTTGTTTATTAAAATTATCGTGATTCTATGATAGACTACACACAGTAGATCTATTTTATCGCTGTGTATACTTAATGTATCTATTGTAAAGGGTGACTTTTTCGTAGTGTTATCAGAAAACATAAAGCAAAAAGTAAATAAGTATCAGCTTAATGAAAAATAATTAGATCAAATTTAACTCGAAGCCATATATTCATAAGTTATGTGCGTGAATCACGTCTATTCTCAAAATATTTATGCTATTAATAAATATATTATTTGCCCGAATTTTATTTAATATTATTTTTTTAAGGAATATTTCAGTCGTGCCAACTTCAGGTAACCTCAACCTTCAGTTTCTATTTATATTGTCCTATCACTGCCGGAGACTGCATCCGCGTATATATGTAGGTCTTGAATGAACTTTGTACCCGAAACAATCATGAAAACAACATGTAATTGCACCTATTATTACAAGCTTAGGGTTTTTTGTGCAAGCAAGAATATACTAAATTATATATAAGTGATTACAAAATAATGATCTACGAATCATATCGCGTGGTAAAAAAATATAACGAGTACTTACCACACAAGGCGCATCCACCCAATTTTCGATGTCTTTAAAAACATATTCGGTAAGGGTCTCCTTCCCCACGGTGATCTCTCCATGAGGGGAACTCAATACATTTTGCTCTAGCACTGTTGCAGTTTTAGTTGCTAAACTACGATTTAAATTTCGAACGACAGAGAAAATTTGCGTTTTTAACTGCTTGCATTGTTTTTGGTTTGGGGATAAACTGTTTAGAATTTGGCGCGCTAAATTCCCGCGTAAGATTTTCAAATGAGACATACTTCCGCTCGGAATGTTTTCACGCGGAACGTTAGCGCGTAAATGTTCGCCGTCGCTCTAGCTAATGTTTTGGCGCGCTCACTGCGCCCGTCATAGGGCAAGGTCCGTTTATTAATCCAAAGAAGCTATAAGTATCGAGTTTTAATGATTTTGCTTTTTAGAAAACTATTGCTGTTTGATAATAAAATCGACCTCTCTACTGTATCATATGTATTTATAGTACGTAATATTATCTTTACAGCTGGATTACCTGAAGAGATAATTTTGTAAGTATAATAAAAGGAATAATATAATTTATGTATGACCAGTGACCCACCCGTCTCTAGATGCCCTTTGTATTTACAATATTATAGAGGGTCCCCCGAAAATACGATTTTTTCCGACTTAATATAAAAATATCATCATACCGGTACCTACCTAATTTTCGTAATATATAATTATTTATATATTACAATAATAGCCTATCACCTTCTTAGAAAATCATTCTTTCTACACTAGTAGGAAAACCGTATGAAAATCTTTATAGTAGTTATTAAAATTAGTCTGAACAAATAAAATCTCAATGAGGCAGGGTTAAGTAGTTTAATTAATATGTAGTGGAAGTGATTTGTCTTCACCTGGTCCACTTAGATCTGAATAGTTTTAAATAAAAAATAGAGAGCTAAACAAAAGAGATTGGCCTTTTTTTGAAGATAAATACTGCCCTGCATCCCGTATCTTCTCAACCAACGCTGAATTTAGGATAAGGCAAAACTAACCAACCAAAGTAAGCAAAAAAAATAATAAGCCAATAATATGCGGGTACTTTAATTATTTTAATCCATTTTGACTAGTTAAGTTATAAATAATAATCTAAAATTCGAATATCATTTTTCTCACATTTGCTTGATGATTTTTTGATATATAAACAAAAACATATATTATCGTAAATATGTGTCCTAATGAAATATCGTGAAGGGTACCATTTATGGCTTAAGTAAAGCAATACGGCATATAATAGTAAAAAATAAATTGATGCCGAAATGTAGAGTAAATGCCACTGAAAATATGTATAAGTACATATACATTATGTGTACGACACTATAATAGGTTCGGGGGTTAAACTGAATCATTTAAAGCAAATGAAATTGAACGCAGCAAATTTATATGCTGCAACGTAAGACCAAAGTTTACGAAGTCGATTCGAAATTTTGTAGTATGTTGATCACATCATACTATAGATTAAATATTTTTTTATTTGTATACAAAGAAATAAACATCTTACTGACAATCTGTTCTACAACCAAAATTTATATCGTAAAATCTCTGCCAAAATAAGCTTATTTTTAATTATAATAAGTCAAATTCATTGTGATGAATAGCATTAATATTTAAAACAAAAATATAAAATATTTTTTAAACATTGTGAATAATATTCAAATATTTAGAAACAATTTGTTTAAAACAATTTATTTAATACGATGAAAAACTATGGTCTTCTGGAAAATCTGCCGTTTTAAATTATTAACTTGTAAAAAATCTATTCTACGTTATAAGTATTACTTTCACATCATCCTACTCTATTTCATTTACTACAATTTAATATGATTTTAGGGTGTTATTTACCTACCAGGATTAGAATGTTTCATAAAAAAAGAGTGAGTTGTTTAATGCATTATAATAAGAATTTAAAAAAATGTGAAAGGGTATAAAAATTAAACAAAAACATAAGAAAATAACAACAATAATTTATTCCTCTAAATTTAAATAATCCATTACCCATCATAACAGTACCTACAAAGCACACAATTTATTCATACGAATGTAATGGTAAATAACGTTTTGTACTTTGCTTTTCGCTGACAAAATTTTTAATTACTTAATATTTGTATATGAACGTAAAATATAATAATTTAATGTCATAAGATAAAAAGAATTTTAATGATAAATAATCAAATTACCTCAAGTCGTTATTTCATACTATGTAAATAAGTATGTGTAATGAATTCCAAAGTTCGATGAAGCTCTTTGATTGCAAGTTCCATCCATTGTCTCATCAAGCTAATTTAGATAATCAAACTGTACAATCGTTACTGCGCATTTATTACTGTTTACAGAATAAATATTAAATATATTATAGAGAATAAAATTGAGAATAAAATATGTATTTTTAAAAAGTATGGATTGTGAAAATTTAATTAAGAAAAGAAAAGTACATGTATTGAAATATTATTTAAGAAATTAGAATTTTGTAAAAAAAAATCTTGCTTTTCAGTGAAACTTGAAAGTCATTATATGTTGTTAATTTTAAACTTAACATTAATATTTTTCATTTCGATATATTTTCTTCTCATAATATTAAATTATTTTAAATTATGTACATTTTTCTAAAAAATTAAAATTCTTTCAGTTATTATTTAATAATTTTAAATTTACGATATTGTAACGTACAAATGTATGTTACAATCTTCAATAATTATATATATAATAAAAATTATTTCGTACAGTATTTTTGAACAAAATTTACATCTTGTATTAAACAGCAACAGTCTGTTAAAAACTATGTAAAAAACAATACCCAACATCCCTTTACTTAAAATAAATTTTCGACGTACATTTTTTTACATAATTATGTATTTAAACTATTAATTTGCTCAATTGATATAAACTATACATTTTTCCCCTTATCTTACATATATTAGCTGGTTTGAACGTCAGTTGCATTTTTCGGCTTCGAACTGGTGAACATTTGGTGCGCTATAAGCTCTTTGAAATAACCACCTGGTTTCGCCATGAGCTCGTTGTATGTCCCTTTCTCTATGATAGCCCCGTCCCCTATAACCGCTACTTCATCAGCTGATTGGATTGTACTCAATCTATGTGCTATAGTCAACACTGTGCGATCCCTACTGATCTCCTTTAGAGCTTTATCCACTAGGAATTCCGAATATGTATCTAATGCTGATGTAGCTTCGTCCAGTATGAGGATTTTTGGATTCTGTAAGAGAAATTAACTGGTTATATTCATTACAAATATGTAATGTGTCATGTTTTTCAATGTACGTTTTATTAGTGTTAAGTAAATGAGAATTAAAGGCTTAAAAAATTATATACCAATAAAATAAAAATAATACTTAAATATGAACAAATTAATACTCGACACAGTTTTGCTTATCATGTTCTATGAAATCCTTGACCTAACAACTTGACACAGTGCGATATAATGATTTAAACTATTTATATAGGTACTTAACATACCGGAACCAATCACAATTAGTGAAGATAAGAAAATATTATAAAGTATGGCTGAGATTTTCTTTATCCCGGAAAAAAATTTATTCATCCACCGTATGGAGGGGATAGAAAACCGACACCTTAATCGATTTCCACGCGAATTTTAAAAGTGGTAAACGCTATTTTACTGTCATAACTCATAACATGCGAGTAAGGGTAAATGTACTCGTATTATTTAATAAGTATGTATTTTGACGGCACCTTTCATCTAGCGACAAAAGCATTATAGCTCAAAACAAATATTTGTGTTCAACAAACATACACATCAATTTAGGAAGCGCGATAATATTTATATAATAAATAAACTAGTTAATTCATATATTTGTATGACATGAAATAGTTTATGTACTGTATTCGAGCACCCAGTAAGGAGTTACCTACCTCCTTAGGGTAGATAAGTCCGTACTGGGTATGTGTAAAAAAATGCTAAAACTAACTTTAAAGTGTACGCGTTGTCCTATCAAAGTGAACAAACAAATCTTACATATCAGTGAAAATTCAGTGGTCCAATACAAACCTTCGCCATTGCTGGAAACGAATCCGCAATGGCCTTTATAATAACCTGCTATGACGATAGCAGGCAAATAAAGGCCTGTAAGTGCCATATCGAATGTGATGGCCGTCCAAAATAAGTAGAGTACAAATAAAATAATATATATATATATATATATATATTATATATATATATATATATATATATATATATATATATATATATATATATATATAGCAGGTACAGCAATATACTTCAATTTATCACTTTCGTTTTGCGCATAACCTAGCTACTATCCGCGCGTCTACAGAAAATTAGACAACGCCGCGGCTTTTCTTTTGATATAAATTTCAATTTTAATTGGTAAAACTCAATTTTATTTTAGTTACATGTCTAGTGACATGCATGTCAAATATATACCGTCTAAATAGTCCTCCTTGATTTTGTAGTCTATATTAACCATGACCGCGCGCGAAATAAATAAAATACATAAATTATGCACAAAAAATGTACTTAGGAGAAGTTTTAAATAAGTCCTCCATAATAAATATTAGATAACTTCCTCCACATAATATTTTCTTAGTTTTATGCGAAATGAAAATATATTTTAAATAAAACTATCGAGAGAGACACGTGACCATGATTCCGAAACGTCGCGTCGGGAATCAAAAATCAAAATAAATCCGTGAGAAAATCCGAAAAGACAGTATAAACACAAAAGAACGATTTCAAAAACTCTATTACATAAATCTAACAATTAATAATTTATAACCAGAAATGAATTAGATGGATGGATGGCACGTCGCACAGAGCCGAGAGCGTACCTTGAGTATGGCGCGCGCGATGGCCACGCGCTGCTTCTGCCCGCCGCTGAGCTGGCCGCCGCGCGCGCCCACGCCGCGCGCCCAGCCGCCGCGCGCGCCCAGCTCCGCCAGCTGCGCCGCGCGCGCCGCCGCCGCCCACGCCGCCTCCTGCGCACACGACACATCACTTAAACGAGGTAATCGTAAAAATTCACTGTTTTCAGATTTTTTCCTTTGTATACACAAAATTACCCATACGAACACCAAATTCCAACTTTCTAGGTCATCTGGAAGTGAGTTACGTTTTACTACTATACTATGTCAGTCAGTGATAAAAATGCCTATTTTTAGACATTAATATCTCAATAACCGTTTGAGCTATATTTATCAAATTGGGGATTCTAGTTCATCTAAGAGATTTTAATAAATGAACTAAATTGCGTGTGTTTATGTTAAATAGATTTCGTGCTATTAAGAGGTGGAAAGTGGCTCCAAATGGTTAATGTAAATATACACACGGTGTTGCGTCGCCAGTTTGGCTTGAACTTGGCTGGACATACTACCACGTGTCTTGACCCCTGTTTTCCAATTACAGAACATAATGCCGGATTTTGGCGCACAATGCCGAAGTGTGCTAATGTTTAATTGGAACTTGTATTAGTTTTCAAATGCACCAGCAGATGACACTAGGTTCAGTATTGAAAGAAAAAATATAAATAATTCTATGTATATAATATACAATATCTATTTTATCTATCTATCTATTTTAAATTATATAATAAATATATAACTAATTAATATATAATTATATAATATATACTTATATATTGATTTTTGAATACAGTATAAATTTTTTTTTTTGTATTTTATCAGACTACGTCGAAAGCTTTACGACTTAATTCAACAATAAACCATATTAATCACGATAATTGTAAATAAAATTTTGATTAATGCCACCTTGAAGAAAAAACACTTCTCACATTTTCTGCTATTGTAAATAAAATAAAAAAAAATAAAGTGTTAGTAATTGACACAGTTTATTAGCTTCTGCAATTACTATCGTTTTTATCTATTATTGCTATTATGTACTGAAATTTGAATAAATCTAAAAAAAACTTAAATTATATGACCTCCTTTTACAAAATAACTAACATAACGCACAAGTAGATATATATAGCTCAGATAAGACGTACACTGTATACCGCCACCGCCCGACGCTACCTCTTGCAAATGTGCTATTTAAGCCGCTTACAGCCACGCTGGTTCCTATATAAGTAATTGCGTTTCAAGTAAAAGCATTTGCTCTGAGTGCTCTCAATAAAAACCAGGTGATCACTACACTTGATAGATAGACCAATAAATACTCCTAAACTAATATAAAAATGAATCAATTCATAATACAAATGAAATGACATTAAAAACACAAATTATCGATTTTATAATAAAAAAATGCCAACCTCTTCATCTTGCGAGGAATCATAATCATCATTAGCACCATATAAAATATTATCTTTTATAGATCCACTAAATAAAACAGGTTCCTGAAATAAACGGAATGATCAAAATAGGTGTCTTACAAACTAGAATAAATAAAAAAAATAAAATAAGTCACAGTTCTTTGTCTATTTGCTACTACAAGAATACATATGGGATATTAACCGTATTATTAAAAAAAATTATCTTAAAAATGAATGAATTATCGATCTTTAATCCACTTTGCTGTATATTACATAATACATTACTTTTTACAATTTTACTTATAAGACATGTGTTTTAAAAAAAAAACAAACATAATTCGAAAGTTTTAGATTCTGCTCCTACATGAGATTAGTTTGATAATATTAAACTATTAAAAACCATTGCATGATCGATTATTACTGTCCGAATATATTATATTATTATAATAACAATTTCTAAATCTAAAAAAAACCCTAATTCTTTTCTAAAATAAAAGTAGCCTAAGTTACTCCTTATAACATCAGCTATTTGCCTGTAAAAGTCCCGTCAAAATCAGTCCAGCCGTTTCGAACCTTAGCCGGAACAAAGAGACAGACAAAAATTAAAAAAAATGTCTTATTTTCTCTTAGTGTCGTTGGACCCATTTACATTAAGTAAAAAGCTGTTTTTTTTACATTATAAACAGACACTTCAATTTTGTTTATCTGTACAGGATTCTATAAAAAATATAGATATAAACAATGTAATTTGTTATACTTATGTTTAAGTAAAACTTAAAAATTTCGAATCTTACCTGACTGACATAACCAATATGACTCCTCAACCACGTGGGATCTAGCTGCCTCACATCTACTCCGTCCAGGAGAACTCTTCCTTCCTCCGGATCATACAATCTCAGAATGAGCGATGCTATCGTACTCTTGCCACAACCTGATCGTCCAACTAAAGCTATACTCTTTCCAGGCTTTAAATGCAAGTTCAAACCTTTTATTAAAGGTTCCCCGATGTACGAGAATTTTATATTTTCTAATATTATTTCTCCCTTCGGACGCTCTTTTGGTCGTAAACCGCCTGTCAACAAAACGCATGAAGTTTAACATAAAATAATATTTTTGCAAGACTATTTGATTAATAAAAAAAATTATATATTTATTTAAAAAGAGATTGTCACATCCAGGGAACCGAAAATCCGTTCAATTTTTAAATCGGTTCAAACCGAAAGGCTTTTCGGTTTCGTAATGGTGAATGACTTAGCTTAGAAGGATGCGCGTTTCTTATGAATGATTTAACCGGTTTATTTCGGTATTAAAACCGAAATCTAATTTTTCCACCATATTATTTCGGTTGTTTTAACCATTATTATTTCGGTTTACTAAATCGTTAGTTTTAATTACCGGTTAAAGAACGAGCAATTATTTAACCCTTATATTAAGAACATAAATCGTTTTCTAAACCTGTTCCGAGCGCTGGTCACAACTTTGCATAAATATTATTAAATAATATTTAATTTTTGTGACACAAAAATAACCTATATATAATATTTTTTATAATATAATTAAGTATAATTCTTGTTTTTAATTTTGTATTAATGTTAATAGTTAATACATATTATAAATATCAAAGTTTGTGTAAATTTGTGTTTTCGAAATTATGTAAAAGAAAATTGATAATCTATATAAGACACCATGGTCTGGACTAGTATATAATACTATTTATTATTAATATCTTAACAACACTTCTAAAGTTATTAATAGATGGTGCTGCACAGAACATTTTAAAAAAGATAAAGAAACATTTTTATACGTCCAAAGCCGCGTGCTAAGTATAGCAACTCATAAATAAATATATACAGCAAATAATATATTCAAAAATTTCACCTGAAATTGGTATTTTGGGTTCCCTATCAATAATTTGCCATAGCCTCGTAGCAGCTCCCATGCCTTTATTCAATTCTGTATAAAAACTACTCAGTCCCCCGATGCTTATACCCACATATGCCGCATATAACAGAAACGAAGTAAGATTCCCAACTGTCAACTGTTCAGTGGCTACCATACCTCCACCATAGTATAAAACTAAAATTATTATTGTGTTGCCAGCTAAACCCGTCTGAAATGTTTAAAATAAAGACTTTATTGAAAGATGTGTTATTGCGATGTGGTATTTAAAGAAATAAGTATATTTTCATCTAAATTTTACACATTTTACAATAAATTGGAACTTATTTATTAAATAAATAAGAAAACATAAACTTACTAAGCCATAAAAACTTCCTACAGCTAATGATTCTTTGTAAGCCAATTGTAGTAATTTTTCAATTCTTTGTCCATACGCCTGACACTCTTTTTCTTCCTTGCTAAATGCCTTTACCGTTTTTATATTTGAAATCTTCTCCTCAGCTAACTGAAATAATTAAAATGTAACTAAATAAATATCTAAATTCTCAAATTGTTAAACTAAAATCGTTAAAAATGTGGATTAAGTGTTATAGTTTCTGCAGTTTTAATGAACATATTTACTGGATTTTTTGAAAATTTAACATTGACAGTCTTTTTAAACAATAAAATTTGAATTTTCTTGAATCTCATCTAAATGCTTAATGGTACACAATGGTGCTGTTTAGTTTATGCCAAGAAATGTTTCCTTCAAACCAACTTACTGGTTGCTACCTAGCTAGTTGAGATGGTCGAAAATAAGTTCTGATTATATTCTTGTTATAGAACTTCTATGCCCTACCTGTACAGGGTGTCTCTTTTCTTTACCGGGCATAAAAAGTATCGTTAATGGCAATAAATGCCGGGTTAAAATTGATTCAGCCAGCTTGAAGCACTTAGATAATAATAAAAAACAGAGAAGCAATGTAGAATTTTCTAACATTACTATTAATACCTCACTAGTTTCAGCTAAAGCGTCTTGTAATTGTCTAGTGATGCCCCGCACGAAACGACCATAAACAACTGCAAGCATAGATACTGGTGGTACCACACACAAACCTATCATAGCCAGTGATGGTGACATATAGAACTGAAAATAATATATTACATATTATTTTATAATATTTGGTTACAAAATACATAATATTTTAGATTTATTTTGCAAACATCATTTAAGAATATTTAAAAGCAAAACGAGAAGTACTAATTTTTTATTTTTACTTTTGCACAATGCATAGGACATAGTGGATTTATATATGTATATAGTAGTCACAGAAGTGATATAAGGAGAGGCCAAACTTATCTAATGCTAAACAATATTATAGACGTTTTTAAGTTAATCTGCAAGTATCAGATGCACAATTAATAAAATTTAAAATATTTACCATCATACCAGTACCCGCTCCCACCATGAACAATGACCGCAGTCCATCACTAACATTTGAACTCAGATTCCTTCCCACTAATTGTGTATCAGCAGACAGTCTGTTGACAAGTTCACCAGTTGAAGTTCTACTAAACCATGCTGGTTCTTGACGCATGATTGACGAAAATACTTGCTTTCGAAGAGCTTGAGTCATTCTTTGGCCTAAAGTTTAATAAATTTAATAGATTTATTAAATATAATATTGCAATTTTTTTAATATACACTAGGGAATGAGACATATATTTGATTTAGATTTAGAAATTCACTGTAACAGTATTGATTTGGAGAACAACTAATTTTATATTTTAGAAATATTTCTTTTTCATTTATCTCATCTTGATTATTGGCCACTATGATTTTTAGTCACTTTTTATAAAATTTTATAAGACGAAATTTACAAATAAAAATGAACAAATTTAAAGTAAAAGTGAATTTTTTTTTTTTACTAAAGTAAAAATAACGACATCATAACATGTGGCAAACAACTTTGATTTCAATCATGCATATATATTATATATGTAATTCAATCATTAATACAAAACAAAAACAAAATTCACATATTATGTAATATAAGTGAAAAATGTGAAATGTCATTTGATTATTTTGTTTTTATAATATTTGTGCATATAAGATTCACTCATTATCATTAGTATCCTATTGTGATGACACTTGTCAATAACTTATGATGCTAAAATAAATTTTGTTTAAATTTATATCAATATAAAATAAATAAATATGTTATGACATTAACTTACAGCACCATCTAGTTCCATGGCAAGCAACTCTCTGGTTTCCATAACACAGGCCTCGTGGCCTGTGTTATAGATACCAGATAGTTAATACACTACACATATATAACTTTAAATACATACATATTATAAATATAAACACTCATGACCGGAGTACAAACATTCATTTTCATCACACAAATGTATGCACCCAGCAGAACTCGAACCCGCAATCGCTGGCACAGTCAAGTAGGGTCACTACAAACTGAGCCAAATGTGTGGTCAAATCAGTCTAATAAAGATATAAATTATATTATTTCTAAGCATAATAATTAAGAACATTATTTTTTTCAATAAGTTTATTTTAAATTGAATTGTCATTATTAAAGTTTGAAAAATCACAATAATAGCTTATCATTAGATTTTTTTAAATTTTGTAACTATATTGTGTTGTAATGTGTAATTTTATTTGACTCTTTCCTACACATAAGCATTGGTCCTCTTTTATGTATTAATGTTTTTATGTATGTATATCTTTTTTATACCATATTTTACCAGATATTGACATCAAGTACACTCTGCCAAAATTGCATAGGCCTCCAACAAGGAATACTCCACACAACACCATACACAATTGGTCTAACTTCTCCCTTGCAGCCACTAAGTCACTAGTTCCACTGTATATAATATCCAAGACCATGCCTAATGAAAAAGGCACTGCCATTGTCACACTAGATGATATTATTAAAAATCCAATTGCACCTAAAAAAATATAATTATTAATAAAGTAGGTATGTGTATATAGGTATAAACTAGCGACACATCCTCACTTCGCTTGTGTTTGTCCCTAGGTAATCCTCGCATCTATAATTATTTGAAGATTACTCCTAAAATATTCATTTAAATTATAAGGTGTAAAAGAGTAAAATAATATGCATAAAATGTTAAAGCCTAACTTATTTAAAATGATAAGGATTAATACCATATTTGTGTAAATAGTTCTTACAATACTGCATTATAATTTCTAATTTTTCAAAGTATGAAAATGGATATAGTATGTTATCCTGAGATGTATGTAGAGAGAGATGTTGGCTTACTATTACAAGGTTCTATATTAATTTTAATGAAGTTTAGTAATTTTTACATAGAACTTTGTGATTAAGCTATTGCATAGCTTCTATCGCGGGCCTTGAGCGTGGGGACCGAATCCAGAAATTCCGTAACGAAAAAAACCTGACACCCCCCACTCCGACCGGCACAGCGGTGATACTTTTTAGTTTTTCCATCTATCGATAAATACCAAAACTTTTAATGACTTTTTGAAATATCACGCTTGTCTCTTTAGTTCAGCAACCCGCCTTTAGGTGGCATTGGTTGTATTGGAAAACTACCGTAATCAGCTGTTTGTGAAAAAGTATATAGGTGTATAGGTATTTATCATCTATGTACAACAGTGAATATCTGTACTCGTATAATTTGTGTACAAAGTGTTTTAAATATGAATAAGCAAAGTGCATTTATTAATGAAGAAAGTCAAGGAAAAAAATACTGCATTAATAAAATAAATTAATAATTATAATTGCATAAGTTGATAAAAAATGCTATGCAATAGCTTTACCGCGACAGTCTCCGAGTGCCACATTTAATTTTTTTGTTATCATAAAAAATCAACATAGAACTGTGTAAAATTGAATACTTTGTAGTTATAGTGCCGCTATCTAGTGGTTTGTTTTTGCAAAACTGTAACTAATGACACATAGAACCTCGTAGCATTAATAACTAAATAAGTACTAAAATTGTAACATAGAACCTCGTAATAGTGAGCCAACGATTATGGCATTGTGGACCTTTCTGTAGACCTATATAAGATACACAATTCCACTATACATTATTTTGTTATATCTCAAAAGGTTTAGGCAGTGTTTTCGTTGAAAGCTTAGTTTTCCGACACCTCCAACAAATCCCATTATATTTTAGCCAATGTATACAAAAACATAACAAATTATATACTACAACCTTCTTCGAGAGCCATTCTATCCATTGGTGAAAACGGCATGAAAATCGGTACAGTAGTTTTTGAGCTTATCGCGAACAGACAGACAGACAGACGCGGTGGAGGACTTTGTTTTATAATATATAATATAATTTATAAAATATAATATGTAGTGATAGTGATAAAATATAATATTGACATGTCTTAAGTATAATAAAATATATTTACCCGCTAGAGTCCATTTTTCGGGTTCTGCTAATGAAAAAAGTCTTTTTAATTCTGTTGGCTTTAATTTAACATTTATCTTTTTAGAACTCGCTATCTCGGGATTATCTTTAAGCGCTTCAATGTGTCCATTTTTCTTATGAGCATCAACTTGGCTAGTATAATACCTTGCATTTATTAAAATTAAATCTATTCCTCGGAATAAAGTCCTTTCATTATTATTTCGTAACACTGAAACTTTGTGACTAGAATATAACCTGAATCCGCATTGTCTACATGAATGGTATTGGAAAGGGATTTTGAACTGTAAATTTTTCTGTTTACTACATAATTTTAAACTAAAAGTTTTACAAAGCAATCTCTGCAACATTTTTAATTTAAACTTTCAATCAAAAGAAAATAAAACATAGTTGTCATCGCTGTGACATCTGACATCTCAGTTTCACATCTGTCATCTGTGTCATGACACATGTGCATGGATGACTAATGTGTGTAAGAGATGGAAAAAGTAATCGATTTTTATATTAATCGATTATTTTTTAATAACTTAATGAAAATTTTAATAATCGATTCTCTAAATATTTTAAATAGATTTTTACTGAATCGATTATATTACTTACTTTCTTTTTGTAAAGTAAAAATGGTACGATTCCGTTGTTGAATTAAACCAATGTAGCTAAACTACACATTTTAATCGAATTTTGCTAACAGCGCTGTCTGTGTGATAAATGAAAAAACGCGTGGTCACTAAACGTAAAAAAGGAATGTCACTTGTCAGTCATAAAATAGCGCCATCTGTATATAAATATACAAAATCGATTATTTTTTCAAATTGATTTATTTTAAAGATAAAAAAATTATTTATTAATCGGATTTTTTCCTCCAAGATCATCCATCATAAATTGACTTTACATAATAATTGCCACATGTAAATTACTTATTATACAGCTCCGTACAATTACTATTTTAGCATTAATAAATACTAGTTTGAGAAATCACAAACAAATATTTGTTTTTTTTTTGTTTTATATACTTAATAAAATTCTAACCGAGTCGTATCTGTACATTCAATATTTTTTGGAAAATCTTATTATTTCAATCATTATTTCAATTTCATTATTATTAATACAGAGGCCGAATCTATAGTCAGATATATATTCAGATTTTTTGTCTGTCTGCCTGGGAACGCATCACAAGAAAACTACTAGACAGATTTTGATGAAATTTGATAAGATGATAGCTGGTTATCCGGGTCAACAAATAGGATACTACTTTTTACTGCGGGAAAATATCTCATCATTAAGAAATCTATACTAAAAAAATTATTTCATAACAGCATGTAAATACTAAAATATGATTCCTAAGTCAATTACTATACCGAGCTACTGTTATAAAATCATGCAATAAACTCTGTATAAAAATTATTAAATATAATGTTGCAATTATTTTTTAAGGTGGCTTTTTAAATAAATAGCGGCGGCTATAAATAAATAAAAAATATTATTTTCTAAACAAAAATAAGTAATAATTTGCGAATAATAACTAAGTATACCTATGTCTGATTTCTTTACAGAATGGATACTTAAAAGTTAGCATACTAAAATTAACAAATCCGCTTTATTCAAACCTTAGTTGAATGAGTAAACATTTTAAAGTTGAATATAAAGCTCTATCATCATAGTGCTACTGCTGCATGAATTTCTAATAAAAGATAGTTTTATTCGGCATATAAAAAGTATATATCGCAGCTTTAGCTACAAGGCCGAAACATATTAATAATATTTATCTATCAAGATAGTACAGTCGACCTAACAAATTAAAATTTTGCTACTACTTACTAGTTAAGGTGATTCCTGGACATTTTAATGTTGCATGGCTCCTGCAGCACTTCAGAAAATATGCTGGCATGATGATTCACAGCTGTAGATCACAATGATACGAAATTTAAAGGTACGCAAAATTTGACAAATTTGACATGTGCTCGCTTGTAAGAATAAAGTCCGACTGATGAAGTGCTGGACACAATTTTTAAGCCCCACACCTACTTGGACACAACTCTTGTTGGGTCATTTTTTTAACGCAGTTACATTTCCTAACTTATTACTTATGCGCAGATTACATACAATAAAATAATCTTAATTTTATTCTTATTATCTTTTATTAAAATATTGAGTATGGCTCACAGCTAAAAGCAGATAAACTTCGCATTAAGGACCAGGCATTATATACAATACAATAAGGATGTGACTAGCTGCATTAAAAATTAAAACAAATTATTTATAAATTTGACTCTAATATATTTATTCATCTTACAAACACTTTCAATATAATATATTTTAATAGCGTATAAATTATATATCTACTACACTACTACTGACATTAATTGATTTCTATTACAATAAATATATTACTAATAAAATGCTGTCAATAATACTAACTAGAGTAATATTTTTTAGAAACTAGAATAATATTAAGTTAAAACCAAAATCCACATTAAAAATATAGATTTGTTTTATTTTCCAACAAAGTAATAACATAAGCCTTATTATTTTTGTTTTTACTTTTACTGTTATATAAAGAAAATCAATTATTGTATTTTATACTATTTAAATATTTGAGTATGAATGCTTTACTGATTTTTAGGGTTCTGTACTCAAAGGGTAAAACGGGACCCTATTACTAAGACTCCGCTTTCCGTCCGTCTGTCACCAGGCTGTATCTCATGAACCGTGATAGTTAGACAGTTGAAATTTTCACAGATGATGTATTTCTATTGCCACTATAACAACAAATGCTAAAAAACAGAATAAATTTTGAAGGGGGCTCCCATACAACAGACATGATTTGATGTTATTACAGAAACTGGTCATATTTTTCAAGTGACAAATCTCATAATAATATACAATATAATTTATAACTAGCACATATAAACATATATCTAACATGCAAATACTTTATAAATTATCTAATATAGTTTTTCTTTTGTAATTTAGTACTATGAGGAACATTGGCGAAAATAATCACAATTAATTTATAGATGCTCTTTTTATGAAATAACTAGCGACTTGAAATAACTAGCGACTTGAAATAACTTCGTCCCTAGGTTGCTTCCCCACACAAATTTCACCCCCTTAAGGAATGATTTCCGGGATGAAAACTATCCTGCGTCCTTCCCAGGGTCTCAAACTATCTTCTTACCAAATTTCATCTAAATCGGTTCAGTAGTTTCGGAGCCTATTCAGTACAAACAAAGAAACAAAAAATCAAATCTTCCCTTTTTATAATATTAGCATAGATTTTGCTTGCCACCTTTGCCCACATTCGTATCTGTATTATCTGTGTTACTCTGTTAATATACAATAAAGAATATATATAGATTCAAAGAAACGGCATTAGGGTTGCACGGTATATATAACGATAACGGTAACCGTAACTTGCCAAGGGATGGCATTACATCGCTTTTACTTTTTCTTTTTTTGTAGTTTCGGAGCCTATTCGATACAAACAAAAAAAAATTTTTCCTCTTTATAATATTAAGAATGGATATAATAAAATATAGTATAAGTTTACAAAAATGGCAGGCAGGATAAATAAAGGCTATAGCTGTAAGTACGTAAATCGTGTTGAACATAAAATATTAGATAGCACTATTACACGAAATGAAATGTATAAAAAACTTATGGTTTTCTATGGGCAATATGTAAGTTACATCATACGGTTAAAAAATCTTTTGCCCTTTATTAAGTACGAAAAAATTATAATTGCAAAGATTTTTATGGAAATTACGTTTGTGGCTTTTCATTATTAACATTTCAATAACAAACGAAAATAATTAATTATTAACATATTTTAAATAGAATAACAGTTTTTTATTTTATAAACAAAGGCGCTATTGTTAAAAATAAAAGATTATAATAAAATTGATTTTTTTATCTAAGACAGTGAATTTGTGTCAACAAACTATTAATATATGCTTAAAAGTAAGTTTTTACAATAATAAGATAATATTGTACATATTCAATATTTATAAACCCTGTTAATATTTGATAAAATACCGACCGATATTTAATAGGTGGTATTTTATATAAGTTTTTGAATAAAAACATTAGAAATATTTTTCTTCCTTCAGTAAATATATAAATAATATATTAATTTTTGTCATGTCTAAATTTTTTAGAAAAAATGTCATATCACGCTGATCGGTTGCTCTTTTTTTTAATATTGCGAATTTTACTCCGAAATAAATATAATCATGTGTGCATAATATATCAAAATCCATCAAGTAATTTTCTATTAAGAATTTAAATTATGTGTCATACCGACGTAAAATATATTTGTAAATACATATAATGCTTTTGAAATTAAATAATTTTAATACATTATATGTCATTCATATTTCGTTTTTAATACAATTGCAGGAAATGCAAGAAGATTAGGCATATAGCTATGCATAGTACGTGATTCTAAGTAACGATCACGATAACTTATTGGACTGGATTAGTTCTTAAAGTACACAATATGGCTATTTCAATTAGAATTCATTAAAATTACTTGATTTATTGAAGTTATACTTCTTTTGGCACGTTTGGAAAAAATATGAGAGTAACATTTTTACGATGCGCGCGCACATCGACAGAAAAAAGGCACATGATGAAGTTAGTTGCGTTCCTTTTACAAACAGAGAGTTGTGACATACGGGATGATATCTTTAACTACTTTTGTTCTGTTACGCCAAAGAAGTATAACCTCTTACGTGCGTACGTAGGTGCACACACACGTTTTTTTTAAATTATATAATATTATTATAGACATCTACATATATATACATACATAAATAATTACTGGGTATAGTAAACTTTGTAATATAGCGACTTAGAGCGCCACAGACTGTATGTGTTATCGAATTTTAATAAGTACACTCCTTCACCGGGGTATGTATGGGAACCAGCATATACCTGAAATTAGTAGCAATGAAAAATTTCATCAATAAATAAAAATAAAAAAAGAATATAGTTTTAGTCGAAAACATAATATAGTGCCTGCGCGGGAGATATTATAGTGCACAAAAATTTAACACTCGCGATGAAAGATTAGGCGTAAGACCGGTGAATTTACGTACTATGACATAATAATTACACTATGGGACTTAAACGCGTGAATTCGTTAGTGGCTAAGTCTGCCCGTAACTACGGCTGATATAACCCAGTCGAAACATCGGGAATAAGGTATTGAAACAGCTCAGAAGGATTTTCCGGGAAAACAAATGTTTGGCAATTAACAATTATATTTATTGCTTTTTCTGAATGAAAAATGAGAAAATGAGTATTATACATTTGTATTAGAATGCGAATCACCGACTGTCCACTTTATACATCAAAAATCTACTGTCAAATCTACAAACTGGCACATTAAAAAACTGAATGTTACAGTATATAGCTACTAACGAATTAACGCGTTTAAGTCCCGTAGTGTAATTAGTAGATAGTTATGGAACGCAAAAATTAAAAAAAAATATATATACTATGCCCCGGCACGCGGGCAAATCACCGCCAACACCTCAACTCCGAGCTTGTCACTGAGACTTTTGACAAAAAGACTCGATACCTAAACATCAAACATGGCCACATACGGGACTCGAACCCGGAAACTCCGGATCGGCCGGAGCCATACATGCTAGCCACTAGACCACCGAAGCAGTCACTCAATAGGGAGAGCTTCCTAACAACTATCGCAAAACCTTTTTACCAGATACAAGAACCAACCTTGGTCAACATACCCCTATCTATAGAATTGTATCCTTAACAAATGCCCTAACAAATGATATAGATATTTTCGGTGATTCCTTGTTGTGATTGCCTCGGTTAAAAGAAATCTGTTTAAATATTACTTTAGTAGCATAAAACAAAAGTAGATAAGTCAGATTGTACTATATTTTATGTTATGTTTTATTATAATACAGTAATAATTAGATTTGTTTTAATGATGCCTTGTTAAACAGTATATATTTTTTAAGTTAATACTTAGTTCTGTTCATATGCACTTGATGTTCACATCTTATAAGACATTATTTGTCTGATTGTATACTTTAGAATAATTGTAATGAAGCTTGTTTATTTCATTTCTATATCGGTTTTGTGAACTTAATGAATAAATAAATAAATAAAAAAATAAATAAATAAACTAACCTCGGTGTGGCAGTCCCGCCTGTATATGGGTATGACAAGGTTGACGAGCGGGCGCTGGCTCAGCGCGCGCCGCTCCGCGCCCAGCTCCGGGTCGCTGCTCTCTAGTACTGTGTAATCTGGAATTAATATTATCAGTTCAATTCACCTCTCTTTTTCCCTTACCTCAAAAGTTAAAAAGGAACCCTTATAGATCAGTCTTTTGTCGGTCTGTCTGTCCGTGTGTCACCACCGATTTTTTCAGGAAGGAATGGACCTAGAAAGATGAAATTTATACCAGATACTGAGGTCTACTATAGTCTCTATTAGGTGTATAAAAATCAGGGTCCTGAGTCAACACGATTAAAATATATAGTAAGACCTTGCTTTTAACCAAAATTGACAATTCTAGGTCAACCAGATGTACCCTATAGGTTTCGAGTCGAAAACATATGACACATGCAAGCTCCACTAATGTTTACGGAGTTTTCAAAACTTTTTATGCCTACCCTCATCATCATCTACGTCTTCATCGTCATCGCTCTCCGAGACGTGCACTGTCACTTCTGCTGTAGGTGACTTGCTCCATTCGAAGAATAAACCAAACCCTGCACACAGATATACAGAACTGAATCGATGTTAAGACTAAATTATTAATTCATATTTCAACACAATATTTTTTTAAATTAATATTACACAACTGAAATTATAATGGTAATAAATATAAAAACTAAAATATAATCACTAATACAACCTAATAGTAATAGTGCAAAAATATAATTGTTCATGAACAAATAATATTTAAAATATCACATTCGATAAACACAGATAAAATATTGGTAAAAAAATGTTATAAAAAGTTGGTCATGAGTTTAAAATATAATACCCTGTTTTCTATATAGAGCATAATGGGAGCATATGTGAGCATAACCACACTTTGGCGCATAAACACGAACAACGCGAAAAAAACAGTCTTTATATTTTCTGCTCCTGAGATGGCTGGTCACGTCAAAGCAGTATTTTTCAAAGTTTTTGATAGTGCGGAGCGTTGCTGTAGTTGAAAAATTCGAAGTTGAAGTGAATTACTTCCGCTTAATTCGGGCACGTCCCTAGGTATCTAGCGTGAAGGAGTACTAAACACACACACATGTTAACTGTCGCAATTATAATAGTAGTCCGACTATCAATACTAATATTATAAAAAGGTAAAGCTTATAACTTTGTACTTAGAGTAATCTATGAAACTACTGATCCGATTCTTAAAAAAAATCACTAATAGGAAGCTACATTCCCTCAAATGATATAGGTTGTTATTAATTGGGAAGATCCATGCGAAGTGAGGGTAAGTCGTTAGTATATTTTATAATCAGGGCTGCCTACCTATATCATAACTATCTGTAGCGAACTCCCAGCAAAGGCACCTGGCTCGATGGTGAGTGGGAACCCTGATGGTGACCGTTTCCCCGTGGCCCACGGTGAGGCACCCCCCGCCAGCTTTTGCAGAGTCCTTGAACTGAGCTATATCATTCCGCGTCCACATCCGAGCCTCTTCCACGGCTGGGAGACCGTCTGAAATTATTTTAATCGACTTCAAAAAAGAAGGATAACAATTTGACATGGATGTATGTAATACATAATATATTATTATTATTAGAGCTGCAAAATATTCTCGTAAGATAATCTATTAGGGCCTCCAAACAAATATTCAAAATTTTATAAGTGTATTTATGTATGTCCACGCATTACTCCGAAACTAGTAATGCATCCCTCAGTTACATGTATGAAGTGCAAAACTTTTTAATTTTTTATCATTTGATTACATAATTGTATTTGAATAAAATAAATGTAACATACGAATATGATAAAATTACTCTAATATCAAGGACTAATCGTTCCTTTTCAGAGCATAATTTATTAATACTTACTTTTATAAAATACCCAATGTACATATATTATAAGATCTACACACTCAAGTTAATTATTGAAATCAATCAATTATTTCACCTCGTGCAAGGCAAGTTATACAAATAATTAGTAAATAATATGAAAAAGATCATCAATCTCGAAAATCTTTACGTCATTTAATATTTTCAAGATCAATAAAATTATGGTTCATAAAATATTTTGAACATTTTCTTTATTATTGTTAATTGTCGACACTTACCATCCGACTCATCTTCTTCTCGTGATTCTTCAATGTATTTGATTAGTTCATTCTTTTCTGATGTCTGCATTGACCTATAGCAATATTCATTAAATATTAGTATTACATAATATTTTCGGGAATATATTTTACTACCGACTTACCCTCTCTTCGCTCAGATTCGTCTCTAGATACGTTTTAACGGTTAGTATGAAATAAATAGACCATATATTATATATAACATACATAGGTATGATGAGTTGCTGTGGGTTGTATTCAACGTGTTTTCCCGTCAGAATGAGATAATCTCCCGCGGTCGGTCCAGCCGTTTCAGAGAATGACAAACGGACAGACAGACGGAAAAAAGCTGTTATTTTGACATTACAAACAGACACTTCAATTTTATTTATCTGTACAGATTAAGTATGGACTAGTTTTTACCAGTGGCTCCACTTGTGTTACATCTGCAATCTACATAATAACATATTAATACATGTATAAATTACTTACTAACTGAACAACTACTTCAAGCTGTTATAGTGTGAAAATGTTACAAATACATTTGTTCATTAATTATCTATCAGACTTATTGCAAGCTAAATTTATTAGCCAAGGTCTGCCCCAAGCATATTGAATACATAATATATATTTCCTTCACATACTATATATAATTAATTATATTAAGTAAATAATTAAAACACAATCATTAGAAAATCACCATACATACTTATTTACATACATACATGCATACTTACTTATTATCTGTGCCCCCATCACTATCATTTAAATTACAATCCTTTATACAGTCTTCATTTTCATTTTCGTTCTCATTGTCAGATTCTTTATAGTTGAGGTTGGAATTTGCAAGTCTTTGATCAACGGCCAACTGTTGAATATATTGTTGATAATGTTGATCTTGCAATTGTCTAATTAAAATGGCCTGTTGGTCATAGTTGCCTGGGAACTGTTGTTGTGCATATTGAAGAAATTGATCATAGGTTTGTGCATTAAGTGCATCTTTTATTCTTTGCCTGAAAAGGTCCATATTTAATTATATAAATATGCTCATTCTATATAATATTAATTCTATATTATAGTACTCATAACATAATTTATAGATTTATACAATAAAGTTAGGTAACAGGATTACATATGCATTTCTACAGGTAAGGTCATTGTTTGGAGTCTAGGGTTTAACTTGCAGGTGTATTGACAGTGACATGTTCTATTTTTGCTTTTAAGTACGTGAACACAAACTTTATATACAATAGAAGCTACCAATTTATATTATATGCCGACTTCAGTGAGAAGTTGTGGGGAGAGGAGTATTGAATTAATAGCAATTTATTTTATTGCTTTAATAGCGATTTATTGCTTATAAAAATAAAAACATTTATATATTAGTATATTCTAAAAAATAACATAAACAATAACGTCTACTAATATTTACTATGAAATCAAGCTCAATGGTAAGGTTGCTTATTGATAAATGATAAGAACACATGAAAGTGACAACTTAAAAAAAATGACAAATCACATACACTTGTTGTTCTTCAGTCAATTTGACACTTTGTTGCTTTTGTTTCTCTAAAATTATTCTATTTTGTAATTCCATGTGAGCTCTTGTTTCTTCTGCTTTTAACAACCTAAAAATTATGTTATTAGAGACATCAATTGTATGAATAGGTATAATAATAAAAAAAAAGAAGCAGAGCAAAATATTTCATACTCTTGTTGTTTTTTGTCTTCAAAATCCTTTTGAATTGCTTCTAAGTATGGCTTTAACAAGGGACACAACCTAAAAATCACAATTATATATATTTATTTAAAGAAACTTATGGTTTATTACTCAAAAACCAAAATACATATATTAATGAATATAATGTGTATAAATTGTGAGTTATACCTGTCCAATGCATGGATAAATCCTGCCATAGCTTGAACTTGTGACATTTGGCCAAGAGCTTGCCAAGCTGCTCTCCTATCTCTACCAATTACATCTAGAACTCCAAGTGGAGGTGCTGAGTTAACATCCAAAGGACCATGAGCTGCTTGTTGTGTATAGGCAACTAGTTTTAATCGATCTTCATAACTTAGATGAACTGCCTTCCCTTCTTTATCTATAAAATTTATTCTAAATTGTGAAGATTTCATTTTCAATAATAAAATATTTAATTTTACTATTATAACTTTTAATTCTCCTTCAATGTTTGTCTTTACAAATATTTCGCAATATCATTTTATATTGTTCATCTAATACTTACATTTTCTAATATGTATTCATAATAAAAAACAGGTACAATAGAAATCAATATCCATAATGATAGCATAGTAACAATACCGTGTCATTTAAGTATCATTACAACGCAGTTTATTGAATAATTAAATATTGCAAGAACCTTCACTAAATACACGTAAATTTGTGAATATTAGTAAGGTTTCACACAAAAGTTTAGAAAGAAATCTTCCTGTAATAGTTTTGTGTTAATGAGCTTTATAAAGGTTTTTAAATAATGGTTTTACTTCTAATATTACAAGTTTACCTTTATAAAAAGAGAGTCCATGTTTGTAAACTTCTCTTAGTGGCAGTCCCCATTTTCGTTCTTCACTTTCTATAATACCTTGATCAGTTTCTAAAGGAACTTTCTCTGGATTTATTTTTTGATTACTTTCACCCTTACTGGCCATGTCGAGGTTGTGATAATTCTTCGAATTATGAAATAATCGGCTTCCCTTGTTATTACAATTTCACTTTGACAAATGACAACATGCAATTGCAAGCTAAAATGTCATTTGACACCAAACCCAAAGATAAATCAACGAACGGTATACATGTCATCGATTTTTTTGCGAAAATTTCAATGATCTATATTCGATGAATGATAAATGATGAATAAAAATAAATTAGAAAATATAAATATGTGACGTTGTATTATATTGTTGCTTTAAATTTTAATCATATATATAATGTAAAAACTATATCTGTGATAATATTTCCATAAACTAGTGTCGATTTGATATCTACCACGGAAAAAACAAAACTTTTTTATCTTCCGTGATAACTAAAAAAAATATCTTGTAAAATGGGGAAGCTTTCTCGTAAAGAGGGTGCCACACGTATGGCTATGGATTCAGTCTGAGGATAAACAATTTATTGTGATATTTCTTTTATTCCTGGTTTTTTGCTTCTATCGTGTTCGCAAATCGCATCTTACCTGTGCAATATACAACATATTGGAATACACCTAGAAGTACCTGATTTTTTTTCCAAATTTATACCTTAAGGTGGTAAAAGGAGGTAATAAGTTTTATATGGGCAAAGAATTATTAATTCATGATATTCAATACAATTGAATAAATACGTGTTTCAGCATTTTTCAAAATTCAGTCCCGTAAGGGGGTAAAATGGAGGATGAAAAACTTTCATCCCTCATTTTATCCCCTTACGGGATAGGTATGAAACTCTGTAATAAAATATGTAAAAAAGTACAAAAATAGTCAACTATTTACATTAAAAAAAATTCACCTGTAGACGATTTAAGAGTTTTACAATCACTTTCTTTAAAATAATGTCCACAATATGGCCTCAAATATACAGATTGTGATTTAACCAATTTGGTCGTCTTTTTAATTTAGCCCAAAATTTCTTCAGTTTATATCATGAATGACAAATAAAATTTTTATTTTTTGGAAACAAATGGTATCCATTTTCTTTGCATCTTGGCACTGCACAATGTGTCCTTTTATATTTCAACGAGCAATTCTTGTATATATATCGGAAACGGCTTCAACGATTATCATGAAATTTAGTATACAGGACGTTTCGAAGGCGATAAATCGATCTAGATTAGTTTTATGTCTGGGAAAACGCGTGTTTTCGAGTTTTATTTCGCATTATTCCACGCAAAATATGGTCGCTAATTCTCACGTTAGGACATAAGCATCGTGTTCAAAGAGCCAAGGCGCAAGTTTGACAATCACAGGTGTCTTGGTTCGTATTCCGGTCGGATACAAATTTTAATTTGTTTTTTTTTTTATGTTTATTTTATAGAGAGTAGTTTTATGGCAGTTGTCTTTAATAAAATCTCTTTTAAATAAGCATAGTTTTATTTATTTCAATTTACAATTTATTAACACAACCTGACACATTTATTTTTTACCGACATCTATCAAAATTATATTCTTATATTTAAATTTTATTGCGAGACAGTATTCTCTATGACAGTTTATTGGCCAAAAACTCCGAGCGAAGCTCGGTCACCCAGGTACTATTAAATAAAATTAAAAAAAAAACCATTCACGCTATCGAGCTTTACAATATACTGTGGGCCATAGTGAACACGACATCTGGCGAAAAAAAGGTAAAATTCTTCTTCATTTCCCATCCATGATCGATTTCGTATTCCTAAACGGAGTGACTATCTCTACTTAATCTGTAACGCAACTGGCGTTTAACATCAAATATCTATTTAAGTATCTATGGTAAAAAAAATTTTGCTTTACGTCATTTACAACCTTTTTCTGATATTTTGATTAATTTTTGTATTCACTGTGAAACTAATCATTAATTTTGGCTTCGGGAATAAAATGAATAAGGATACAATTTTATTAAAAATATGTTTATCGCGTGCTTCACTTCTTCGATTCGGACCTGCATTGTTTATTAGTTTTCGTTAATATTACTTTAGATATTTTTATTATATATTGTTATTGACTTAATTTATTGAACATGGAAGTAAATCCACTTAATATATTTTTTGTAAAGTCTGACAGTAAAGGGGATAGGCTTTTATTTCGATATCCATACACAACTGAAAACAAAGATGAAAATAAACAGAAGAAATGTGGCCGTCACAATCCATACGCAGTCAGCTCTGCTGAAGATCTGCTTCAAAATTCACAGTCGCAAACCTCTAATATATATAAAGGTATCCTAGAATTATTCATTTTTGTATTAACTATAATTATATGTAATTGTAATCAATAAGTTGTAAAGTAAACATGTAGGCAATTATGTTTGAAATTTAGTACTAATTCCTTTAATTTAGTTAAAATATTTTTAGTATTTTTTGTGTAAAAAAGAAACAGATATGTATAAATATACTATAATATACATATAATAAATTATGTGTATAGAAAAAAGCTAAGTTTCATCTTTTTTTCATTATAGGTCAAGTAAGTGGTTTCACTGATGAGATGTTGTCAACATTATTTGCAGTAAAAGCTGAGCTTTGTAATACAAAATTTGAACTGAAAGTAAATGATGTGAGATTTGTTGGACATCCTACTTTATTACCATACAAAACTAATAAAGACAATTCAGCTGCTCCTATTATACTTATTAACATTGTGTTTGCATTACAAGCTTCCGCAAGTCATTCCATTGGTATGTAAATGATGAAATAATTATTGTTGTGCCATTTAAAGTATTTTAGTAATAGTTATTGTTAGTATCTATTTTCAATTCAGTCTCAAATATCTAGAAGAATATAATAGTTTTATTAAAGTATATTAATTGTTTTTGTTCATTTAATTGTGTATATAATTTGAACTTAATTGATTAACATTTTTTTAGTCAAATGTTATTATGACTTGAGCATGAGGCTGGGTAAAGCATTAGAGCTTGAGGAAAAGCGGTGTTATTATTTAACCGAGGAAATGAAAATTATGGTATGTAAATTGCTTGTGATATTGAATTAATTGAAACAAATGTTTTTTTTTATTGTAAAGATTGCAATGTAAATATATTAACTTCTAGTCAGCAGCACATGATGAGGTTTCTGCACTTGACAGTGAAATAAATTCTGGTGAAAATGATGATGATGAAGAAAACTCTCGTCATTCAGTGAGCTCTGCTACATACAGTGCTGATAATGGAAATATAGCACCAAAGTCTGCATTCCATCTCATTTTGCAAAGAAGTTCGCTGGCAAGATCTATGAAAGCTGTTTTTGAGGATTTGAGTAGTACTGGTATGTATTATAATTACATGCAAAATAGGCGCATAGTCGTCGAGTTGCGGAAAATAGCCCGAACATACCATACCATACCATGTATTGTAATTCATCTTCTAGCATACCATCATGCCGTACACATATACTCCTTATTAGAAAACCTTAAAATTAGACAGACAATGTATAACCAATAACACAAAAAACAATCCTCATTTAAGTGTTTGAAAAAAATATAATCTTTAAACCAATTTGCTGTTATTTTTCAGGTATTGTACAAGTTCGTATAAATAAGTGGGTGCTTTTATCTTTCTGCCTGCCACATAAGGCACATCAGATACACAATAGAGGATTAATAATAGAACCAGAGACAATAGACAAATGTGTACAAAAATTGCGGCCGTATCATGGTATTTTGCTTATGGTAAGATTTTTGTTATACATATTTTGTCTATTTCATATATATATATATATATATTTTGATAATATTTTAATAAGTTTCGTTTTTATTTTAGGTTAATCCAAATGATTTGCTAGCATCTATCCCTTTAGATGGCAGTCCAGAACTTTTAAGGCTTATAAAATTATACAGTCCATTAAAAAGTCTTCAAACATTGGCCATTGAAGCAGACTTGACTCTTACACAGGTATGGAAATATAGTTTTTTTTTTATAATAATCTTTGCCGTGTGTGACGTGAATGGCACTGGTAGATATGTGGGACTCACTGGCTAGAAATAGCAGATTTTATATTTTTATACGGGTTCTGCTTGAGTTAACTCTAAAATTTAACCCGGAGTTTGGTTACCTAATAAAGAAGATATAGTATAATTAAAATCGATTTTGAACCAAACCAAACCTATCAAAGTTTTTAGTAAATATAAGTGAGAAAATATTCTTGCACTAAATTCATTTATTAGTATCACTTAATAGACCAGGATAGAAGCCTTTAAAAATAATAAAAAGTGAAAAAAGCTTTTTGAAAAAAGCTGATATTTTGACGGGTGAATTTTCGATTGAAAATTAGGCTGCTTTTTCGATATTAATTCAAAATAAGGTGAAAAAATACATATTTTTAATCAAATAAATTACAGCGTATTTGGGACATAAAAAGGTAAGTTTTCACCAAATTTCGTTAAAACAAAAACATTTTTGTAAAAGATAAAAATAAAAAACCAAAAACTTGGTTTTTTGAATTTTTCACATAAATTTTGAGGTTATGTGAAAAAAGTGTAAATACAAAAGTTTTAGATCTTTTTATTACCTACAACTTTGCCATTTGACTTTTTTCGATAGGACTTTTAGTTTTGCCGGAAATCGAGAAAAACCGTTTTTTACCCTTAAAAACTCACCCCCATCCCCTTCCCGACCTCAGATCGCCCGTAAATTAATTTTCCTTTCATTTTTATAATATTCCCCTCCTTTTCTAATGGGTTTCATCCTACTATTATTTTTTTTTGTTTTAAAAATTATCGACCCTGGTCTATAAGTTACAATATATTACAGCTAAACTAAATAACATAAAAGCTATAATGAAAAGATGTCAATATTTTTGTATTCTATATGACTTTTATTTTGTATTGGATTTTTATTTCTGTACCTCAAAACAAATGTACCAAATTACACTTATAAAATACCAACCATTAAAATACATAGATAAGTAAATATATAATAATATCTGTTGCAGGCTTTCCAATTGACAGGGCATCTAGTGTACTGGGCAAAGGCCACAGTGATATACCCATTGTGCGAAGGGAATGTATATGTAGTAGCTCCAGGTGCAAATATACACATAAACTCACCACTTGTGGATGAATTTGCTAAGGAGTTTCCTGGACTTTGTTTGTTACAAGTAAGATAAATATGGCATTTAGTTTTCGCATACATTTAAAACCTCGAAGGCAAATCGTGTGGACTGAGCGTGGTGAGACGCGAACGACAATTCTGCCTGCCAAACCTACTTTTAAAATATATTCAGGATATACGCGACATTGGCACAGTAATCTGTGCTTAACTGGCACACTTTGAATCCATTAACAAAAGAATTGAACATTCACGAATCTAATTTAGGGTTTACAGGTACAATTAATTTACTAATAATAAGAGATTGTGCTACAGTGATTTAAACCTGAAATCGTTCACCATGAAAATCTGTATTTATTGAGAAACCTTGCATTTGACAACGTTTCCATTAAAATTAATGGGCTTATTATATGAATTTTTAAACTGTGAGATTAGTGTATAGTGATGGCCATATATATAATGTACATATATCCCGTGCTGAGTTGCCAGATAACAATCGTTAATTTACCCGACGAATAAACCTCAAAATACCCGGTTTATCCCGCCGGCGCCACTCATGAGCAGAATACCCGAAAATAGTTTTATTTAAGTAATTTATTCATGTTTTATATAAATTAAAGAAGGCACTAATGTTAGAAAAAGAAGTCATTGTAATCAGTTCTCATTTAAACAGATTTAAACTTATTATTAAAAAAAAACTTTAAAATATCAAATTAATCAGCTAAACCAAACTACTTTGACCCCGCTCAATGCGAATACCCGTCAAAATTACCCGCTTTTCGGGTAATTTACCCGCCAATTGGCTGCGCTGATCCCGTGTGTTTGTTTGTTTGCACGTCAGATGCTAAGCGACTTCTCGCTGCCGGCGCCGCTGTGGTACGTGTCGCGCGGCGGGTTCAGCGCGTGGGCGCGGCGGCGGCCGGCGCGGCTGCTGGCGTGGCTGCTGCGCCGCCGGCTGCTGCTGCAGCTGCACACCTACGTGCAGTTCAACCCGCCGCCCTGCGCGCACGCCCTGCACTGGCCGAGACAGAATCATGGTATGCTATATATTATTATCTATCTTCTATAGTCCAGTCAAATAAGGTCTGAAATCAAAATGTTGGCACTCAACTTTGCATTTTTGATATAATGTAGTTTTAATGATACAAAAACAATGTGTAAAGGTTTTCGTGTCTGCAACCCTCGGCAAGGGTAGAAATTTTATTTGTCAAAAGTGTTTTTTCGTAATTACTCGAAAACGGTAAAAATTAGACAAAAAGTTTTAATAAAAATATGTAGACCTTAAAATTTTACTTAAAAAAGATTTCATAATATTTTTTTCCCAGGTCAAAATTAACCGAGTTAGGGAGAGACCCAGTAGAAAAATAAGCGTTTTTTTTAAATGTTCTCTAAAAAAAATGTTCTCTATGTTCCTCCCTATCGACTCCAAAACGACTAGAGCGAATTTGATGAAATTTTCAGACAATCTGTGGATTAGCCCAAGAAGTTTTAAGTGTTACTGTTAGTATCCTACAGTATTTTAACAGTATCGGTATTGTAGTGGCTAGCATGTACGACTACATATCCGAAGGTCCTGCGTTCGAGTCCCGGGTCGGACCAAGTTTAGCTATCAAGTCTTCTGTCAAGGAAGTGCCAGTAACAGCCCGGAGTTGGAAACTTGGCGATATTTCACCTAAGTGCCTCGGAAAGCACGTGACGCGTCGGTCCTGTGTCTTTACTCTGACTGGTCGGGTCGAAATATCGTCCCATCGGAATTTAAGAGTGCACGTTATGTCTGCGCGTACACTTGTATACTATAAATTCTCAGTTATAACAAATCTCAGTGAGATTAGCCGCTGTGGCCAAAATCGATCGGAAGGGCATCACCATCAACCTTGTAGTCTATTTACTATCAATATATTTTTTCGTCGGGATTGTTCTCAATTTTGTTCACTTATTTGTCACATATTACAACAATACTAATTGAGTGACAAACATGAATTATTATACAATTTATTTAGTTAATACATTTTTAAATTTTCAGATGGCAAAGAGTATTTCTGTGAGAAACACGACCTATACTATCAACCGAACAACTTCTCCTTCTCATCTCTCAATCATGTGCCAATAAACATTCCCGAACCTGTCAAAGCAACAGATAACATGAATGCATTCCTAGACTCGGACGAAGATTATCCCATCAAAAACTCCAATCAGACGGACTACTTGCATACAAAGCCTATAGTAATTGATCCCGACCAGAACAAATACGACAAATTCGACGTCGACTCTGCAAACCATTCTTTCGACGATGGCATCGATGTGGTAGATGGTTTAATAAAAACAAACATAAATGGATCTGATTATGATAAAAACCAAAAAATACAGAAAAAAGTACAGGGCAACTCAGTAGATAGCGGTATATCGAACAACATGAACAGCAACGGTATCAATGGTAGTGAAAACGGTCATAATGATAGCAAAGAAAACGGAGAGAAAACGCTACCATCGAGACTATCGGATTTGTCTCTAAAAGAATCCGACCATGCAAATAGTACGAGTAGTGATGAAGATCGACTTGAAAGTGATGCAGACGTATCGCCCAGAATGAAAAAAGCTCATAGCAAGGGCACAGAAAAGAAAAATGGGGTTTCGTTGAATTTGAAATTGCAAAATGAAATGAGGTAAGTTTAACAATAATATTAATCAGGAGAGTTAAATTAACAAATAGTTTGTTTTTGGTTTTTAAATTGGCGTCTTACCGGAGTATGAGTGACAAAAATTTTGCACTTGGTGTCTACGCGTACACTCGATGCATTGTACATAATATCTCCTGCGCATCTAGCTAGTCTCAGACAGCCTGGAAGCCGTAGCCGTATGTGATCAAGTGAATTATTATAACAACTATTGTTTATTAAAGGCTTTTAGAAAAATTAACTATAATTTTTCTAAAAGTTTTACGATAGCGTGGTAATACACAGGCTGGTTCGTCTAAACGCCCTGGTTAGACGACTATATGGGCAAGTATACAGTGATATAATAGTTACATTCCGCGGTATCGGGTCTTAAACGCGTGAATTCGTTAGTGGCTATATATACCTAAGTCCCGACGTTTCGAATGAGTTTCACCAGCTGTGGTCACGGGCAGACTCTCAGTCGTAGTTAGTTAACTCCCGTATTGTAATTATAATAACTAGCGACTTACTCTCGCTTCGCTCGGGTTCGTCCCTAGGTTGATTCCCCATACAAACTTTCATCCCCATTTTCACCCCCTTAATGCATGATTTCCAGGATAAATAGTATCCTATGACCTTCCCAGGGCCTCAAACTATCTTGTAATCAAATTTAATCTAAATCGGTTTAGTAGATCCAGAGATTACCTCCTGCAACGTCACAAACTCACAAACTTTATTTCTTTATAATATTAAGTATAGATTGTGGAACGCGAAAATTTATAAAGTTATAAGTAGTGTTATGGTGTGGTATATGTGTGTGTGTCAGCTTCCAGTCGCCGACGGTGTGGAGCGCGCCGACGGGGTGCGGCGCGGCGGGCCCGGCCATGGACACGTTTTCGCGCTCCGAGCGCGCCGCGCTGGCCGCGCTGCCGGCCGCCGCCTGCCGCGACGACCTGCTGCTGCTCGCCGACCTACACAAGAAGGGTGACTAGACGCTACATATCAAATAAATAGTATAAAACAAAGTCGCTTCCCGCTGTCTGTCTGTCCCTATGTATGCTTAGGTCTCTAAAACTGCGCAACGGATTTTGATGCGTTTTTTTTTTAATAGATGGGTACTACCATCGTCATGGGATCCTGTTATTAATATAATAAAATCAAATAATAAATATAAACATAACAGACAGGCAGATGTAGTAAGTTCATACTGTGTAGATCAAAATGACAGCTTATCAGATTAATATTTTTCATTTTTCATTTGTAAAAGTATATATTAATAGTGTTGCTTAGTAAGTTGTTTTTAAATAATAGCAAACTAAATTAAAATTATTATCCTTAATTAATTTTAACTTTTTAAATTACACATAGAACAATTATATGGCTTAAATAATTAATACTATATTTTATATTTTTCTTTATGGTTATAAATATAATAATGGCAACACTAAATATAGATTACTAATTAATATTTTAAAATTGTAATAATTATAAAAATAATAGCAAAAATGAAATAAATAATTTTCCATATTCAATTATAATTAAAATTATAAAAATGTTTAGAGTTAAAAAATATTGTAATGTAATTGGTGCAATTTTCATATTGTTAATTGTGGGTAGACTGTCTGTAACAACTATACATTCAAGACATGTAACACCTTAGTCTCTCCCGTGACCATGGATGCTGTAAAGCATTTGAAACGTCGGGAACCAAAAATCAAAATAAATCCGCGAAATAATCCGAAAAGATAGTTTTATTTAATAAGTGAAGCGGGTTCAAATTCCGGGTCTCGTACCTCGGATATTACTAGGAAAACAAAACAAACCTATCCCACGGGAACCGTACGTTTTTTCGGGATAAAAAGTAGCCTATGTGTTATTCCAGACTGTCTTTGTGCCAAATCCGTTCAGCCGTTCTGGTGTGAAAGAGTAACAAACATCATACAAACTTTCACAATTATAATATTTAGTATAGATTATTTTATGTAATTTGCAGGGTACTTCCGCGGCGAGCAACACCTAGAAGAAATAATGTTCATGGAAAATGTAACGAGATCTCAGTTAATGCAACTCATTGATAAGTTTAAAGATGTTCTCATAACGTTTGAAACAGAGGATCCAGCTGTCGCCATGTTATATCCTTATCAATAAACATAAATTGAATTAAAAAAAATATCTAAAGTCGCCCGCCCTATCACATTTAAATGGTCGGTATAAATTTTTAAAGTTCAGAAGAGTGATTTTTAGTCATATAAATTGTTATTTCAAGCGATATTAATTTAAGTAGTTTAAAGTAACTGTGAATTTAATTAACTAAATGTTTGGTAGGTAATTGTACTCTTGCTGGTAGAAATGATATAACATAAATATTGTAAAACTTATGAGAATTATACAAATGTTGTAATCGAAATTGAATTTGAAATTTAATCTCGAAATGTTTTAAAAATGTAAAGTTTTTTAATTTACAAATGTCCAAAATATAGTAGTGCACCCTACATTATCAATAGAAAGAATTGCTTGCTGAAGCCTTATTTTGCTTATAAAATATAATTTCTTTCATTTTTAATAGAGCACAAGTAATTGATTTCAATTACTTGCAAATCCTGTGAAAAATATTATGTAAATTTTTTACTTACTAGTTTTATGTCATTTTTATAATAATTTAAAGAATATGGCGTCTCAAGTTTAATAATGAGTACTTGAAAATACTGAATTTAAGTATTATCAATATAATTAATCGTCATAAAATGTATATAAATAAATTAACTGTAAAAGTCTGCTTTTGTGTGAAACCTAACACAATTAAATGTATGAGTCCGGGTTATCATAAAATATATATTCACCTCAATATCTATTTATATTTAAAATTAACCTTAAAATACAATTGTACTTTAATAAGGTTATTAAATTAAACCTGTATGTGTATAATATGTAAATACTTGTTGTTTACTTTTGGCGTTGAATTAGATGTGGCAATGGTTGACTTGAATAACCAGATTTTTTAGTTATAAGTGTGATATTAGATAATCTGGGAGCTTTAATTGATTGTTATGCAATAAATATTTATTTTCTACCTGTACTACAGAATGCATTTTATTTAATAAAGTTTTTTGTTGAATGGTGCTGCAGGAATTCATTCAAAAGTGAAAATCTTTTATGCCTATTTATAAAAGTATATTTTAATATATAAAAAAATATTAAAAGTAATAAGAGGCATATTTTAAAGGTTTTTACAACAGAAAATAATAATTGTCAAGAAACGTAACAAAACCAAAATGAAACGCTTATCGGTTGAATTTTGGTCTTATAATTACAAATGACTAGCAGAATCCGCGGCTTCGTTCGCGCTAAAACTACTAAAAAACTGGCTTTATGCTATTAGTAGTAATGTATGGAAGACTGCTCGATTTGTTGACTTTATGATTACTGTTCCGCTCCCTTAGGTAGTAGCATGACGATAGATGCCTTCCTCAATAAACGTTTTATGTAATTCAAAAAGAATTTTTCGGATCGGATTAGTAGTTCCTGAGATTAGAACTTTCAAAGAAACAAACTCTGCCTCCTTATAATATTATTAGTAAGTAGTGTCTTAAACCTTAGTCTCTTCCGTGACCATGATTGCTGTAAAGCATTTGAAACGTAGGGAACCAAAAATCAAAATAAATCCGCGTATATATTCGGAAAAAATAGTTTTATTTAAAATGTCAATATTCGTAAGTGTAAATCTATGAAAGTATAAATTTCGGCAATCGGCTCTCGTACTCAAAAAGTCACGTGACCAAAAAACTATGGAGGATAGACGTAAGGCGAACCATGTTTTGAGAGAGACAAGTTGTTAAAAGGCGTTTTCAAATGGGAAAGACTTTTGCCTTTTTCGCTCGATCGATCGATGCACAATCTTTATGGTCCTCAGAATATTGTAAAGCTCTTTAACGTGGATGGATGTTTTTTTAATAAAATCACAAATTGCACAGTGCCGGATTGCAAAGAAAATGGATATCATTTGTTCCCAAAAGACAAAAACTGAACAAACTATGGGTTAAGGCAATGGGGAAGAAGAATTTGGTTTTTTCTCCCGCCAGATGTCGCTATTACTATAGCCCTCAGTAAATTGTAAATATTGGGCTTAGAATAATAATTAATATGGCAGCATTATAGTACGTCATAACTTTATTTGATAATAAAAATAATTATTGTCAGCTGAGATTGAGAAATGCGAAATTCCCGAAATTGTTGTTGTTTTTCTTTATTCTGGCTGTTCAAAACTTAACAAAAATGAAGAATTTTCCTGTGTTTGTGTTTCCTGTGTCGTTGGAATTTTATTTTAGCGCAAGACATACTCATAAGCAACTATTAACTGTTTATAATCCATATGACTTTTCCGTGAATTTTAAAGGTACTTAAATAATTATTTCACAATGTTTCCATATGGTATTATATTTTCAATCGACGTGTTTTTTTTTTCAGTACTATGTACGTCTCCAAACAAGTTTACTGTTATTGACCCAGAGGGAGTGATAGCTCCTCAAAGTTGTATAGATATTGTTGTACGTTATACTCAACCCTGCGTGTCGCATTGCAATACCACAGAAAAGTTTAGAATTACTATGTATGATAGAAATACTCAACAGGTATGTATTTATTTTTATATATAATGTCAACATTTAATTTAACATATGAGTAATGAATATAATATGATATCATTGCTTGTAAAAATTTATTTACTGTCAATATTAATATAAAAGTAAATAGGCTAAAATAGTTTGCATATTACAGCAGTTTTCTAAAATAAAGTTATTGTTACAAACTTTTAGGCTTTGGGTAAAAGAGATATTCCTACGAAATTGATAGAAGGTGAACCATCAAACTCAAATCCTGAAAGCTTAGGTGACAGTTTTCACCCATTAACAACAAAGGCAGGTGCTTTACAACCTTCTGAAGATCATGGACGACTAATATGCAACCATCCTTCACATCACAGGTATACACTATACAATATGTTATATTATAGTCATATTTTTAGAACTTGACAACAGTTATCATTAACTCCTCTGTGGTTAGTTTCCAGGAAATCAATTGTTAACTGCCATGCCGGCACGTTCGCAACTGTTGAAGCGTTAAACTTAGTGTCAATTTAGTAATAACTATTGTAACTATTAGTCGATAAAGTATTATAGAAGATTTTTATTCTTTATAACTTAAACCCTTAAATTAAGGGATTCTTTTAATGGAAATTAATTTTATGATATGAGTATAATTAAAGAATGTTTGTATATTATTATTGCAGAGAACAACAACCAATTAATGTTGTAGCTGTTGCAGTCAGTATATGTTGTATAGCTGCGTTATTACTGCCTACTCAGCCTGAGCAAATCGTAAAGTCACAATGGCCAGAATGGTTGCACATTGGATCCAACCTCAAATTAGTATTTTCATTTGTACTAGGACTTGTAAGTATGTTGGTATTAAGACCATAGACTTCCTATTTCTATGTAATATTTATTATTTCTAGACATACTAACAATAATTTCACTACATAAAACATATAACATAGACAAATGTAAAATGAAATGGAATACAAATGTCTATTTATATATACAAATATTCCTAGACCTGTAACTAAAAAAATAAAATCTCTTATAATGTACAAGGAACAGGTTTTGAATGAATTTAATACTATAAATATTGTAAAATATTTTTTTATTTTTAGATTTTAAGATGTAAATCTACTTAGTATATTTGATTTGGTGGTATTTTAATTAAATTAACAAAAAAGGCATCTATATTATTGTTTATTTTAAATATTATATGATGTGAGAATAGCATTTATGTTTATTTGTGGGTGGTGTTATTTATATTTTGTGTGGTTAAAGCTGATTTTTTTAAAGAAAACATGACAAATTTCAATGTTGTAAAACAAGTTTGTCAATTGGTTAAAGCAGTCATATATTATATTATATATTATATATCTTTATATCACATATATTATATATTATATATCTTTTCTGTGAGATAAAACAAATTCTATGTAGCAAGACTTGCTTATTTGTTTTATGAATGTTTTGTTAAAGCATATGTAAAATAAAAGTTAGCCATTAGGTGCTCAAATTAATTATATGTCAATATCATATTTAAGTTTAACTATCAAAAATGGCTTGTAAAGTGCTAGAGCATGAAGAAATTAGTTTTATGGGCAGGTACCTTTTTTAAATAATTTGTTTTTAATATGTGGTTCCCAAAAATTCTTGATGGCAATTATTATATAAAATCTTTTAATCTAAAGATCTTTTCCATTAAAATCTATATACTTTTAACTTTAACTTAAATTAATATAGTTCTTTAATGTATGACATAAATGGATCTTAAATTTAACTTAGTTTGCACATTAGCCTTGACTACAGATTGTGGTGAATACACTTTGTATATTTTCTTGCAGTCTGATTTAAAATTGCTGTCATGAGTATTGTATTATATATTAGAACTGTATAGGTATTGATGGTCTGTATATAAGTTTCGGTTCTTGGGACCATTATCTTAATGAAATTCATGCCAAATATATGAATCATCACAGATTTTTATGTTTTATTTAATTAACCTTTTTTTTTTTTTTTTTTATAGTTGGGAAATCCTATTACGGATACCACCCGACTTCCCCCGGGGTGGTTATGTGGAGACTCTCCGGCTAATGAGACCGGCATACCCACTAAAACCCAACTTTCCCCCTCTGCCGCCATGTGGGGCGCCACGGGATCGCTCTCGCATACAACCGCGACGCCCCGACGGTTGGCCGAAGCCACCAACCATGAGGCCGCTCCAAGCGGGACAACCCCATTATGGGAAGACTTACAACCCAAAAAGTGAGGCCGCTCCTAAGTCGACTCTGCTGATCAGAGAAGTACCTGGAGCAGCCCCACACCACACAAACACCGCCCACCGAAGTGGGCTACCTCCAATCGGCTGCAGAGGACAGGGAGAGCGGCAACGAAACACCGACACTCCTCTTCCCCTGCAGCCCCACCGCGTCCGCCATCAAACGGTGGCGGTCCCGTCTAGGCCGCGGAAGGTAGGGAGAACGGCGCACCGAAATACCGGCACTCCTCTCCCGCCGCGGCCTACCCCTCCGCCGAATGCGGGCCTGCGACCATAGTCCCGCAATCGGCACCCATCATCCGGTTGTGGGACCAAGCGGTCCCACCACCGGTGGCCGCAACGTCTTCGGCTCGAGGCCTAGACGAGCGGCCCCATCCAAGCCATTTGGTCCGCGCCGGATTTCTCCGGTACCACCCGCCCCTCTAAGCGGGTGGCATGCCCCTATCCGCCACCTGGGGACGCGCCCGGTAGGAGTTGGCTTCTCCCCCGGGTTATTTAATTAACCTGGAGTAATTAATGTTTTCATCTGTATAATTTTAATATCTCCATAAAGTATTTTCAGGGGGAATGTTGTGCCTTACTAAATTATTACCAAAATAAAAAAGAACAGACCAAACATTTTTACTGCAAGTGTAATGCTTATATTCCTTAATTTATCCTTAGTAATATCTTTTTGTCAGAACTGGAAATTGTACCTTGCTTTTTTGTTTAATAATAATTACATCAGTTTTTATAAATACAACAATCCATAATTTATTTCTTGGATACTTTTGTGTACTGAGACTTATCTTCAGATAGTCAGTATGCAGAATATAACAAGGTATAAGTTCAATATTAAAAAGTAAATGAAAAAACATAAACATTGTATAACTTTATTTCTTAACTATTCTAATAGGATCACAATAATCTAATTAGATACCTATTGAAATTACTGAGCAACATTCATAAATAAAACCAAGCAAAGTGATAAAGACAACTAATCTTTTTTATATATTTTTTTTACTTTCAAGTCTACCTATGTAATAATTAATAGGTAATTTTTTTGTTTTAAAAAATTACGTTTTAACTTTATATTTACTATTGTTAAGGAAGAATGATATTTTGCCATCAATATAATTCATGCATTTACTCACTTGAATTATCAAGTTCTAAGATATGTAAAGTTGCCACAAATACAAATGCCATTAATATATGATAATATTTATTCTAGATCATATAATGGGGTGTAACACTAATTTTGTAAGAAAACATCCCTTCATTCTGATCTAATTTGACTAGAATTACTATGCAATATACTCAGTACACAAAACTTCAAACAGCTTTAGTGCTAAACCTATATTAATTAAAACATCTGGAAAGGAAATATGTTGGTAGTGGAATGACTTTGATTTTCCTTAGCAAAATTTATGCAACACAATTTTTTGTCATTTTGGACGGACAAAACTATATATTTTACTTTTACATACTACGATAATGTGACATTATTTAATAAACAATATTGACAATAACATTTTATTGTAATATGTATTAACTATAGCACATTTCAATTCCTATTTTACTGCAGTACATGTCATGTAAAGCTAATAATTTTAAAGAATATAAGTGCTATGCAAAAACAATTTTTGTAAATATTTTAAATTTCTAAAAATGCAAACAGGAAATTGTAATATATAATATCTGTAGATCAATTTAAAACTAGCTTATCTAATTATTGTTCAGAAAGATATGCTACAAATCAACTATGATATGAGTAAATAATGGATGAAGAACAGTTGCCACTTCAGTATACTTCAAAGAGTTCAACCCATCGTTTAACATACTCTTTTTATGACGATTCAGAAAAGTGCTCCCAACATTTCTGAAAAATAAGTACTAAATATAATTAAAACACATATTATTATATCTACATTCTACATACTAGAGGCACAACCTTTGCTTTGCTGCAGGTTCGTCCCTAGACAAAAAGAAATCTATCCCACAGGAATCATACATTTCTTTGGTATTAAAAGTAACCTGTGTGATATTCCAGACTATAATCTATCTCTGTGCCAAATTTAATCCAGATTTGTTCAGCTGTTCTGGTGTAAAAGAGTAACAAACATGAATGTTTGCTTCAAACCTCACAAACTTTCACATTTATTAGTATGGATATTGTATATTTTATTAATATGTTAATATAATTGAGTAGTAATTTTTTCATTAGCATAACTATAATGTGACAACTATAAAGGTGTAGTTTTTTAACAACATATATTAATTTATAAAATATATTTTATGCATGCTCACCTTTTTCCTTGCTTATAATGAGAAAACATGTAATAGCGGCTAGTTTTTGGTTCAAAGCGTGTTATTTTTATATTGCAAGACTCTAATCGGGTATAAAATTCATCATCTTCACCTCCCCAGCCAAAGTACTCATTACTCATACCATTTACTGCTTTGAACTGCTTAGAGGCTATTGATATGGCACCACTAAACATATGGAGATATGGCAGTACAAATCTGAAATAAATAAAACATTCTTAACTTTCCACAAAAATAAAATATAATTAGTATAGTACAGAATATACGTTATAATGATCATGTCACACTAATTTTATAGATCATAATGAAAAATGTAACAGCTCAATTCATTTAACTGAAATTTGTTTGGGACTGGACATAACATACATTTTGGATTAACATTTAGCACCTTTAACAACAAACCTTACAAATGAGCAGAGATTCTGGCGAAAACAATACAATATATTTATGTTACAGATATTTAAAATCACCTAAACTTATTGATGCTAGCAGACATATGTCGTGGAAATATAGTACAAGCATACAAGTTGGCTGGCCTCAATGGTAGCAAGTCAAGATCATGCAATATGAGGCAAGGATATCCAGCTCTCATAGCAGCTATAGCCCCAACATTCATCAACTTGGCTTTGTTAAAAGGACGAGAATCAACTTGTTCAATAACATAGATTCGGTAATGGATATGTTGTCTTCTAAGAAACATATGCATGTATACCAAGAAGCCACGCAATTGCTCAGCTCTGTCCCTGCAAGAAAAAAATACTTATAATACCTACATTGAAGTAGGTATTATTCAAAATTAAATAATTATAACATACCTGTACGGAACAATAATTGCAGTGCTGAACTTAGGTCTACACTCGATTGGTGCGTATTCCCCACCATCTTTAATTCTGTGACCCTCGATTAAATCAACATCAACAATACTTACTGGTAAATTTGTGTCATCGTTAATAACGTCGTAATAGTCACAGTCGGCAATGGCAGTACTAGAAAAATTATCAGCTGTTTCTAGTTGTAGGTTACTTAAAATTTCTTCTTTCTCAATAAATTCATATGTTCCTATAGCATTTCTGTCAGGATGTAGCAGAATTATGAACGTTAATAGAAGAAAACCTCCGTATAAAATCTTTTTTTTGAATCCATAATGACGCATGACACAAAACATATAACAACATAAGTTTTTTTATATATAACAAGTTTAGTTAAAAATTTGTTAAAACATAAAGTAATATTTTATTTTTTGTAAACACTGCATTTGTATGAACAATGTTAAATAATGCGGCATTCTTGTCTAAATTTGAAAAATTACAATTGATTAATGATTGTCATTGTCAAACAATGACATGCGAAAGCTGAGTGCACACACGAGTCCGCGCATTCATAGTTTTCTGCTCCCTTTTGTGTGTACGCTCCATCGGATTTGTTCCCTTCGAGTGCTGTGTGTCAAAGGTTATCTATTTTATAATACAAGTTAAGGTTTTCTACACAGAGTACTCTTTTTTGTTTTCTAATAAAACTCGATAAATAAGCCCTGCCACACGATGGACTGATGACCTAAGGAAAGTGGAGGGCAGTGGATGGATGCGGACTGCCCAGGACCGTTCGTTCGGGCAATAGTCTGATGTATGTATATAAGTTCAAGAAATATGGAAGGAATTTTTATGTTACTTATTTATTTATCATAATTTTCGTAATTATAAAAGTCTTACAATACTCCAACAAAAGTAGGTAGTCTATTTAAAAAAGGCCGATATTACGCTACATTTACACGCTTTTCAAGTCTCGACAAGCGTCCACTAACACGAGCGTGTGTACGGGGCGTTTGGCTTGGCTTCCGTGAGCTTGTCACGATCCGGGCTAGTGTCGGTCTTTGAACACAAATCAAAAGAAGCTTACGGCAAGCGATTGTGGCGTATTGACACGTCGCATTGATGAATGTTTAGTGTCGCACTCGCTCACGGCGCTAAAAATTAAATTAAATAAAAATTCAAAACTATAGATTCGGCCTCTGTATCGATAATAATTTCTATTGCAATAAGATTTTCCAAAAAATATTTAATGTACAGATTCAGTACATAGTTACAATTTTATTAAATGTCTAGTTAAAAATATGCCAAGCCAAACGTAATAGTCGACACAACTTCAACGTCCACGTATGCACAGCTCGCCTGTCCGGAACTCTCTCAAGTCCAAGTCGCAAGCGCTTAAACGGCATTCAAGCGTTTGTAAAGATTTGGGGCTTGTTGACGTTTGCCAAGCCTCGGCAAGCGTGTAAATGTAGCGTCAGAATTTTTTTCATTATTAAGACAGTTGAAAACAATTTCCTTTTCAAAGTTTTATTTCAAGTTTTATTTAATACAAAGATTTTATTTACGAGTAATATTAAAATGTTAAAATGGACTATCAAGTAGCTTATCGATTTATTATATCATTAATATTTTCATCATTAATCAAAGTTCATGAAATCAAATTATACTTCTTATCCATTTAATTCGATTTAATTCAAAATTATATATTATTTAATACTTACAACTGTGTAACATTGAATTTTGTATTTGAAGATAGATACAATATTATGAGGGTAGATAGAAAATCGTCTAGACAAATTTAAATTTATCGCTATAGACAGAGACACTTAAAGGAATTCCTTAGTAATAGGTGCTTATCTGACAAAGAAAATTATTAGTTTTAGTTTTTTTATCAAAGTTATAAAATAAAATGTCTTAAACTGGCACAAGACACACACAATAAAGAAAAATTAAAATGACATCTTCTAAAGTAAGAGAAACTAGTTTTGCTACAGAATCTTCAGAAGATATTGAACAAATAACTAATAATTCAATTGAAGTTATTCGTAAATGTTCTACTAATCATCATATAGACACATCTTGGGATCAGAGTCACTATGTCTCATTTCGAGAGAGAAAAAATAGTGAATGTGATAAAACTCCGCCTTTCATGAGTATTATGATTGACAAAGAATCTCCGGACAGCAAAGTCGACAGTTCTACTCAAACTGAACTTGTTAGTTCTTATCAAGGTGGTATAATTGACGTGAATTTGTCGTTTGGTAAAGATTTCAAATTGGAAGATACATCATCAAATGAAGATGATGCAAGGTTTTTAAGTAGCAAGCGTTTTCGACACGATTCCTTTGAAGATATTGACAAGGAAACACGACCAACAAAAAAGACGAAATGTACAGAGTCCAATACATCGAGTACTTCAGATTTGATTGACAAACATATTCCGCATGATTCTACACCCTCAAGCGGATTATGTTCAGAATCGGAAGTTTCATTTAAATCAGCCAATAGCAATTATTCGTACAAAACTCGTAAAAGAAGACGAAAATCAGACACCAGTTTAATAAAAAACATATTACAAAAGTCAGGAAGAGGTGCTTATTTTTGTAAACGTTTCTCGGAAAACAATTCATCAGGTACATTGCTTTCTTTGTACTTTAATGTACTTTTCATAAACAGAGTATTGTACTCATGCTTGTCTACATATGAATATATAAAGTGTTTAACTGCCTCGGTGTTGTAGTGGCTAGCATATACGGCTGTACATCAGGGTTTGAGTCCCAGGTCGGGCCAAGTTATTGAGTCTTTCTGATAAGAAAATTCCAGTAACATCCCGGAGTTGGGAAGTTGCCGGTGTATCACCGTCGTGCTTGGAGAGCACGTTAAACCGTCAGTTCTGCGCCTGATCCCTCATCACGAGTGTCAAATTATCGTTCCATCGGAATTTGAGAGTAACAGTAATAGAAAGTGCACTTGTATGAGCGTACACTCGTACACTATAATATCTCCTGAGCATACTACTAGCAACTATAATATCTGCCTAGCCTCAATCAGTGAAATTATGTTTTCAGTCAGTAGGTAGTCGTGGCCGAAATTGGTCGGGAGGATATAATATAAAGTGTTTTTTTTTTTTTGCTTGGAGAAAAAAGATGAATAGTATTTCGAAGTTAAAACCATCTATTGATACATATAAAACCACAAACAATAAGTGAAAGTGATATATTTATTTACTTTTTATTCTCTTAAATCTGTATATCTGTATAAATATTATAAATGTGGAAGTTTGTAAGTATATATGGATGTTTATTACTCTTTCTCTCTGGATCTGGATGAAATTTGGCACAGAGATAGATTATAGTCTGGAATAATACATATACTTTTACTTTTTATCCCGGAAAAATATACGGTTCTCGAGGGATAGATTTGTTTTTTGTTTTCTAGAGGCAAACCCGAGCGAAGCGAGTCTAACTTGCTATTACCTAACTCCACCTATATATTTGTGTTTTGTTTTAATAAAAAATAGTAAGTATATGTATAAAAGGGCATTAGGTCAAGTTGATGTATTGGTCACATTGTCAATAAGATAACTTTTTATTTGTATCAAACCAGTCTCAGTAGACAAATATAGTTCCATGACATCATCCTCGTCACTTTAAACTTTAACGGCTGTGCGGATAAATTAAGTTTATTAGCGTAAAGACCACAGTGCACTTCTCGTATTACTCAAATGTTATGTAAATTTTTTGATATGATTTTTGGAAAGAGTGTTGTGATAGATATGGAAAAAGAAAATGATGCTATAGAATTGGTGGGTGAAACGTTGTGGTATGCCTTCTCAGATGGAACTCCCAGAAAGGAGAAGCCGCTCCGCCACAGTACTCGCACCAAAACATGGAAATTAATGGATTTATGTACATGGATTGGCAGGAAGGTAAAATGAATATCTGTATAAATCCTTTTTTTGATTGTTTATTTAACGTCGTATTTATTTATTTATTTTTTATACATACGTTTTAAATATAAATGAAAATATTATGACTCTTAAGGATTCATTTTTAGTATGCGTAATAGCTATTATTTTCAATATGTTGTTAAAGATGAGTAACTATTGATTTTTAAATTACTAATACTAACTATACTAAATATTAAACGATTATTTGTCTTTATTTTTTTCTCTAATCCACTAAGCAGCTGCAACGCGAAGAAGTATAAAATATAACAACACAACAAACTCAATTCACAAACTTTCGTATTTAAGATATTCATGTAATTATCAGGGTTTCCAATCTATTACTGGATTATACGGTGACATACTTAAAGATTCAACATATTGTGAAGACAAGAAAGATAACATTTTAGTAGAAGAAGTAAAGCAACTAAAAAGGTTCGTAGAGGAAGTGGACCAAAAGTATAATCGCTTGGCGCGCGAAAATGAGAACTTACAGGATAAAATGAAAAAAATGTCGGCGAAAATAGCGGAGCTAGAAAATAATTTAAGGTTCGAATTTACATTGAGTTCATTAAAAGTAATAGTTTGTTATAACTTATAAACAAGAAAGATTCGTTTGTTTGTAATCAATAAGCTCTGAAATTTCGGAACCGATTTTAATAATAGTTCACCATTAAAGAACTATTTTGTCCAAAGTAACTTAATCTATATTAATGTACTGATAAAAGGATTTCAATTTGAAAATAAATAATTTAATTATTAAATAAAATCGCGTAAATCTAAGAAAGTATTAAATAATTTAATTTTTACATACATTTGTGAATATTATGAAAAAGTTTTATTTAATAATAGTAATTCAAAACCTCTTGGTTTTTAAGACTAGACATAATTTTACGGTTCTATTTTTAAATAAAACATTGAACGAAACTAATTATTCAATAAAATATTTTTCTTTTCACTGTCTATTAGGATGAAATTAATACCTGTAGGTCCAATAGGTACTTTCAAAGTTCGCTTAATCTATACTGATCTAAGTCACTTATACAATCTGATTTAGCAAGCAGCAGAATGCATCTGTTTCTTGGTTCTTCACATTAGTAATTTTAATAATGTAGTACGAGTATAATCTGCAATGTAACATTTTTTAAGGATGACTAACGTCTTACAGTTTATATAATGAACCTTTATGACTATAATAGATTGTAGTTATGCTTTATTTGGATACTTCCTAAAGTAGTAAGTAGTTTTTCATGTAACAAAAATATGTTTTAAATAATGTTTTAAACACTATTAAAACCATGATATCGACAGAGCTCAAAAAGATAAACTAGACAAAACATGTCAAAAGTAAAATTTCCTTGTTCTCGAAACAAATTCAGAGTCATGATAAAATACAAAGAAGATTCTGGTTTCCGTTTTCTATGTCGGAACAAAATTTAAGTTAAGCGAACTACATAACAAGTCAACGTGACCATCTCTATATGACAAATAATGGTCCCTATGGGAATCGAACCCATGACGCTTAATTGCGATGCCTATCCATTTTCTTTTTTAACGTTGGGAAATACATTTACACATACCACCTGCATACATACAGATGGTTATGTGGGAGAGAAGCCAATACGACCCACAAAAAATCATCGGAATTTCTACCATCTTAACGGGGCAATGCAGAATCACTAAGGCATTCAATCACAACGTCCCCACGATAGCCTACCGAGGTAGACCGCAACAACCAAGGGGTTGCTCCTATGATCCACTCTGCTATCAGAGAAGTAGGTACTTGGATCAAACCACCTAGCGCGTCTCTTAACTTTACGCACGGATTTATTGTCGGGATAGTTAGCACCACCCACCACGACAAGATCAACATATTATGTACATCGATCAATGATTATAATAGTAAAAATAATCGTATTATATAAATTCACATTGTTATTTTAAGTATTTAACTAATTTAAACTGTTATATATTACAGCCAACAACCACCTAAGGTGATATCTCCATGTCCACCATCTTGTCCTCCTCCTCCTCCACCACCTCCACCTCCGCCACCTCCACCGCCCCCGTCACAACCAAGCAAACTGCCAGTTCGTGCTCATACAATACCGAGATGTGGATCTGCTCCACCAAGAATAGCCGCACCGCGACTCACAATAACTCCTCAAGATATCGCCAATGTTAAATTAAGGAAAACTAAGGTATTTTACGTTAGCTACAAATATCTCTAGCACAATATAATATATTTTTATTATAAGTGACAAGTAATTTAGGTAAAGCAACAATCATATACAACAACATCCGTAGGCGGTTACGGGACAACTAGGGTTCGTGGCGCGCCGCGCGATACAATTGCTATAAAGCCAAAATATGTGTGCATCAGTACTATACAGTACTGCCACTACAGTACTTAAACAATAATTAGAATAAGAATAAACATCGTGTGAAATATAGAACATAGTTTTATGATATTAAAAACCTCAATATACACTCGCGTGCAACTGAATCGACTCAAGTCGTATATTGGTATATAAGTTTATTCATTATGCTGTTGCTTTCTTCATTTTTTATGCATTTCTGTCAAATTAAATTTTATCAATAAATACTCAACCGATTTTTCTCATTAGGATAGCATTTTTTAGAAGAAAAGATTAGACTTTCAAACAAAAAAAAAACAAGAAAATCGGATAAGCCATTTTCCTAAAAATCGAACTTTTATACCAATATACGGCTTGAGTCGATTCAGTTGCACGCGAGTGTAGTAACGCTTACCTATATCTCGTGGGTGATGAGAAAACTCAGTACTAAGGAGTCTCTAATCTAAACTCATCTCATCTCCCAATACCTACATATGTTTCGCTTTTTGTAAAATCATAATAATTCGCCTTGTGCAAAAACGTCCAACAGCTATCAGCCTTTCATTGACCTTCGGAAGACGAAAGGTAAGTTATTTATCGTGATGAAAATAGACAGGCATTTTGACTTTAAGTAGCTAGCTCACTTAATTGTATAATCCGCGAAAAAATCCGAAATGATAGTTTTATTTAAAATGTTCATATAATCGGTTCCGTAGGATAACCCCGTCCGACCCAAGCCTGTACAGAAGGAGCAACAAGTTCTCGTAACGCAACACATGCTAGAAACTACAAGAGCAAAACTTGGCCGCAACCGACCGATCGCCGCCTCTACTCCTAAACAGCAACTCAGCGAGTTGGAGAAGTATATAATATCTTTTCTATTATAAACAATTTATTTAAACACAAAAATGTCTACTGGATGTGTGTATGTTTTTTACCTCTTCACACTGAAAAGTATTTGGTTGCTTAGTACACAGATAGATAATAATGTATGGCTGCACATCCGGAAGCCCTGGGCCCTGGGTTCAAACCCCCGGTCAGGCCTAGCTTAGTTCTTGAGTAGGTATATCTGATAATAAAGTCCCAATAATAGTCCGGAGTTGGGAAGTTAGCGGTTTATCAACCTCCTGCTCGAAGAGAACGTAAAGCTGCACCTGATCTCTCAACAGTCGTGTTGAATTATACCTATCAGAATTTGAGAGAGAAACTAATAGAGAGTGCACTAGTGTCTGCGCATGCACTTGTGCATTAAAATATCTCCTGCGCAGTCAGGGATTGGCCGCCGTGGCCGAAGTCGATCGGGAGGATATCGTTAGGTTATGATGAGTAACACAGGCTACTGTATTTTCATTTGAAACAAAGACGATTCGAGAGACGCACCTGAGCGAAGCGAAAGTTAGTAATATCTAAATTATACTTATAGAACATTTCCGTCATACATGATTTCTGTGTAGCTTTAACCATTAAGGTTGCACACGCGACGGAAGCTTAAAAAATGGAGTAACTTCTCCCGTTTTTCCAACATTTCCCTTCACTATGCTCTGCTCCTATTGATTGTAACGTGATGAAAAGTATACTTTAACCAGCTCAGGAGTATGAAAAATAATTGTACCAAGTTTCGTTAAATTCCTTCGAGTAGTTTTTGTTTCTATAACGGTTATACAGACAGACAGACAAAAATTTTACTGATTGCATTTTTGGCATCAGTATCGATCCCTAATCACCCCCTGATAGTTATTTTGGAAATATATTTCATGTACAGAATTGACCTCTCTACAGATTTATTATAAGTATAGATAATATGCACATAATATATCAATTTATTATTTCTAGATGCCTTTTGCAAGAATCATCTGTGACGTCACTCTACCGGCGGCGAGTGACGCGTGGATCATTTCGCAGTGCGGAGGAACTACGCGTGCGGCCGTACCCCGTGCGCTCCCCATGCTCCCCGCGCTCCCCTCGCTCAAACTCCCTCTCCCGAATGACCTCAACCTCCCCACTCAAATTCCCTCTCATTTGCTCAAGCAAAGAATGACTATAAAATAGATACGAAGTATCAAAATTTATGTTTTTTAGATAAAGGTAAAAAATAATGATATAATGAGTCATGGCGCTTATTTAATTTATTTATTTGAGGACTGGATCTATCACATTTGTATAGGTATAACGATCGTCGCAAATTAATATTTGTAAAATTTAAATAAAATTGTTGATTAATTGCTTTAGATGTTTTAACAAAAAATGAAGTGGTATCTATTGAAGTTATCAGTGTGCATATAAAAATATTTGTTTGATATATTTATTACGAAATTGACTGAGAAGAATATTAGTCAAATAACTTACATAAGTCTATCTTTTGCTCTAAAGCAGATGTTTTTTTTTTTGTAGAAATTATTATGTATTTAATTTTTTTAATAAATTTATTTAAAAACATAATATAATAAATGTATACAAGTGAGAAACACTGAAATTAAAATAGTACCTACCTAATTAAATGTGAACCGTAAAGTAGCAAGTTCGTTTAGAATAGTATTATATGATCTGTGGTTTAGTTAAATACCCGTCTATAAAACAGGAAGTATTAACGTTCTGTAACATTTCTTTTTTATTTTATAATTTGACGAACCTAGTGCTAATATTGAAGTAATTTCAGTGTTATTTCCTTGTTTATTTATAGGTAGTATATAAAATATTCTAGACATTGTGTCATACAATTATACTTTCTAATATATTTTGTCAATAATTGATTTATTGTTTTGACTGGAAGTTTATAACATCAATACTATATTTGATATATTGTGATTAAATGATACATATATTATATGTTTCATGTTTTTTTTGTACAAATATTTTACTATTCTTATTTGTCCCTGTAAGAATAAAATGCAATTACTTTCTTATTTTTAACGTTGAAAAATGCATTTACGCCCACCGGTCGATAGCTATCGGTACCCGGTTATTTACCAGGTAGAAGAAAATCCATAAGTATCCTGCTAGCCTATCAAAATTGATATTACTAATAATGTTTTTAGTAGTATTAGTTCGCATGATTTTCCCCACGGCTTAACTCGCGTGGACTAAAAAAAATTGTTTTTTTAATCACTCCAGAACCACTTAACTACTTAAGTTTAGCTAAAAAAATCGCGGACAGGAAATAAGAATTTAATGAAGAATGTCAATGGGTCTGATAAATGACTTGAAACTTTATAACCATGTAGCCTAAATGTTTAAAAATACATCTGTTTTTGTTTCATTTAAATCAAATAAGTAATGTTGTAGTTACAGCAATTTTAATTTCTGTCCTTTTCAAATATTTCGTGCGAGCGCGCCATGCGAGCGCGACGTTATAACACAACGCAGCGTTCTAACCGTACACTTATTCATTACAATGTTCCCTATGTTCGACCACAATCATGTTTTAAACTTAGATTTTTATGTGTATCAGCGTTACAATAGTGTTAAAAAGTATAATATTAGAAATGATCTTCTATACATATAATAAAATTCTGAGTCTTTAAAATACTTTAAATATTTTTTATTTAAAGCCTATGTCTGCTACTTTTATCGACTGGCGCTGAGATTTTTCACCACCTTGTAAAAGTGTAGTGGCAATTCCACATGGAGCCACAGCTAATGCAATCCCATAATTACTTCTTAATTTGGTCAAAAGCAATTTTCGTTTAAAAAAAAGTTATTTAAGTATTTAAATGTTTCGTTAATTAAGCGTCAATAACATTTATACCCATTTTTAATTCAACTCGACCCTGATAATATTTTTACCCTCTCAAGGACGGATTTCGAATAATCTGATTGACATTAAAATCCCAAAATTATAACAGTCGCACCCCCTTTTCCTTTTTTAAGGAATTAAATCCAAAAAAATCAATATAAACAGTACAAAACGCTTTTATTTTTTTATTTAAAAAATCACTTTTTGTGCATTTCACATAAGAAAATTACAGAGTTTCATACAAACTTTCATCCCCTATTTGACCCCCTTAAGGGCTGAATTTCGAAAAATGATAAAATATATAGTTTTTATTTGTATTGAAGAGCATTGATACCAAGTTTCAAGTGAATCTTATCATAAATAATGTTTAACCCATATAAACTTTCAACCCCTATTTCACCTTTTTAGGAAACATATCGACGCTTGAAAGGCTAATTGGTCTAAGCGACATTTTTTGCGATATTGAGTTATATACATATTCGGAATCAGCCAATTTTTCTCCGTCGTTTAAGTCATGTTTCAATTTTTTTTTACTACTTTTTCGGCGCTTAGCACCCACAGCAAAACCGTCCTCATTTCTAAGCTCATCGATCTATACGACACAAAATTAGACAAATTTGAGGACTCGTTGACTTAAGCTGTTTTGATCTTTCAAATTTTTATAACGTGTGTCGATTAACGCATTTGGCTTTTTCGCTATGGTTATGGTTTTGTCGTTTGGCCTATTTTGAATTAAAGCAAAACAATAAGGTATGTCGTTTGGCCCATTTTGCATTCAATTCTCTATCTTCTTCTTCTATTGATCTATTGTTTTTTTTTCATATAAAAAAAAAATGCCGAGTTTCTATTGTTTTTGATAAAGAATGTCAATTTTTGGTTGTTTTTAGACGAGATTATTTTTTTTTTTTACTTCTGATTTATTATAAGCAACTGAAAAGTTTTTTTTTGTAATATTAATGTTTGATTGTTACTTAAATTAGGTACGTCCATATTCCTCCCCAACGTGCGTTCACCTTGTCGTGGTGGGGGGGCTCAGTAGTGCCCGGCAACCCAACCGGGCGCGAAGCCAAGAAACGCACAGGGAGGTGGCCCACTTCGGTGGGCGGTGGGAGGTGGCCCTCTTCGGAGGGTGGTGTACCATGCGGGTTGCTCCTGGTACTTCTCTGATAGCAGAGTGGACCTTGGAGCAACCCCGTGGTTGTTGTGGTCTGCTTTGGCAGACCTGCCGTCGGGGCGTCGTAGTTGAATGCGTAAGCGATCCTGCGACGCCCCATTAAGACGGGGGAAGGCTTTGTTGGGTTTTAGTGGGTAGTACTGGCTTTGCCGGTGAGTCCCACACCTCGTGCGTAAATGAATTTCCCAACGTTAAAAAAAAAAAAAAAGGTACGTCCATATTGAAGACTGATATTGAATAAATTATAATTAATAACATTTGTTTTTTTATTTATAAAATAATACTAAAGTACAATAATTTTATATTTTGTGGTGTAATTACTACCTAGGCTTAGGGTGATACACCACCTTATCTTATACATTGTTCCAAGCCAGTTCCAATAATTCCTATACACCAAAACGATTTTTTATAATATAAAAAAATTTACAAGACACTGTCTAAAATTTTAAATTGTATAAAGTGGCATACCAACCCTAGAAAAATATCTTATGGACGTCGTTGCTGAACAATGATGGCCTAAGCAGCAATATCTACTATAATCTATTAAGGGATCATTTTGTTTCATCCCTCTAATGGGTATCTGCATCAAATAACTTCATTCTGGTGCAACACCATTATGTTGTTAAGGCTCATGGGCATATTCAACTATCAGTTGACTTGGCGCTAAATTCATTTTCTCTCGTATTATTTTATTCTAAGTCGATGCTTGAGCCAGGTTACTTTCAGCTATTTAATTTACGATAAGCATTTGAACCATTATGCTTTTCTCAAAAAATAACTAAATTTGATGCATTTTGGACTAACCAACATAAATTTTCTAAAATAATACACAATTTTCAACAGTTATAACTTAAAAAACTGCCTTATTTAAATAGGGATACAGTGTATTAAATAAATAAAAGTCTATCAAATAGTTGACTTTTTATGATTTTTTTTTCCAAAAAAAAAACTTTGATCCTTATTCCTGCAAGTTTTACAAAAAGTCGCTTAGATCAATTAGCCTTTCAACCGTCGATATTGTCAAAAACGCCAAAATATAATTTATTTATTTCTAATCAGAAACTTGTATATGAAATTTCACGCTTCTAACTTTGAAAAAGACGGATTTCTATACAATCGTTCACCGTTTATTTTACCCCTTTAGGGGTGGAATTTCCAGAAATCCTGTCTTAGTTGGATGTTTACATCATATAATATTTGAGCCGTTAAATTTCAAAATTACCGCTCAAGGTCATTCGTGTCTTCCTCAATCCTCACTGCTCAGAATAAGTGACATTGGCTTGCCCATTGGCATTTGGCAGAATGTATTGTGTCTGTTAACGTAAACGCAGCTCTAAGCCATTAAAGAAAAAATAATGAAATTAACAAAATATTATTTGTTTAAAATCTACTTTTATGTGCTTATTAACTATAAAGTATTGCTAAAACTTTGGTAAATTCCTCCGACATGAAAATCGAAATTTTACTAGTGGGCGCACATGCCACATACTTAGTTCTGACTCGGGGAAATCCTGAAATGTAGGAAAAGCTTAATGCAAATTGCAATACTTAATTTTTAAATCAATCATTCAATGATATAATAATAATACAAAAATTATTTATCTCTTTATTAGTCTGTGCCTGTGATAAAAATAATGTGTTTAGTATTGACAAAGATATGCAAAGAGTATCGTTATAATAAACTGAAGATATTTTATTTGATGTTTAAGTGTCCCCTTATTAATATTTGTTTGTTTTGTATTTTAGTATCTTTTAAAGAACTATTGCCTACTATATTATGGCTACTATAATTATTGAAATCAAGTAACGTTGATAACAATTTTCAACTGTATATTACGTGTACTTATATAAAGCATAAAGTAACACATCTAGGTAAGTAATAATTTTCCTTTAATTATTGTAGGTACATACTTAATTGCGATTTCTGCTGATCCAGGTCTATCATTAGCTTATATAGACCAATCAAAAAATAAAATTTTCTGCACTATGTAGCTACCAAATTAACATTTATCGATTACTTATTATTATAGATACATATTAATGATATTTAGAATATATCTTATCTTAATATATAATATTATTGTATCTGTACTGTTACTATCATATCTGAAATGAGATAGATGTAGGTACCTATATAGTTTCTACTTAATACTTGTCAGTTTGAATTAATGTAAGAAATTTTTGGTGATCACAACAATATAATATCTTATCAATACTGTTTTTTTTTCATGATTATCAGGGAAAAGCAAATAAAATGGATTCACAGCATTCACAGTCAAATGTCTGTGTGATATCATTAGATGCATTAGATCTGAATTACTTACACAGCCGATATGAGCAAAAACTTAAACAGCCTTTGTATAGTGCTAAAAACAGTCTTGATTTCAGCACTAATTTCTATTATGAATTTGAACTACAGAAGGATGAAGAATTTGATGTTTTTAAAGGTATTTTTATACTAAATTGTTATTAACAGGAAAACATAGCTTTATTTTGTTCTCGTCATCTGTTGGTGCTTACATAGGTACGTAGTAATAAAAAGTATGCCATGTAATAGGAATTTAAAGCTTGATATCCTTTCCCATATGGTATAATAAAAAAGAAAATAATGTAAACTTATTTTGTTTAATTTTTTTTTTGCTATATTTTACACAATATGATGGTTTTGTAAACAGGTGAATTAATAAACTAAAATTTTTCTTATTTATTTAACCCATGTATGTGTATACTATATAACATACAACACATAATTTAAAAAGCATTTTTCCTATCTCTAGTACATTTAATTTATATATATTAATAGAATGAATCTGTTTACATAATTTAATATACAAATTTACTGTATACCATACAGTTAGGTAACTGTTAGTATTGATTATTTTTATGATTTAGGTACTAGTGTACTTGGCAATTTCCCAGACCCCCAACTCAGGGTGTATAGTGGTACATTTAAAATATACAAAATATACCTACATTACAACAGTGAATTCATATTTTTTGTTATTAATGACTTAAGCTAATCCTAAAAATAATTAAAGTACTAAAGGGTTCTTTTAAATTTTCAAGGCTGTAAGAAAAATACTGCATAGTTACTTGATTTAATAATATTGCACTTTATTTACAGAAAATGAACTTGTATATATAACATGTCATATCTGCAAAATACAAGTGCCACAGAACTTTTATCATGAACACAAGTATAGTTTTAAACATGAAATGAACACAAAAATAGCTAATTTAGCTGTGCAAAGATTGCAAAAACATTTAAATTGTAATTATGATATTGTTGATGTAACAACTAATTCATCAGCACACTTTTGTCCTGTATGTGTAACCGTTATGGATAGTGTAGAAAAGAAAACTCATGAAAATTCGATTGGACACAAAAACTCAGTTATAGTTGAAAAATTTTTAAATGATTTCCTTATTCTATATGAAAATGTAGAATGTAAAACTATTCCAAGTATCAAATGTAATATCCCAGATACAAATAGTAAAAAAGAAATGGATATTGCAATTAAAAAAATTGCCAACATTTCTAAAAGAAAAGACTGTTTCAATGAAAATGAAATCAAAAAAGTGTATGTTAATGAGGATAAAGAAAAAAATATGGGAATGAAAGATTACTTAATTTTGTTAAAGGAAAAGTTCAAAATTGAATTTAATGAAGTCAAATTAGTTAATGAAAATAATTTATTGATAAAGACAGTTGACAACAGCCTTGTTAGAGTTAATACAGACAGTTTTCATAGTTTTAAGCAAATAGGATCACAAATTATACACTGTGTTATTTGCAAAGAAGTGTTTGACTCATCAACAAAACATAAACATATATTAACCAATAAACATATGGAATTAGTATGGCTTTTACCATTCGAAAATAAGGACTGTATGAGACATGTAAGTATGAGTGATATAATATTGACGACACCCCACTTGCCGTGCCAGCGGTCGCGGGTTCGAATCCCGCTGGGGGCATTCATTTGTGTGATGAGCACGAATGTTTCTACTCCAATCATGGGTGTATATAATGTGTATGTATTTAAAATTTATATAAGTTTAGTGTATCTACTATTTGGTAGCCATAACACAAGCCTCGTAGCTTACCATGGAACTAGATGGTGCTGTGTGTAAATGTAAAAAAAAATTAAAGTGTGCATTATGCTTATATAAATAAGTATAGATTATGGAATTTCCCTGTGTCATTTGTTTCTTTTTATAATATATATACTAATTACATTTCAGTTGTTTGGAAAGTACATGTCAATTTTGTGAAGTAAAATAGAATACCAGCACATATAATTAATTTGTATGTGACATTGCATTGCATAGATGTCGCATTTCCTTATTTAATATTATATAACGAAAGGATTTGTTTGTTTGTACCGAATAGGCTCCGAAAATACTGAACCGATTTAGATGAAATTGGTAAGAAGATAGTTTGAGACCCTGGGAAGAACATAGGATAGTTTTTATCCCGGAAATCATCCCATAAGGGGGTGAAAATGAGTGATGAAACTTTGTATGAGGAAGCAACTTAGGACGAAATCTGGTGAAGCTAGGGCGAGTCACTAGAGTTCTATAAAGATATCTTTCATGTGACCTTCATGTTAACCTTAGTTAGTCATCCTACGGTCTCCCCATAAAAATCTACACATGAATTTTTAAGTTCTCTAAAGTTTTTATATTTAATTTAACAAATTGAAAATTGAATCTTTGTAGAGTAAATAATATGTGAGCAAGAAGAAGCTACTTCTAAAAAAAGTTTTATAATAACTACATTTCATAAACCAAATATTTAGTTAATAATCTGTTTATGAAATGTTCTTATTTAGGTAATCACTAGCGACTCACCCTCGCTTCGCTCGTGTTCGCCTCTAGGCAAACTGAAACAAATATCTTCCACGGGAACCATGCATTCTCCGGGATAAAAAGTAGCCTATTTGTTATTCTGATGAACTATATTATTGTCAAGTTTCATTAAAATCCAATTAGTAGTTTTTGTGTACTAAGCTGTATAAGATACTTTAGTTTTTTAACTATCCCACGGGAACTATTTAATTTTCCGGAATGAAAAGTATCTAAACTAAAATGTTGACCGGGGATATAAGGTAACACCATACAAAATTTCATTTAAATCTGTCCAACAGTTTCGGAGATTAGTCCTACAAACAGACAAAAAGATAAACAGACAAAAATAAAAAAAAACTGGGTTTGTTCTATTTATCTTTTTACATCCCCCTGACTCGATTTTAGGATTTTTTTATATGTACAGACATTCGACCTCTACAGTTTTATTATATGTATTTACCCGCGATATTTTAGATAGATGAGACTTGGAATCACTGCGTACTGTGTAACTTGGGTTTGGAAAATGTTGATGCACATCTATTGAGCGCGGAGCACGTGAATAACTTAAAAATGTCTGTTCTATATGAAAACAATAATTGTGAATCAAATAAGGAAGCATCAACTTCTTCTTGTAAAAGCAGCAATGATGATATTAATAAATGCAGTCCCTTGTATGTTGATGCAGTAACAGAAAATCACTCTCAAGATTTATTTATACAGGGTATTAATAAAAATCAAAAAATAACTAAAGATACTGAAAAAGATAAATCCTTGAATACCCCAAATGGCGAAAGCACTGATGTAAAGAAAATAAGTGTTAATCAGATGAAACAAGTTGAAAATGTACATGACAAGCACTTCTGTATCCACTGTAACACATTTATCAGTAAAAAAGGGCTTAAAAAGCATTCTGATACTGCAAAACATTGTATGAACACTTGGTCCAATTCCCATTATTTTATGACAGTTATAGATGCTGATGATACTGATTATTATCTTTGTAGAGTGTGCGACGAAAAAGTTAAGAAACCTATAAATGAAGTTAAAAAACATGTTACACTTCCGACACATTTACAAAATTATAACGCCTTGTTAAGTCGTAATAGTATTAAAAAAATCGGAAAAGACATATTTTTTTGCAGTCTTTGTTCTGTTAAGATACTAATTAAAAATGAAATATTGCATATTAATTCTAGGAACCACAAATTGCTTTGTGACCCGGAAGCACAAAATACTTTGTGTGCCGAAAGTAGAGCAACATCGTCCAATAGTTTGTTAGAAAAAAATTCAAATCCCAATCCTCAGTTGCCACAAATAATTGAAACAAACAAAAATATAGGAATAGCAATTAAGGAAACAAAGAGTTTTTTCTGTGATATATGCAACGTGAAGGTACCAAATTCGAAACACAATATAGAAACACATATTAAAGGTGGCCCTCATATTAAAAATATGCAAAATATGTTTGATAAAAAAGTCGAGGTTAAAAAAAAAGACATTATTGAAGGAAAAATAAATATAGATGACGTCATGGTTGATAAAAAATTAAGAAATAGTTATTATGTGACAAAAACAAATAATCCACACATTTTGAAGTGTATTGTTTGCGACATTTTTATGACAAATAATGAAACGAACATCGGTACTCATGTTAAAGGATTCAACCATTTGAATAATTATACTGTTATAATCGAAAAAAATCATTTGGAGATAAAAGATAATGATGTATATTGCAAAATTTGTTCCGTCCATATTTCCATTGGTAATGAGATATCACATTGCAAGGGGAAAAAACATATGAACAATTTACCAGCTACAACATCAAGTTAATGTTTCGAATAGACATGTAAAAGTTAAGGTTTTATTGGGTTTAATTAATATCATTTTATTGCGAAGTTAAGTTTTATTTAAATGGAATACTGTTTAATGTTTATTAAAAATTAAATAAGTTGATATTAAAAGTTTGAATTACTATCCCAACCTTAGTCTAACCTACCTAGTATCTAAGATCTAACTTAATCTACCTTCTTTCTTTAACAGTAACATATTATTATCAGCATCTTGACTGTTTTAATGATATCGAACTATAATTGAAATTTGGAATAAGTTTTTCATTAGGATGTGTAATTTTGAATTATATTTAGTAGTGGAAGAAATTGTTTAAATAAAAAATAATAATACAGGTAATGCAGGTCTCCTAGTACGGCAACAGAGGCTACCATATATATTGTGTTGATAGAGCCTAATTTAAATTGAGATCTAAAATCTAATTATTCTGTATAATAATATATGTATGTTTGTTTTTTGTATGTTATATTGTTTAGAGTTTTATGTGTCTTTATTGTTTTAACTAGCGGCTCACCCTCGCTTCGCTCGGGCTCACCTCTAGAAAGGCACAAACTGATCTATCCCACGGGAACCGTTCATTTTTCCGGGATGAAAAGTAACCTGTTGTTTGACCTGCAATATAAGGTATCAGCATGCCTAATTTTACTAAATTAGGTGCATAAGTTGTTGTGTACTGAGCTGTATAGGTTACTATAGTTTTTTAACTATCCCACTGGAAATCTTTAATTTTCCGGAATAAAAAGTATCAAATTTCATTTAAATCGGTTCAATAGTTTCGGAGATTAGCCCGTACAAACAGACAGAGAAACAAAAAAAAATGAAAAAAATCTGGATTTGTTCTATTTCTCTCCTTACGGGATGGAAGAAGACAACTGACTCGGTTTTTAGCATTTTTTTCTATCATCTATGTACAGACATTCGACCCCTACAGTTTTATTATTCATATATGTATATTCAGATAGAATAAATAACGTATAATAAAACAGTAATATATAATAATGAAAATAGTTATAGCGAGTGTACCTTAGGAGATAGACATATACTATGTAGAACTTTTCTATAGACCTTTTTAGGACTTACAATTTTCTTGTACAATGTTTTGATCTATCTCTGAAGGTTGAGCCAACGTTAGCCATATAAATTTCTAAGGACAATTCGATAGAACCAGTTATTGTGTTTTCGCGTGGGAATGAATAATTTGCCTATCGTAAAAGGTATTCTATATGTTGACCCGTGCACTAAGTTTTATCACTATACAAAATTAAGTTAAAATCGGTTGAGTACTTTTTGCGTGAAACGCGCACATCGATTTGACTAAGTTTTATTATAGATATTGCTTAGGGAATAGATTCAGAACTTTTCTGTTGAACTTTTCAAGAGCTACAATTTTTTAGTTTGATGTATGTGTGGCTTAGCCAGCGGAAGGTTTCTAGGGAGGACTCGATAAAACCAATTATTGTATTTTCCCGTGGGAAAGAAAGATTTTCTTGAAGTAAAAGGTATCTAGGCAGTGGTATCCCAGTGGTAACGCGCTCGCTTGGGAAACCGAGTGAAGCAAGTAGTTCAAATCCCGGGTCTCGCACCTCTGATATTTTCATGTGCGAATCATTTCTAACCCAATTAACACTTGTCTTAACGGTGAAGGAAAACCTACATGTCTGACAGAACCTAGCAAGTTTTCGAAAGACATGTGAAGTTCGCCAACCCGCACTTGGCCAGCGTGGTGGACTATGGCCTGATCCACCTCGTACTGAAGGGAGGCCCGTGCCCAGCAGTGGTACGTTAAAAAGGGCTGAATACATACATACATACAAAAGGTACCCTAAATGTTGACTCGAGTAATAAGTTATCACTTCACCAAATTTCGTTGAAATTGGTACAATACCTTTCGCGTGAAACGCGCACACAAAAACAGGCAAACAGACAATTTCTTTAATAACTGTTGTTTTGGGGTCTATGTTGTGTACATAATACGTTACAAATAAACAGAAACATCTATCCCACGGAAAAGGTACATTTTTCTGGGATGAAAAGTAGCTGATTTGTTTTTATCATGTATGAACTATATTATTGTAAAGTTTCATTAAAATCCAATCAGTAGTTTTTGTGTACTAAGCTGTATAAGTTGTTATAGTTTTTTGACTATCCCACGAAAACTTTCATTTTCCGGGATGAAAAGTATCTAAAATGTTGCCCGGGGATATAAGGTACCACCATGCAAAGTTTCATTTAAATCAGTCCAATAGATTCGGAGATTAGCCCGTACAAAGAGAAAAACAGACAAACAGCTCGCTCGGGTTCGTCCATACCTACGAATATGTTGTATTATCTCTTTAACCATTTGTCCAAATTATAGGTATGCAGTAAAAGGGAAAAGTCTTTTGTTTTAAACATTTTAGACGATAAATTTACTTAATTTTGATAAGAATTCATAATTGTTGATAATATGACCAATAAACATGACCTACCGATTTAAATTATTTTTTTAATATAAAAAACTACTTTTTGTGACTTAAATATAAAAGTTAGACATATGCTGTCGCTCACTTTTTTGTAGGCATTATTAAGCTCTACAACTTTTCTCTGGAATATAATCATATATCTCTCATCGTTAAGGCAGCGTTCGTAAGAAACGTTTTCGTTCGATCTTTTTTTCTCCGACTTACTATGCAAATCAAGACTACCACGAAAAAGCCTTTTCTTTCTTCGGGTTAATTTAAAGCCTATGACACTCGGAAATAACGTGGCTTTCTATTGTTAAAAGAATTTTGAAAATCGGTTCAGTAGATCCAGAGATTACCCCCTACAACGTCACAAACTCACAAGATCACAAACTTTACCTCTTTATAATATTAGTATAGATAAATATTATTATTATAATGTTGTTCTTAACTTAAAAATTACTAATTACTATGTTCCCTTGTCAACTACATAGTTCCATTTTACAGTTATCATCTTTATAATAATAATTTTTAGATCGCATTTTCAGTCTGCTACCTACTATAAAAATGGGAAAGATTTCTTGAAAGGAGGGCGCTACACTGAATATGATCTGTTTACGCTCAGTCTGAGGTTAAGCAATTTATTATGATACGAGTATCTCTTTATACCTGGTTTTTAGTTCTATTATGTTCGCATGTTACCTGTGTTACTTGGAAGTTAGACCAGCTGAAGGAAGTGTTGAGAAGGAGAAGTGCTTCCTGTGGTGGTCCTGACCGACTGATGGATCAACACACAGCCTAAGCTGGTCGTAGAAACGTGAAATTTAGAGAACGTGTTCCATAAATGATGTAAGTATCCGATAAGAAAGATTTTTCGAAATTCATCCTCTAAGTGGGTAAGATAGGGGATTAAAGATTGTATGAAACTCTGTCGTTCTTAACGTGCAATACACAGAAAGTGGTCTTTAGCCTTAAAATAAAGAAAATATAAATATTTAAAAGGGGGTAATAAAGTTTATATGAGCAAAGAATTATTTATGATCAGACACTTTTTCAACTAATCCCCCATACAAGACGGTCCTCCTTACTTCCATACGTTTTAAGAGGATTGTGAAGTGCCGATACGCGGCGAGAGTAGGTATTTTTAAAAATGCTATCTGTTTCATGCCGCTTTGCATCCCCCCGGCAGTGAACAACACAAATACAACATACGCAAATTCTCACACACACTATGATAGCAGCAGCGGTGACGCACGGGCGCTTGCGGGGGGCGGGGGCGGGGGCGGCGCGACTCGGCGCAAGAGCAATTTCAAAGTTTATCTAATATTTATTATTTTAACGGTTTGCGTACAATATACCTTCCCTACAAGTTACATCGCACCTTTATTCATAAACTGAAATAACTCTAAATTACAATTCTGTGGCGAATATCATTTAAAATTTGACTTGTTTAGATTGATGACTTCAAAAAATCATAAAAAAATAAATAGGTGGTTTAGATCAATTACAAAAATCTCGTTCCAAAAGTTGAAAGTTATAGAATTTTTTGTTGTTTATGTAGGTACTAATAGACCCATCGGAATCCTTTTATTGTTAAAATAATTATTTTATTGAAAACCTGAAGTTTTATGATTTTATAATGTTAGCAGGTATATAAGGTATAGAAATTCATAAAATGACCTGATCATGAATGATGATGATTTACGATTTTTTAACATATCTATGACTAAATTTTATAAAATATATCAACTTAATTTTTTTAAATATATTTTTAACTAATGAATAAATAAGATTAGATTACGAATGATTTTCATTTCTTTCTGTAATTGCCCTAAAATCATTTTTTTCAGAAAAATCAATAAAATTAACTCCAAAAACTAATAAAATATCGATAATTTCGAAAAAATTATAACAAATAGTATGTGTATATATATATATAATTATACACATACTATTCGTAATAATTTTCATAAAATCATAACGAATATTATAAATTATAACGAATATAAAATTAAAAATATAAATTTTACAAAAATAAAAGTATTTTTATTGCTCCTTCTAAACGGTAATAGTCCAGCAATTAGCAAAAGAAAGCGCGTGACCGGTGGTGGGCGAGGGGTGGAGGGGAGTAGGAAGTGGTCCTTACTCATTCAAACTTGGCCAGATATAATGATGATGATGATATAGAAAATATTTTTATTTTTGTATGAAAATGAAAATTTAAGAAATATTTTTTTTTTCTTGTTACAGAGGTTGTTGTTATGATGTAAATAGTATATTCCCAAAAGGTCTTCAGTAAATTAAAAATGACCCTGTATATATATATATATATATATATATATATATATATATTTTTTTTTCAGTTTTGTATTTTTTCTCAGAAGTGAGATATTTTCCCGCGGTAATGCTATAATATGTTGATCCGGATAACCAGCTACCACCATACCAAATTTCATCAAAATCCCTCCAGTGGTTTTTCTGTGACGTGGTAACAGACAGACAGACATACAGACAGACAGACAAAAATTCAAAAAACTATAGATTCGGCCTCTGTATCGATAATAATGTTTATTTCAATAATATTTTCCAAAATATATTTAATGTACAGATACGGCTTAGTTACAATCTATACATACGAGTATAATAAAATTCTAAACTTTGGATTGAATCCTTTCAGTATCGATCGATATATCGATATTACCTTCTCCTCCCTAGGAGATAATAATATCGATAGCACCTTCAACATCACTACAGTCTAAAATATGCCCCTGCCCCCGACCCGTATGGTGCGATAGAGAGAGTTGCAAGTCTTAGACTTAATTACCTACATTTCCTTTTTGAAATATTGTTTCGGGCGATAACGTTTTCACCCCCCTAAACATTAACGAAATGAGACGATTTTGGTCTCATTAGATTCAGTACACCTTAATCTAGGTCTGTACGTTTTCCTTTTTTTGTAATTCAGTTTAGTTTAATTTAAACAAATAAAAACGCTGGAGGAAGTTTTTAGGTCAAAAATATAGATATTTAGATGCTAATAACTTCTGTCGTACGCAATATTTCAAAAAAATAAAAACGTACGGACCTAGATTTTGATTATATCTACAACATTTCCAAAAATTATGAAAATTAGACTATGTTTAAGGGGGGAAAAACGTTATCGCTTTTTGTATGAAAATTTACAGGTTCACAATCCTCTTAAACATGGATGACAAATGACAATTAATGTTTTATAGTCTGATTTTTAATTCGACGGAATTCTGACATTTCAGAAGTGTTGTCAACTTTGAAATATTGTCACTAAAAACGGAAAGCATTTTAACGAAATAAAAAAACAAACCTTTCTTGAAGTTAAGGTTTCAATTAGAAAAACTAAGACTTAAAAAATTATTGACAACTCTAAAATGGTAATTTTTTTTTATTATCGTATTATTGAAGTTACAATAATTATTAAGGAAATTATTTTTCTATTAAAGGAATCCCTGTCTAATAATCCATAGGTTGCAAGCCTTTTTTAGTAAAACCCCTTTCTTTGTAAAATATTTTGTTTTACTCTGTTTTATTCATTTAACCATTAAAAATTTACATTACAGTTAGCGTGCATTAATTGCACAAAATAAAGATTATTTACAATGTTATACATACACTTCGCGACAAAAGTATAACCCACACCCCTAATTTTGTAATATTCAATTTAAAATTATAGTTATATTAATGCATTACTAATACACAAAATTAGGTATTGGTAAGTATATTTTACAACTATTGTATTATTTATTAAATGCAAAATTAACCAAATACACATGATACATAAGTTTTGCGGTGCGACAAAAGTATAACCCAGGTAAATTAAATATAAATAAAACTCAAGAGAAATGCAACAAAGACCACTTATTTATTTAATTTAATATTTAGTACTTCGATCAATATTTAGAAGATCCACCACTTTTCCTTATTACTTGAATCATTCTATCTGGTAAACTGTCATATAACTAATTTTTAATTGGTTTTGATTCATGTTTTGCCATTCGTCAATTATTACCGTTTTTAACTCTTCAACAGTGGTAAATTGTTTTGATCCTCAATAGACAGCTCGTGATAAGTTTCACCAATATTTTTTTATTACATTTAAGCCATGAAAATAAGCTGGCCATTTAAGAACTTGAATATTTGTTTCAGTAAAATAGTTTTTAACTATTTGTGCACGGTGAATACTCATTATCAGTTTACATAGACATTATCGTGGTGAAATATAAAATTAGGACCAGCAATGCGCATTACATGAGAAGTAATCTCTTCATTTATTATGTTTATGAACCGTTTACTATTCAATTTTCCAGTACGGAACTTGATATTCATTTTTCCTAAGTATCCAATTCCACACCATATCATTACACTACCACCCCCGGCTTGTCGTCAAATCAATACACATTTTTTTTTAAATCGTGAAAATAGTAATTAAAACCATCAGGCTCATCTAAATTAAACTTCTTTTCATCAGTGAAAATAACTTTTTTCCAATTGTTCTTCCATTGAACATGATCTTTTGCAAATTTAAATTTATCTAATTTATGTTTATCAGATACCAGTCGTTTTCTTTGTAAATTATTACGTTTTAGGTACCGACACCCATATAGATTGAACATTTCTTAAATTAGTGCTAACACCAGCCTCCACTGCAACTTGTCTTGGTGTAAGAGCAAAATTAGATGCAACTCTCAGAATTGACCTTCTTTCAGGTGGTGTTGTTGCCCTTGGTCGACCAGTTTTCTTTCAGTTGCCATAATTTTCAGGATCTTTTAGAAAATTACGCACAATATAATGACTTCTCTTGATAAATTTTGCAATTCTGACTTTCGACCAATTTTTAGTTTTAGAATACAATTTCCTAACTAAATTAATTTCACTGTCGTTGTTTATTTATTTCTAATATAAAAAGCCACGTTTCCCACGTGGCTTTTTATATTAGAAGTAAATAAATATCAATCGCAATAATTTTCTAGTACATAATAATTTACGAGGAACGCAGAACAAGTATAAAAAGGAACTGACACGTCTAACACATGAAGCTGCTCAAGCCAAAGAAAGTTATGGGTTATACTTTTGTCGCACTATCAAACTAACAATCACACCGTATTATAAGAAAACCACTTAGAATGTAATTAAACACATATTATAATACTACAAACAAATAAAAAATATTAGAGCAATAGTAATATATGTTGATAAATATAGTCTTACATTGGATATTACAAAATTAGGGGGGTGGGTTATACTTTTGTCGCGGAGTGTATAGTTTATTTGATCTAATTCTGTTTCATATTTTTTGTTATTTTATATTAAAAAATTACAAAGCAGAAAAGGTTTATGATATCTGAATTGTCAAAGAATGATAGCTGTCATATTTCCGTGGAATTAAAAATCACTATCAGACTTTTCACTTTACATAACGATAACTCCATAGAATAAATTGCTAATTAGTAATTGCTATTTGTTATTATCTACATAGTAACTCATAACATAAGTCACTTTATGACATGCCCAGCACAGAGTCAGACTATTATTAATATTATTTAGTATGGAATATGGACAATGGACTTAAGTTTTCTATTTTGTTTCCTAAACCGTTCTGCTATTTTTTATTTAAGTACTGCAAACATTTATACCTTATGACCTTTTGCCGTATTTGCACATACAATATAGATTAGAGTTAGACATCTGACTATTTTTATGGCTTAAAAGCGCATTTAGTATAAAATTAGATTATACATAATATATTTGTATCTGATATTAAAAGAATTTTTATCTGATAATATAGAAATTTTATTATCATAGCTTTATAAATGCACAGTTTGTCTCATTCATACGTGCTTCATTACATTTCCCCTAATATATTGAAAAAGAACATAAAGAATGGATTTTAGTTCTCTTAACCCAGTGACATCCAATGCTTTGAACCTAGCTGCAAGAAATAATAATGTTGCGACAGTGGAAAGATTACTTAAGAAAATGAACCCTAATTGCATCGATAATCGTGGGTGGACCTGTCTCCACGAAGCTGCTGCTAATGATAGCTATGAAAGCTTGTTATTGATTTTAAAACATAAAGATATGAGACTTTTGGCAGAAACTCACGAAGGCCACACCGCGCTCTATCTCGCATGTCGCTACATGAGTTCATTTAAAACGGTGAAAGCTATACTGGATAGTGTACCTGATATTGCAAACTACGGAAGTACAGAAGATGTTACACCTCTACATTTATCAAGTGCACAAGGGAGAAATGAAGTAATTCAATTGCTTTTAGATTATGGAGCTATTATTGATGTTCAGGATTTTGATGGAGATACTCCATTACATGATGCAGCACTTGCAACTCAATATGATACAGTTAATTTATTACTTCATGCAGGAGCAAACCCAGATATAAAAAATGAGGCTAATTATTCACCATTTCACTTAGCATGTCATAAAGGATGTTATCAAACTGTAAGAAATTTATTTCTATTTATAAGTGATGTCAATCAAGTCACAATGAACGGTAACAGCCCCTTAATTTTAGCAACACAAGGATGTAATGATATTATTGTTCAATTTCTTTTAAAAAATGGTGCAGATCCACATATCAAAAATAGTTATGGAGACATAGCCCTCACTATGGCTTTAAACATGGGTGACATTTTAAGTTTCAACATATTGCTTAGAGTTACAGACCTTTCTAGAACAGATCCGAATATAATACAACATGCTTGTAAACCTCACCATTTTAAATTAGAAATATTAGAAAGTCTATTGACTTATGATTTAAATCCTGATTTTTTTGATTTCTATGAACAGTTTCATGTCACTTTGGAACAAATTGGTGAATTCAGGCCAAAATACCTTACAAATGCTCCCCTTAATTCATTCTTAAATATATGTGAATATATTTACCAGTTTTCTCCTGAAAAGTTTGAAGAGTTTTTTTATTTATTTTTAATGAGAGGACTTTCTGTTAATCCAGTAGATGTTAATGAGTGTCCACCCTTGGTATATATCCATTACAGCATGCACTCTTTATGCTTTAAAGATGTAAGTATATTACACAAATAAGTATATTATTTTATTCTTATAACTAAACTTGAACATTTTGTAGTCTTATAAATAATTTCAGGTATTTAAAATACTCAGAGAACATGGGTGCAATGTAGATTACTGCAGTGCTATATCACATTTAAATCAAAAGAGAATATTGCCTGATGCATTTTTAGCATCAATAACATCTGATCCATCAACAGCTCCGTTGATGTTGCCATATAGCGTTCATTGCGATGCAGAGTATCTATTAAATTTTGCCACAGAAAACGGATTATTGGGACGCTTCCCATTAAATGCAAGTATACATTTATATTAAAAAATATGTAATATAAGGCCTTACCCTACCTGGCATGAAAGATCTAAAGAATATCTTAAGTCCTACTATTCCCATAATGCCTATCTACATACCTTTTCTATAGGAGCCCTACTTGTGCTTGACAAAAATTTTTATGTCAGCTATTATCATCATGTGCCAGGTCAAGTTAAATCAAGTGTATATCAGGGCTTTTTATTACGTCTGGATATGGTATTTTTTGTGCTTGGTATAATCATATTATGAAATTAAATTATTTCTTTTCTATTAGGTACAAGAGCAGTTACTTTCAATGATTGGATTAAATACAGATTTCAATGCAGAGTCTCTGGCATACACTATACTACCGTTAAAGCATTTGTGTCGTCAGAAAATAAGATATATTGTATTAACAAATTTAAGGTTAAAAGCTTATCATGAATTCCTTACATTTCTTAATAGGATAAGAATACCTAGGATATTAAAAGACTATTTGTGTTATCTTTAGTATATTCTGTTATCTTGATCTCATAAAACTCACTATTGAAAGTGGCAATACATAATCTATAAGCATCATTCAATTTGATAAGTTTTAGTTATTAACACCTCCAGGTAAATGTCTAAGACATTAATTAAATTTCTAAGAAATCTATTGTTAACTGTAACGCCGGCGTGTCTGCGGTCGTTGAGGGATTAAGTAATTATTATTATTTGTTAAATTTCTTTGAAAAAAAAGCTTTCCCGTGCGATGGGACGATACTATGTCTCTCGCGATGAGAGATAATATACATTTTTGGGATCAATTTTTTTTATCTTTTGAATTTAATACAACTTTAATAACAAATTGCTACTGTCATGTTATCATCATCATCAATTGACATTTTTTTTTAACTAATTTTTATTTGTTCATGATGAGACGACATGAGTATAAGTTATTATTGCACTCTCAATAGTGATAATATCAAACTTCTACATTTAGTTGTTATTTAATTTATAATTTTTTAATTATCATTTTTTTATAAAGCTGATTAAATAAAAGATACTTATAATAATACTTTGAAGCACTTGCGCTTATTTTTGTGATATTAGGTAGTTATTTGTAAGAGATTATAAATAAAGTGCATAATGTATGTATTTTTTTTGTCATTTTGTAGCTTAGCCTAATCTATATAAATAATAGAATTAGAACTAAAAAAACTAAACCGAATCTGTACATTGAATATTTTTTGAAAATCTTATTGAAATAAACATTATTATCGATAGTGGCCGAATCTATAGTTTTTACAATTTTTGTCTGTCTGTCTGTTACCGCATCAAAGAAAAACGAGGGATGTTGATGAAATTTGATATGGTGATAGCTGGTTATCCGGGTCAACATATAGGATACTTTTTACCGCGGGAAAATATCTCATTTCTGAGAAAAAATACAAAAACTGCAATGTAATTTGGTTTTTGGTCATCTGAACGCGGGCGGCCGCGGGCAATGCTATTGAATTATAAATTATCGTTACGAATATTGATTTTTGCCTTATTTCAATATAAATATATATGAGTTAAAGTTTGAAGGGTCTTAGAAATTAAATTGAGCCAGATATTTTATGGTTCGTTTGTAATTATCTACTTACAATCTGCGTGTTTGCGAACTAAAAATATAGAAAACAAATGGATTAAAATACAATTGTACATGTATGTAGCATAAAAAACACTATCTCTATTATCGACTTATCAATATCTCAGATGGATACTTCAGTGAGGAGCAAAATTAACTTTTTTTAAACTTAGTTTTAAGGATCCTTGGATACATTTTCTAACATCAACCCCATGGCTGTTGTGGTCTGCTTCGGCAGATCTGCCGTCGGGGCGTCGTGGTTGATTGCGTAAGCGATCCTGCGAAGCCCCATTAAGACGGGAGAGGTATTGCTGGGTTTTAGTGTTTAGTACTGGTTTTGCCGGTGAGTCTCACTTAACCACCTGTATGCATGCAGGTGGTATGCGTAAATGTATTTTCCAACGTTAAAAAAAAATAGCACGGTTTCTTCTGGAATAGGATACGACTCTTAAACTGCCCAAATAATCACCAGTAAACAATAAACACAAAATTTTAACATAAACAACTCTGGTATTTAGAGATATGAACTAACTACGTTTCAAACATTTTTATGTTACACAAGCGACTTACCCTCGCTCCGGTCGGGTTCGTTCCTAGGTATATTTTAATTTTTTGAGCGGAACCCTAATTTTTTTATTGAAATAAAAGTAGCCTAAGTTACTCCTTAAGGCAGTGGTAGCCCAGTGGTAACGCGCTCGCTTGGGAAACCGAGTGAACCGAGTTCAAATCCCGGGTCTCGCACCTCTGATATTTTCATATGCGAATCATTTCCAACATGATTACCACTTGTCATAACGGTGAAGGAAAACATCGTGAGGAAACCTGCATGTCTGAGAGAACCTAGCAAGTTTTCGAAAGACATGTGAAGTCCGCCAACCCGCACTAGGCCAGCGTGGTGGACTACGGCCTGATCCCCCTCGGAAGGGGGGCTCGTACCCAGCAGTGGGACGTTAAAAAAAAGGGCTGAATACAAGTTACTCCTTATAACATCCACTACCTGGCAGTGAAAGTCCCGTCAAAATCGGCCTAGCCGTTTCGGAGATTAGCCGGAACAAACACACGACAGATAAACAAAAGTAAAAAAAAATGTTTTTCTTATAAATACAGTATAAAATTCCCTATGAATTTGGTAAAAAGCTTAGTTATTTTGACATTACAAACAGACACTTCAATTTTATTTATCTGTATAGATAATATAATCAAACTACTACGTTTGTGAAAATCATAAGATATTGCTTTTATGTTTATATTTACTAACCAGTTTTATCTAATCGTGACACTTGATATTTGACTTGTTCTAATAATTGACGCTTGAATCACGATGGGTAGCCTGTCCCGGAAGGGACCCGGGATGGCGTCGTAAGCACAGTATTTGTTAATGTTTTCCCAGTGAAAATTATTTAAATAAAGAAATAAACTAATCAACAAAAAATATTTATTTTTCGCATATACAATATTTAAATTTGATTTGGTTTGGAATAAATAAATTATAAAATATAAAAATATATTTTCAATAGCAACATTTAGCTTATAGTCAATTATTCAATAGGTATGAATAATAATTACATTTCCACGTCACAACAAGGTGGAATGTATTTTTTTATTTAATATAATTAGTGATGATATAGCGGGTTCGATTCCGCCTTCTTACTGGTTATATTCGTTACACATACTCGTTTTATTGCGCTGATAATATTTTTATATCATATCTGGTATATTATTTGATTTATACTCCATTAACTATTTCCAGATTGTTTAAATACTTTATTTGGTAATAATAATTCTTATTTGAAGTTGGCCCCGTTCGCCATGAAATCTTCAATTTCTGCAACACTGAAATTCAAAATTTACAGTAAACATTAGATGGGGATCCCTATCTTCTATACATATAATAAAATTGTAACTAAGCCGAATATGTGCATTAACTATTTTTTGGAAAATCTTTTTGAAAGACATTATTATCGATACAGAGGCCGAATCTATAGTTTTTAGAATTTTTGTCTGTCTGTTACCGCATCACGGGAAAACCACTGGAGGGATTTTGATGAAATTCGGTATGAAGGCTGATTATCCGGATCAACATATAGGATACTTTTTATCGCGGGAAAATATCTCATTTCTGAGTAAAAATACAAAAACTGCATCGTAAGAGTATACTAATACGTAAAACCTATGAATTAGATTTTTGGTCATATGAACGCGGGCGGAGCCGCGGGCAATGCTAGTCATATATACTTTTTATGATATTTTGGTATTCATTGTTATTAACGCCATTTAGCGATCAAATATAAATACACTATTATAATACAAGTAGGGTATATACAAAACCATAATTAAATATAGTTTTTATCGAATTTATCAACTTTTATCTATAGTGACTTACGTTCTTGGGACGAATGTCAAGTTTTCAACGCCATTCTCAGTAATAAGCACATCATCTTCAATGCGAACGCCACCTAAGCCCCTGAACTGATTCACTCTCTCCCAATTGAAGAACTGGGACTGATTGGGATCGTTTTGTGCGGCATCCAACAGCTGGAAGGGAGAATTGATATTTATATAATTTTCATTAACTCGCCGTTAATGCGAAGGGGTAAATTAATAGAAACATTTAGTTGCGAGAAAATCTATGGAAAATAGATTAAAAAACAATTCCAACAGTAACTACCTCGTGGACTGATATTATTAAATTAATATTTAAAAGAGTGGTTTATTAGATTAAAACGTATAAATCAATGAATGTGGTTCGTTAAATGAGTCGATATTATTATAATTTCACATCAATCTTCTTGTACTATATTCAGATCTGCTCGATGGTATCAAATTATTAAATCGTCTTTCCTTCGATCAACAACAAATACAAATACAAAATCAAAGCTAAATTCTGTCCGCGCGAATATACACTTATACGGCTTCATTTGTATACTAGCGAACCAAGACAAAGTGTTATAATAGTTTTATTTTCAACCTAATCAACACCATAGCACCTTGTAATAAAATCACAAATCTTCTAATTATCATCATACTCTAACAATCATTTCGTAAGTTTTATAATATTTATTGTAAATTCAACCTTATATTAAAAAACATAAAGCACTTTTTCACGTTGTACCTTTGTGAGCTAAATCGTTATATTTTGTTTCTGTTTGCTTTTTTGAATTTCGCCAAACGTTCTTAGGGGGTTTAAAATTGTTCAAAATTTTATTTTTATATTATTTCGTAGGTTAAATCTTAAAATATTTACTTAGTCTACATGTACTTAACGAAAATAAGACACTCCGTCTGAAAAGTTTCTTTTTCGCGTATTGTTTTTGCAACTTTTTACTTACTAATTAAACATTTACACATTGCGGCATTGAGAACGTGTTTACGCTTGCAGTGTTTCAATAGAACTAATCGAAATATACTCACTTTGCAAGTGAGCTTATATTTACCGACACGGATTTCTTACGCCGACATGATATCTAGTAGTATTGTTGATCGAAGCGTCTTCCGGATTTAAAATACAATTTCAAATCGATTTCTGTGTGCGTGCGTGTGTGTGCATGTGTGTGCAAGTGCGTGTCTGCGTGCGTATGATACTTCTTTACGCTGAAATGGCGGACAGATTTGGATGAAATTTAATATACAGATATACCATTAATAGGATTAACACAGGCTATTTTCTCTTCATAAGAACATTCCTTGGACTTCAATGACTATTTGAAAAAAAAAATTATTGCCGCATTGGTCGAGCTTTTCTCGAGTTTTGCGCTTACCAACATTCATTTTTATTTATATAGAAGAAGGTAGGGTAGTTAGTTTTCCCTATCACGCTGTACATGGTACTATCCCCATCACTCACCCTATCTATGAAGTAGCAGCCGGGCTCGACGGTGAGCAGCATGGCGGGGCGCAGCGCGCGCGCGGTGCGCAGGCGCGCGAGCGGGCCGCGCGGGCGCGGCGGCGCGCGCGGCAGGTAGCCGCCCACGTCGTGCACGTCCAGCCCCAGCAGGTGGCCGAGCCCGTGCGGCTGCAGCACGCCGTGCACGCCCGCCTGCCGACAACACGACAATGGGCGTAACACTTGTTTGTTTATTTATTTCCTAGCGACTCATCATTCATTTTTATGTATATATGTGTGTGTGTATTAATTAATATTTAAAAGAGTGTTTATCATAACGTATACATGCCTTTGTAACAATTAAATGAATATGACTCGTCAAATATCTATATCACTTCATGCCCATTGCCAACCACATCTGCGACACTAGCATTGCATCCCACAACACGAAGTTTGCAGTTAAATATTTTTGATCAGCGTTAAAATAGAGTAATCAATTGCACTTTAAAAGTGAAAATAAATTTAAATACCTCAATCATCTTTTCCACATCGCCCTTTAGAAGACCGCCTTGCTTCAAATGTTCCAACATGGCGCGGTTCGCGGTCAAGTGCATGTCAGGCCACAGTACACCCGGCTTTGCTTCTCTGTTCATATGAAACGAATACATAATGTTAGTATGTTGAATTTTAATGTTAAATTTATTTTATATTAATTTAATTTACATGCGTATGATTTTCGCGATTGCCCAATAATTTTGCAAACGCTGTTTGTAATCAGCCCTTTTTTACGTCCCACTGAAACGTCAATACGAGGGGAATCAAGCTATAGTCAGTGCGGGTTGGCGGACTACACATGTCTATTAATTTCGAAAACTATATAAGTAAAACTATCACGCTATGTATATTAATACAATTTGCCTTCAGTGGAATTCGTAAACATATAATAAAATTCTAACTGAGTCGAATCTTAAATACTTATAAAAAAAATCTTTTTGGCACTTTTTTTGGAAAGTCATTATTATCGATACAGACGTTGAATGTAGTTTTTAGAATTTTTGTTTGTTTGTTTTTTGTGACCGTATCACGAGAAAACCAATGGACATATTTTGATGAAATTTGGTATAATGATAGCTGGTTATCCAGGTCAACCAACATATAGGATTCCTTTTACTGTGGGAAAATATCTCATCTCTGAGAAATCTATACTAAACGTAAAAACGTAACTAACCCGAGCGGAACGAGGTTAAATCGCTAGTATCTAATATGATACATGTTATTGCGCCCTGCCCTGCGCTATATCTATCAGTACCCAATTCCTTAATAATAACATAAAAAAATGTTTGTTTCTTGCAGTAATAGAGCAATGGACCGACGTGACTTTTTGAAGTTATACTTCTTTTGGCGCGTTTGGAAAAAATAGAGTAACATTTTTACGATGCGCGCGCACATCGACAGCCAAAAAGCGACATGATGAAGTTAGCCGAAAGCGACATGATGAAATTAGCTGCATTCCTTTTACAAACAGAGGGTTGTGACGTACGGAATGAAATGTTTAGCTATTTTTGTTCTGTTACGCCAAAGAAGTATAACTTCTTAAGTGCGTACTTAAGTACACACAAACACCTTTTTTTTTTGCATAGAGATATTTCATAAGCTTAAGACTGTGTGTGTATCACAATTACTATTGGATAGAATATAGTCGAAAAATACTACACAATTATCACTACACAGGAATCTCTTTACATATGAAGTGCGTGTGAGTGAGTTCATAATTATTATTCTCGTAAATGGCTTGATCGATTTTGATGTTTTTTTGTGTACTTATCGCCTGGATGGTTCTTAGTTATAACTGAAGCCGTTAGGTAGCGCTGTTGTCAAGATTCTGAAAAGTTTCTTCAATTTTACCAAACGAGGTGTATGGCAGGCAGGACTACTTTTGGCTACCGGGTCCACTAGTCTATTCATATATGTATGTATGTATATTTTTTAACTAATCGTCGTGTCAGAGCTTATTTGTCCAAACGACCAATTTACTAAAAGAGTTTTTAGTACAGAATTATTGACTTGTAAATGTCAATTCTATTGTTATAAAATACTTTAATAAAGCTGCAAAAATGTATTTTATGAAAGAAATAAAGTTTTGTTTTTAAAAATAGATAAGAAAAAACTCTCGACTGTAAAGTATAGATACTACAAGTATAGGTAGTTTAAACAAATAAGCACTAAGGCGACATCATGTTAATGTTTACCAAACCTTAACACCGCGTCTCTAGCAAATAGCACAGCTTCATAGATGAGTTTCTGGTCGGCGGTGAACTTCCCGTTGGCAGGGAAGGAGCACGTGATGTCCGCCGCGTAGCCCGCGTAGTTACCGCCCATGTCGAACAGACTGCAATAATAGTTATTTACAGACTTAACTTGATGGGATTAATTTTAGTTTATATAAGCTATTTATTTGAGATTTGACCGACTTCGAAAGATGAATGTTTTGTTTAGGTGTATCAGTCAAGTCAGTTGTACGTTTACACGGGGCGACCTATGGGTCGTACATTTTAAGCACCACCTCCAGTCCACCTCTAAGTTTGGAATGCTTTTTTTACTTTTAAATTTTAAATTAAAAAAATTGAACGGTGCTTTAACTTCGAAACCGTTCGCCAGAGTTAGTATTTGACACATCATGAGAATATTACCGTTAAAATTATCACATGATCACCGCCACTATTATCATACAATATTTTTATACCACCACCTACCACATATCTCCATCACGAATCATCTTAGCATTAGGCGCACCGGCGTGGCCGTAGTGCAGGGTGGCGCCGTTGTGTCCCGAGCCGCAGATACACGTGTAAGAGACGTGGCGACACCCGCCCACGCGGTAACAGTGGTCCAGGAACACTGACTCGCATTGGTACTCTATGAGACCTGGACGCGTGTATAGCATCACCTGAAAGGATCGAGGAAAAGAAATATCATATAATATCAACTATTTGTATGTGACGGAGGAGGATTTAGTTACCTGTCTGCTAGAATGTAAAACGTTATTATATGTAGTTTAGTTTTTATTCCGAATTAATTTGAATATCGATCAGGGGCTATGTCTCGAGCAGGGTCGAGAGTCGAGACGCCATCATGACATTTAATGGAGATACGTGTCTTAGTAAAGCTGATTGATCTTGGAGGATCATAGAGAGTTATGTTTTGATATTAGGTATAGTTGGAAGACGATGTTCGGCGCCTGAGAACCCGCTGCTCAATTAAATTATTAGAAATACCGTTTCAAGTTTATAGCATTGTGATTGTCCTTATCAAATTGTATTAAAGATTGAATTCTTTATTATTTGAGCCCTGATAACGCCTACAAGATTAGTAATCACTAAAGATGATGTTCGTAGAATATGGATAACACGACATTTGTATTTATAACAACTTACATAGATAAACCAAATAAAAAAATAAAAAATAGATATTACACTTATATCACAGTCTACTAGTTGCACCGTACTAGTCGCACAGTTAAACATGCACCGTAATATTATTGACCTCCAATTATCATTAAAGATGGAAGAGGGTGCTGACTCCTGACATACAGGTTTATTCTAGTTTGGGTGTCAGAGGCTTCAACAGGCTTATGTAACAACAAACAATTGTGTCAATAAAGATTCTATTCTATTCTACTAAATACTTAGTACTTATCCATACAGTCATTCAAAATAGGTACCTACCTATTTAGGGCAATAATGCAGGGCGTGCGCGGGGCGGCGCGTATTTCCATAACTAATATTTATAATATGTGCAAATGTAAATATTGAAATGTTTGAGATGGAATAGGTGTGTTTTTGTCCGTTTATTCCTTTTACAGGTATAACGACGAATAACATATAATGATAATACTTACGTAGATTTACGAGAATATTTGACATTTTCGAAAAAAAAAAGTACCTAGGGACGAACTTGAGCGAAGCGAGGGTGAGTCGCTAGTGAAATATATAACGGGAACATGTGCTTTCATAATTTATTAACGTAGAAAATTATTAGATAGAAATAGGCTAAAATAATTAATCAAAAAAGTTTTGAGCTCAAAGTGCACCAACCTGTTTATGAGCGTCAGATGACACTTTGCAAACATATCGCATTACTTCAATTTCTTCTGGTGTTTTTATCACACGGCTGCGTAAAGTAAAACAATTAGTTTTAATAAAAGTTAGTTACTCTAAGTAGTTTACGAACTCTTAAAGAAGAATTTCCCGATATAAAATTAATCAAAATTAAATGATATCAACCACCTAACTTCCATTCATACTAATATTATAAATGTGAAAGTTTGTGAGGATTTTGGTTACTCTTTCACGTCAGAACGGCTGAACGAATCTGGATAAAATTTGGCACGGAGATAGATTACAGTCTGGAATAGCACATAGGTTACTTTTTATTCTGGAAAAATGTACGGTACCCATGGGATATATTTGTTTTTGTTTACGCTTTGATTACAATTTTAAATTCAAAACACATTTACTGCAACTCTTTTTTTTATTGGTAGGTACGTAGGTATAATAAAAATTAATAACTATTTGCCTTTTATAGTCTAGTTATTGAAAAATGCTATTGCATCGCATCTGATTATGACGTCGTAATATAAATGAAGGGTAGGCTATAAAACAGGTAATGGAAAATTTTATCAGTAAGGTCGATAAATAAGTAAAACATAAGCATGGTATTATTTCAGTTTTCAACATTAGTAAGAAAAGTCTCATAAAATAGAAAGAAGAACCCACCAGATACACCTAAAATGTGGATTCATAATACATATAATTAAAGATTTGAAATATGCGAGTTAAATTGTTATAAAAATTTACTTTAAAATAAACTTGGTCAAACGAAATATTAGTTATTTATTTTTATTATTTCTATGTCTACCAATAAAAAAAAATGCAGTAGATGTACCTATTTTGAATTTAGAATTGTAATGAAAGCCTTATTAATATGTGTGAAATTGAAAAGAAAATATCTTAATAATAAACATCTCTATCTCTTATAATGACGCTCAAATAGAAGTGATTCATACTAATGCAAAATTATTATTCAATATTGATAACAGATACTGACAATATTCAGTAATATATACCTACATATTATATATGTATATGTAATGAGCATAGCATTTTATGGTTGTATTTATGAGATGGATTTAAACGAAATAATTGCACCATATCAATTATTGATACCAGAACTTTGATATGTTATCTGATAAATTCCGTATAAATATGTAGATAAGAAAACATATGATTAAAAATCATTTAAAAAGAAAACAAAAATGGAGTCAATTTGGTGCCATTCAGTATAAAGTGTCACGGTTCCATGTCCCAGTTCTATGAAAAATATTTATTACAAGTGGAGTCGCAGACGAAAATTAATATAAAAATAAAGATAATTAACTTACAGTTCAGCAATAATCGGGAATAATGTTTCGTTATCCACTTTGAATCTGAAACCAAAGCCAAGTATTATTTTTCATTCTTAAGTAATAATACATTGACATATAAAAACATTATACACACTTTCTAACAAATATCTATTCAAAAAGTGGCGTCAACATGTGACGTTAAATCAAAAACAATGGAACAAAAGAGATTTGAAAAAGCGCAAAATTTTGAACTTTGCGCTTTACTTAGAACACTTTTTGATACGCTAATTGTGTATCTTGAATTTTTGTATATTAATGTAATAATACTAATAACACAGCTATCTCATTTGATAATGTATAGATTACTTAGCATAAATCAAAACTTCGATAACACATAGTATAATTTATGAAATTCTGATATTAAATAAGATAATTAGGCAATTATAGAATAAATTAGGGACATTTATAAATATTTGAAAATTGTTGATGACTTGACTTAGATGTTAAGTAAAGGTCAGGTGAAAAATGATCAAATGTTGTTAGTCTCAAAAAAATATTTATCTGACTAAAAGACACACATTGCTTTACTGCAGTTAGGAAAAAAATTATTAAAAAGTTATAAAGTGCTAATCGGTGATTTACTTACAGACCTTACCACCAATGATAAGTAATTAAAATATTCTTGAGTCAAATAGTGCTACCATACTTGCAGTCTCTAATTTGAGTTAAAGATACTGATTTAATCAGATCATAATTAAAGATCAGTGAAGTGTCATAAGTTAATCGAAATTTCAATTTTTTTTCAAAGTTGTTTGAACAAATTATACACCACATATTAAATGAAATTAGAGCCATAGCCCATTCTTTTTTGCTTTATGATATAAATCAATATTTTTTTTTTGCAAAGTATGTAAAACATGTTACAAATGAACTCACTCATCAATTCCAGCAAATACTGCTTCTTTGGCTGTTAGGCCACTATCAGTATTGGGACCACTCTGAAATTAGAAATTATAACAGTGAAGTTTTTATAAAAGTAAAAAAGATTATTTATTCGAGCTAACAAATTACTTACAAGGGTCAGTAAGGTCTCAGGATTTAAAGACTTTAATATATCTCTTATCTGAAATTGAAATACATTTAATCATATAATATGTAAATTGTAAAATCAAAATAATCACATATAATCATCAAAACAAAATAATCACATTAGGTAAAATGAATAATTAATTATTAATTTACATTTTTGTTCAATAAACTTTGAAGTGACATATACTATGATAATATATGGTACTGATTTAGTTTAATTTTGAGTTTTATTATTTTTTCTTATAGTATATATTATGTATATATTCATTTTTAATTTTGTTTTATTTTAAACACACTTCCTGTAGCATTTATAAGGTTCACAAAGAAATTTACATACACAGATAGTTTATACTACAGAATCACATGAATAATGTTATTCATTTAATATTAATATTTAATAATACTTGTTTAAATGACTAACTTTAATGACTGACTTTTGTTTAAGATACTTTAATTATTTAAAAAGAATCTTTACAGCTTAATAGTTTTATTTTGATTTTAATTTTATAAAGTTATAATAATATAATAGTTCAAATTAATAATATACCTCATCTACATAATGCACATCATCAACCCCATAGATTTTTTGGAATTCAGAGCATGAGAGCAGTTTTCCCATCCATACTTCATATTCTTCTGGAAGCCTTGGAACAAAAAGATGAGACTTTCTTGTCTTGACATCTAAAGCAAAGTAGCAACCAGGCTCGCGGACACCACATAACCAAGTAAAGTATGCTTCCTAAGACAGTATTTAATAAAATTATTTATTTATTCTCTTATTGAAATCATTAGCATTATTTTTGTATAATGTAAATCTTTATCTTAAATTGCCCTTATTTTTACTAATACTACTTACTTAATTAAAATATTTTTCAGCTTTTTACCTGTCTAAACACATATTCAACATCAGTATCATAGTGATTGATACTTTCTCCACCTTGCAAAACAACAATTTGGCCACTTTGTAGCTGTTCAGTAAGTCTTTGTCGATTTTTAGCATACAGCGATAAAGGTACTTCTAAAGTACCAGGACCCATTGACCAATGACCTTCCATTTTTATTGTATCTGCATTAAAATTAAAAATATTATTTACACAACTTCCAACCCCACATAATCTGGTTTGACAAATTGATAATATAGGGTCAAGATTATCATTCGTGAACAAGAAAATGTACATATTGTTAACAATATTACCCTAATGTTGGAGAACAAAATAAATAAGAGCCCTAGATAAACAGATCAAACAATAATTACTATGTAGTAAATACTGCAATAAAGTGTGTAGATATCAAGTTGTATTAGAAATAAATAGCTTATAAATCAATAGCGAAAAAGCCTACATAGAATTTCATGACTTACAAACAATATTGAATGCAATGGGAACAAGGATATATGTATAAACAACTATATTTTATGTGCAATATTAAAAATTAATTAAAATAAAATATAGACAATATTTTTATAGTACACCTTAGTGTGCCTTCTTACTCGTGGCGCTAACAGAGAGAAATTATCGTAAATACATTATTAATGTAAAATAATCCGCAATATCACAGACACAATTTTCACTTGCAGATTGCGGAACTGTCAAGTGTCAACTGTCAACTGTCAACTGTCAAATGACAAGTACTAACTACCACAGGTTATAGAGACTACAGAGTAGTACCGACAGCTGTATTCGGTCCGGTCCGGAGTCAAAAAATCTATGGTTTTAAAAGTAAGCACTATGCAACCCTTCAGAACGAGATTCCAAGGCGCCCTTGGTTTCATCGTCTAAAACTTGCGGAACGTTGGGTCATAACTACCATTTGTCGCTTGCGCCTAAGAATACATATATGCCCTGTGCACCTAGCGAAAATTAAGGTCAGGGACCAATCCTTATGCGAATGTGTTCTTGATGTAGGTACTCCCTCTCATATCCTTTTTAGCTGTCCTAGACACTTCCATCCTATTTATGATGTTCTTCCCCTCAAAGTACCCAGTCCCATTGATGTTAATTGTTTATTAATGTTTGTCTAGTCCTCTATGCAAATTTTTATGTAAATACGTACATGTATTAACTGTAATCATGTAATGGAATTAGATTATAGACTAACATATTTGTAAGATAATTAGAACTTCCTTACTAACAATTATTTTTAAGTAAGGTGTTTATCGTAATATATAGTAATTGTGCCGTCTTTTGTTGTAGATCCAAGGTCCATAAAGGAGTTGCTCCCTTTTTTACACTTTTTAATTGATACACACAGTTTAATAATCTCACTTAATACCGACCAATCTCCTTTGTGTCTTTTCCGTTCTACGTGAAACTGGCAAAATAATATGTGCTCAACTGGCACGCTTTAAAACCATTAATAAGAGAATTGAATTGAAACTTTATGGTATAATATTTAGTATATATGAGTCCAGCCACCCAGTTTCGTTTTTTCATGATGAATCTATTTATTTTTAATAGAAAAAAATATATTGAAAACCTGAAGTTTTATGATTTTAAAATGTTAGCAGGTATATAAGGAATAGAAATTCGTCAAATGCCCCCTATGCCCAGCTACCCCCGAGAAATGGGGAGACGCAAAGCGTTGAAAAATAGTTTTTAGCAAGGTATATGTACCTGCTAACATTTTACAATCATAAAACTTCAGGTTTTCAATATTTTGTTCCCAAAACTGATTCCGATTGGACTATAGCCCAACTTATAGTCACGAGATAAGCATTGATTTTGTAAAATTAGACATTGTATACATAATACATGACGTAAAGTATGGTGAGCAAGGCCTTAGTTATAAAATGATCTATGGCCATAAAATGATCTATGCCATAGTCATTAGTCACTAGAAAGGAATGACTAACCAAAAGTTGAACCACTCAATTTAAAGACAGAGGAGGTTCTATCCTTGAGCCTATAGTGGTACGTAGTAGTGATATCTATACATATAATAAAATTGTAACTAAGCCGAATCTGTACATTAAATATTTTTTGGAAACTCTTATTGAAATCTGTGCCTCCTAAATAAGTCGAGTTGTACCCTTTTTGTGATTTTTACATAGAAATAATCAGAAAAAAATTAGGATTTTTTTGGTCTAACTTACGATCTTCTATCTACTATAGTTTCGGAGATAATTTTGTGCAAAGTGATATATGTGGCAGTGTTTTTGCAAAAATATCGTGAATATAGATATATTTCAAGTTGTAACCCCTATAAGTAATTGCTGCACACACTATTTTTCGTGCTTCGTGGTATAAGTGCGATTGTATTAATTTTCACATTTTATTTTTTAGTAAATTTATCGTGAATATTGATATTATTAGAGTAATATCACTTTGAACAGATTTTTCTCTATACTGATTAGGGTACAATTCAACATGAACCTACTAATCCTAATTCTGTACAAATCAACTTTTATGTGTAAACGAATATAAATTGAATTGTATCTAAAACTTAAACCAAATCTAAATCAAAAATGTATGCAAACAAGACGTGCTAAATGATACAAGTGCTGGGATACACCTATAAACTTTAACTTTTGTGGTTTTGGGATTCGGTGTGGTTTGGTTTTGGGTTTTATGATGGTATGCAATTTTTTTCGCGATTTTAGAGCAGTGATTTAGCATGAACTGGATCCTTCAAAAACAATTATGATGAGCGCGTGGACTGTCAAGTGGTTAGTCATCTTTTACGACACCCTCGGAATGTAGGATTGGTGACTTTCAGTATTCTCAATCCGTCACCACACGGACAGTTGCAATTAGTAGTTGCCGAACTGAATCAGATGGTGCACCTTCTTACAGACATTTTTATACTATCATTTCCGAAATCTCGAATTGCTGAAATTATGGATTTAGCCACTAGTCACATGGCGAACATGAGTTCACAAGACCATATTGAAGCTTAAATTGAACGAACAGAACAAAATAATAATACCAATGAAGACGGCTATGGATATCATGTAAGAGAACTTATTGAAGGATCGCTGCCAGTAGTAGTGAACCTATAGAAAGTCCAGTCCCTACTATCCACGAACACATAAATTCAGAAAAATCTGCAGAGAATTTAACAGAAATTGTTATTAACAATTATAATAAGACAAACGAAATAACTGAAAATGATTCCAAAAACCCTATGATGATTTGAACCTTACCGATTCATCCAGCTATGGTGATTTTGTGATGCGCGACATGGCCACACCACCTTAGAAGATGCTCTTCAACTGAACTTGACTGTGACGTGAAGCTCCGGAGTTTGTTGAGATAGCGCTGCCCAGCACTCGCCTCCGTATAAAAGGACTGGTCGTATGATGCTCTTATTTATCTGTTCCTTGAGCTTGGGCGGTAATCTGCGATCACAAACCATACCTGTGACCTCCAGCTTCCCTTATACATGCTTAAACGTCGTGATCGATGCTTTCTGAATTTCTTCGATTTAACGGCTGGTTCAAGCCATATGTGGATGGTGCTGGAGTCCGGACTCCCGCAAGCCATATACGCGGTCTTCGTGAGATTTAGTTTGTCACCGCCATTCTCAAGCGTACCCTTCCACAGGTTCACCCAACGCTCCAGCTCTACACGGCTTTTATCAACGAGCGCTATATCATCGGCATACATCATCAGCCATGGAGGCTGGTCCTGGATGCATGTGAGACAACATCTAGTACTACGTTGAATAAGAACGAACAGTTCTGACCACGGAACCACCGCCTTTTTATCTAACTTTTGTGAAACTATATTAGTTCCCATTGAGAATAGTTAAGTTACATTCGTATTCTAAAATGATGGTGATAAGATCTCAATTTACCGCTCTTAAGAATTTTGATAAAACTGTGCCTTATTTGTAAGTGAATTATTGATTTTGAAAAGTTTAATAAACGATGATTGTTTTTCTAAAACTTGTATTTATTTACACAATAAATATGTATTTTGGTGAGGGGTATAACTTGAGTTGTATTATTTAACACATATTTCAAAAAGCCATGATTTTAGCAAAGTGATACAATTCAGCTAAAATATGAAAATATAGGAATGATAAGTAAAAAAATCTCATCTTTGGGGTATATTTATTATTATTTATTATTAGTATATTTATCATTTGTTTGAGCAACATTGCGCTAGGAACATATTCCAATGAGTTATTAGATATTTTTACTTCATGTATATCAAGTTACACAACGACAACTTATAGGTGCAACATAATTTAACTGTACTTGTACCATTTATCACGTAATTTTAGCATGTACTAGAAATAAAAAAGGTACAACTCACAAGTTTTTCAATAATTACTTTAAAACTATAATATTTACCGGAAAAATTTAAATGCACAGTGAAAGTGAATGTTTTATCTACAAAATAAGGTACTCAAGTTTAACCTAGCCCACTTAGAACGCGAACTAGAATTTTTAAATCTTGTTTTTGCTCTCCTGTAAAATGTAGATTTTTGAGTTGTATCACTTTGTTGACATTGTTATCGATACAGAGGCCGAAACTATAGATTTTTTAATTTTTGTATGTCTGTCTGTCTGTTACCACATCACGGAAAAACCACTGAAGGGATTTTGATGAAATTTGGTTTGATAATAGCTGGTTATCCGGGTCAACATGTAGGATACTTTTTATTGCGAGAAAATATCTCATCTCTGAAAAATCGATACTAAACGTTAAAACGTAAGTAGGGACGAACCCGAGCGAAGCGAGGGTGAGTCGCTAGTTAATTATAACTATGTAGTTATAACTTATGGGTGAATCTTGAGAGACTAAATTAACATTGTCTGGAGGGAAAAACTACCTGTTACGTATAAAAATTGTAATCTAAGTATTTTTTGCTGTTAGTTTAATGTTTGATCTACTAGGGGCATGCTAGTTAACGAAGTTAATATAGTTGATAATGTGTGAAAAAAAAATTTAAGCCCTGAAAATTGATTCCCCTGGGTTGTCCCTTTGATATTCATGGAACAAACTATTCATTTTACACCAATGTATAATAGGAAATTTAGGAATTGTGTTGATCTAAACGTTAATGAAAGAGTTGTTAAATAAGTAAATAATTACACAATGTCTAATATTTAACGTAGTTAAAATAAAAAAAAATAGTTTTGGTTTGTCTGAGGTCAAACATACCCTTTGATACCCTTGGCGCGTGATTTATCCACTCGTACATCACTAAACGAATGTCATGGGAGTATAAGCGCGCGCTGTCGGCCAAGCTTAAGTCGCGCTTTAAACATCGTAAGGGTAGGTCGAGCTTCTCATTGCTCAAAACTGGATTTACGAAGGTAAGAATTTGATTCCCTTGGTTTTGTTTCACTAGGTCATTGATTACCCTTCCCACATTTAAAATAGTTTTTTGATAATTTAGGGTTTCTTAACTAGGGTATACAGTACGGAGTAAAGTGTTATTAATTATATATTTTATTACTTCTGGACAAAACATTTCGATTTTTACAAAATCGACGAAAAATGTGCTTTTTTTTTGATTCCATTGGTGTTGATTCCCCCGGTGTTGTACCAGGGTAATGAATTATTTCTTATTTTCTCCTACAAAATCTTTTATTTTAAATTATTATTTAGTAGTTACATTATCAATAAAGTATTTTTGGAGCTCTCGTTGAAGGGAGACTGATGTGATGTAAAAAAATGAAAGTGGTGTCAATTAATTTATTTGTTAGTTTAATGTTACAGGCTTAAATAATGACTCCAAAACAGACAAGAGAAGAAATACTAGAGAAAAAACGACTGCGACTGAGCGACAAAGATTAGAAAAAGTAAAAGTGATCCTGTATTACGAGCAAATCAACAAGAAAAAGAAAGACAAAAATATTTAACCAAAAAGAGTAAAGGAATAATTCTACCAATAGGTGAAATGTCTCCAAGACAACAAAAAATATGATAAAAAGGGACAGAGAAAGTTCAAAACGATATAATCAGAAAAAAAAACTAAAGAAGTTAAAAGAACTTGAAGAACACATAATTATTGAAGACAATGATGATTCTGATATGAACAGTGTCATAATTGAGCTTTTTAAGCGGTTATTAAAACAGTACATGAGTCACTGTGCCAATATTAATTGCCAAAACAACTATATCAAGAACTTGAAATCAAAACTGAAATCAGGAGAATGCATTGTGCACTATGATTTCAGTAAAAACTACAATACTAAATATGCTTCCGAAATTCAGGCTTTTCACTTTGGTAGTTCTCGACAGATACGAGTATCATTACATACCTCTGTCATTTACTAATTACAAAATGGGGAGCTATGTACTAAATCTTTCTGCACTTTAAGTGAATGCTTAAGATACGATGCTGTCGCCATCTGGGAGCATTTGGTTCCTGTGTTAAACTTTGTTAGCGGCAACATTTCTGTACTGGAGACATTGCATTTTATATCAGACTTGCCATCTGCTCAATATAGAAACCGAAAAATGTTCTACGTGATGGCTAAGGTCCACTGGGACTATAAAAGTTTACAGCGTGTAGTTTGGAATTACTCGGAAAAAGGGCATGGCAAAGGAGCTCCTGATAGTATGGGAGGAGTATTAAAAATAGCAGCTGATCGGATTGTTGCTGAAGGGAATGATTTTCCAAATATTGATCTCCTTATTAGTCACCTTCAAATTCAAATATCCGGGGGTATGATAATGGAAGTTCACGAATCTGGCATTTTGAGACGGAACTATTAATTTCCTCTGATTTAAAAGAATTTCGAGGCACCATGACAGTTCATCAAACGATATGGACCTGTAATAATCCTAAGGTCCTAGCCATGAGACACCTTAGCTGTAATTTAGAAAAATGTTCTGAAGAATCAAATTATTGTCCCCATGGACAACATATCGGTTTCTATAATATCCGATGTATAACTTTGGAGAACACTAGTACCCCTAAAACTATGATATCAAAAAAGACCGCAATAAACGAAAATCAGATTGATATTACTGCTAACTCAAGCCCGAACTATCGGCTGGCCGGAACTTCAATCTAGAGTAACCAATTTGAGATTAATAATGTACCATCTGATGACAGCTTGTAGAGTGATGTCCCATCAATGAATGAGAACTTAATCACATCTTCTATGACTAAAGTCGTACTATCCGGTCTCTATAGTGATGAAGATTCAGATTCTTCTGATTATAATATATTTTAGAAAATTGTTTGTTCATTTAGAATTTAAACTCATTTTTTATTTATTTTACATTGTTTATCATATGATCAATGTAAAATAAATGAAAAATGAGTTACATTAAGTTGATTTATTCCGTTGATTTATTTAGATTAACGTTTTTGAGAGTTTTATTTGTTTTTTAGTTATAATTATTATCGTTATTTATTAAGGGTAAAGTCCAAATATTGAAATCAAAAGACTGATTAGTTTAAAATTTAAATAAAACATATAATTCATATAAAATAGCTATAATTTTGACTCCCCTGCCACCTTTTATTGACTCCCCTGCCACCAAAAATTTAAATCACATATATCTTTATAACGAGACTAGTTACAGTGATGCCTATTTGATAAATGTGTTTATAATTATGTTATATTTAAACTTTTGCATGTAAAAGTAAATAATAATTAGATAAAAAATTCGCCAGAGGAATCATCTGAATACGCCCGATTTCAAGATTCACCCTTATACATAGTTTTAATCAGATAAAGTCGATGGAAAAGTAACATAACACCCCAAAAGTTAACCACCCTTGAGGTTTACTACTGCACTCGTGTAGTATTATATTATGATCTGTGCTACTGTTTCGTGATTCTCTTTCTGCAGCTGAAAGGGGATAAGTTTACCTAAGATATTGTAACGAGACTTGAGAGTAGAGTAGGTTTTTCTATTTTGGTCATCTATACATATAATAAAATTGTAACTAAGCCGAATCTGTACATTAAATATTTTTTGGAAAATCTTATTGAAATAGACATTATCGATACAGAGGCCGAATCTATAGTTTTTAGAATTTTTGTCTGTCTGTCTGTTACCGCATCACGGATTAACCACTGGAGGGATTTTGATGAAATTTAGTATGATGATAGCTGGTTATCAGAGTTAACATATAGGATACTTTTTAACGCGGGAAAATATCTCATTTCTGAGAAAGAAATACAAAAACTGCAATGTAAGAGTAAACTAATATGTAAAACCTAATAATTTGGTTTTTGGTCATCTGAACGCGGGCGGAGCCGCGGGCAATGCTAGTTGAATATAAAAAAATAGTTATTTGTTTTTGTTGTTATGTATCTAGGTAAAGGTGTCATAACGGCTTATTACTCATTTGGGTTGCGAGAAGTTTTGTTCTAATAAGTTGATACCTATGTATCCGTAAGAATCTATCAAAAAATAAAGATAATAAATATGTTTCAATTTTTATCATCTAAAATATTGTTGTTTTTAAAAATTTGAATGAAATTTGGCAAATATTATACATATATACGTAATATGTTATATATATAACTTTGTTAACCGTAATCATAAAAATGATCTAGCTCCTCTGAGCGTAGGTAGGTCACTAGTTTATCTTGAATGTTTTCCCCGTTTAATCTTATTATACTTTTTTATTTTAATTGATATTACATAGTTAATATTATAAAACATTTTATTACTCATCTTTATCTTTTAAAAAACATATCTTGCATGCAATACATATTATGGTAAATTGTTTGGTGGAAGGTTTGAAGTGATAATCAATATAATCTAAAAAATCATTTATAATTATTTTTAACATAGCTAGAAAGTCTACGATGGAGTGTAAAATATAAGCAGTACCTTGTAAATTCACATTATTTAAAGCTATGAAAATTTGGCACCGAAATTCAAAAGACTATTTTTGCCAATAATTTAAAGAAATAACTATGCGAGCTTGCTATTCAACCATAGATGGCAGCGACATTAAATAAAATATTATTCTTATTTGATAAAGAATTATAAAAAATAAGTTTAAAAATTATACTATTCCAATTTAAATAGTGTTAACATTTTTTTTATTAAAAATAGTAAGTGTTTATCTTGAATAATTATTTATACTTTTGCTATTTAATAGCAGATGGCAGTAAAGTCACATACTGATACGTAGACTGTAGTGAAAACTAACTTGGACAACTCAGTTAATTTGTGGCATTTATCATTATCATTCGTACTTATTATATGAAGTTTGATTTTTTGTATATATATCGCGGGGATATTGTAAGATCCGTCTGGAAGGGAAATTATAATTTACCTAAAAATGTCCCGTGTTATTGTAAGAAAAGGAGACGCGATTGACAATACTTCGAAATTATAATTTAATAGATCTTACAATTTCCCTGCGACATATACGTGACTTAATTGATAATCTTTGAGTAGTGTTAACTATTTCATCTATCAATTCCGCACCCTTATTAGTTTCAGTCAAAAACTTTTATCTATTAACTCTTTTTTTAAATTTTAGTATTTAGAACTAAAGATTTTTGCAACCTATTTAATTAAATTAGTCGAAGAGCTATTTATAATAATACTGATAAATAATAAAATACTGGTAATTTTTGAAAAGATTTTCGACAGAATCCTTCTGTTTCCTTGTTTGTACTTCGAAATCTTTTCTTGATAATAGCTTCTAGAAGCTTTATCTATTTCTGCGAGAATTATGTATAGGTATTTTAAAAATATTTACCTTTAAATCAAGCGAATTGGTGTAGCTTTGGTGAACATCAGAAAAGAAATACTCTTTTGTTTTTCATACAGCTTTAGAAAGAAATTGAAATATTATATGCGATTTGCGATGCGACCTATTCATAAATGGAAAGTATTTTAAGTTTAGATTGGATAGTTTATAATATATAAATAATATTTATCTCATTAAAATAATACATTGTTTTGTTTTTAAGCAGACAGATTATGTTAACCCTTCATGTACTCATTTTGCTTATTATTATTCAAAATCAATATTATATTAACATAAACGTACCCACTCTTCCAGTTTAAAAATAATATTGTCATGGTAGCAAAATATACACATTAATATTAGGGTTAAGTTTTACTATACCATTAATGAAACGACTAAAATCTTTAATTTTTTTCCATTTATTAGATAACTTTTTAAATCTTATCTAAATCACAAGATCGATAAATTAAACTATCTAAAATCACAAAATGCACTAAAACATGCACACATGTAATATTACATTGATTTTTATACCCGATTTGGTACAATTGTACATTACAATATTGATGTACTAAAGAGAAAGATAGGTACTTTTACAATTAAAATATTGCCTACAAATTGCCTAAGTAGCAGGTAAAAGTATAATTCAGATTAAGGTTTCTTAGATCTGATCTAACACCACCTGCACTATCGCCATAAGCGATCCATTTACCTTACTTATATTTGACATGCGAGGAAATAACTGTATCTACAGCGTTTTATTACTGTTGTTTACAATCCCGTTAGGAAGTTGTTCCGATTATAATATGCATACAAACTATTATCAATTTAATTAAATAACACGATACTTGAAATGTATCTTGAGACTCTGAGAGGGCACGAAATATCGCAAGGGAAAAAATTACTGACAATCAATAAACATTGCATCATATTCGTCTATTGAATACATAATTTAAAATGTAGAGTGTAGACACAAACGTATTTAAAGCTCTTGAATACTTTACATTAATAATATATAAATAACTTTATTTATTTGGAAATGTCTCAGCTTAAGTCACGAAAAACGTAAATATTAATAAAATAGATAATATGGAAGGCATAACAATACTAAAAGTTAATTACGTCATTCAGCACTTTGATCTGTTAAGGTCACTATAAAATGAAGAATAAATATTATGATTGTATAGTATTGGCCGCCATTTTGGTTCGTTCTCGTGATTTGTGCCGCGCGTGACACGTCAGAGCCGGCCATCTCGCTCTCGCATGCTTTCCGCATATAGCACCATTGTAACCCGACACGTTTCTTACACACAGATTTCACAACACGGTCCACACTTTCACAACTAAAATGTTTTGTTTTATTAACATAAATTAAGAATCTACTGATATTTCGTGACACGGTTGTTTCTTCTCTTGCAATCTCCGTACGGCCTCGGCGACGAGGGCCCGCTGTTCCAGTAACCTCTCCACGAGATCCACTGGCTCTTGCTTTCTAATGTAGTACGGTGCAGCTCTCGCCCGAGCCTGCAGGTGTAGCTTTTGCTTGAGTCCTAGCGTGAGCTCCTCGATGGCAGGTAATCTGTTCGAGCTCAGCGGGCGTCCATCCTCCCTGTTTGTGTTACGGCTGTCATATCTTGAGGTCTCTTTCAACATAGCGTTGAGCGCTATTATGAATTAAGTCTAAGAATCACTATTTTCACCGGAGACGCGCAACTGCGTTTGCGAATGTGGAATGAATGAGCGAGTGAGGCGAGTCGACCCCAGTGTAGGAATTGCGGGTCTCCGAGAGGGCGGCGGGGAGGGGTATGACGTAGTCAGTATGCGCAGTCGTGCCGGGCTGTATACAAACAATACGATGGACGTAAATAAACACAAGACTGAGCCGACACGCCTGTAATGTGAACGGTGTTATCTTTGTGTTAGTGGTTCAACTTGTCGATCCACTTGCGCGCATGGGAAGTGGAAAAATCTTTCGACGGCCCTCACATAGATGATATATTTACTCGGTAAACTTATGATTTATCTTTCTGATACCTATCTGGCATGTAATACGGTCATGGCTGAATACAATGATATCTGACCTGTATGTATGTATAATTTATGTTCTTAAAGTGTATCTTGCATAAGAATTGTCTCCCAGAGTTGTCTAGCGCCAAATATTTGACATACTTGAGAGTTTACTTTCTTGCCTTTTAAGCAAATATTATTTTTTCACATTAGTAACTTTTTTGAAAGTTTAACATAATCTTTAAACGTAACATATACAACATTAAAAAATGTTATAGATATAACAAGTACATTGTTATAATATTTTTGACTAGCTTCATCTTAAGAATATATAGTTTATACCGTTTTTCGTTATAATCACTTACTTAAATGGTGCGTAATTTTTTAATCATTGAAAAGTAGTAGATATCTTGTATATATATATAGATTCTGGTTGATATCTGATATCTTTTAATTTGTATCTATAACTATCACCACAACGTACCTACTTATTTACTTATCAAAATTATTGTTAAATATAAAATATCTACCTGTTTAACACTCATAATATAGTCATGGATTATCAAGAGATAAAAAGCAAAAAGAAACATATTTTAGCAGAACTAAATTAGACCATAAGTCAAGGTTATTAAGTCCATATTAATTGTCATCTTAAGCATTGTGCGGCAGTAATTTTGTAAACATGTTATATGTAATGGTGAGGTGGCCGTTTCGCTGAACCGAAACTAAAAACGGACGTTGCCCTCAGTTTTTGTGCGATTTTTTTCCTGCCAATTGAGCTGAGTTCGTTGTTACTTTTGGAGGTATTTTAAAGCACGTGTCACGTTATAGAAATTACCAGAAAATGTAAACAATAATATTTATTTAAATATTTTAATTTTCTTTAATTATTTTAAATTTCATTATTTTCCTTAAAGCATAAGTATTTACATAAATGAAAAAGTTTGAGAATGTAATTGAAACACCCTAAAAAAAATTTTCTAGGTAGATATGAATAAAGTAAGTATGTAAGTACTTATAATGTATACGTATAATAATATTATAGTTTTAAAAACTGAAAAGAACATGCTTTTGATCAACGGTAGAGCATCTTTAAGACGAATTCGCACGTAAGACGTGTAATAAAAAAAAAACTAGACTCAGAGGTTTTATTAGTAAAATTAACAGAATATCAATACTGTCCTATACTGTTGTATCGATATTATGTAGATATATGATAAGAAGAAGGTATGACTTTCAAGATTTGATTAATAGTTAGCTAATAAAACGTATTGAAAATAATATTTTAGACACTAAATAATAATAGAGCTATGTAGATAAATATTTAGTATTTATCTAATGTTATTAACTATTATTACTGTCTAATTTAAGTGTATATTTCATAATTTTATTGAGTCAGTTGTTATCATATTGTCTTCAAATTATTGAAGTAGGTAGTTCCAAGTTTTGTTATATATACTATACTAACTTACATATGTATTTCTTACACATGAAAGATAATGCATAAAATACATATTTTGTAGATAAGTAATGAGGAAAATAAATAAATTCAAAAATAAACTTTAGCCATTATTTTAATAGCTGCTCATGTTTATAGCGATATTTAAATGATTCATTTTACCTATTTGTCACACTTCGTTATTTAATTTATATTACGGATATGTATTTATAATGCATATATTTGTGAAAAAATAAAGATATATAAATGAAAAATGTAATTATAGAGACACAAATTATATGTGGCATAACAAACATACCCCATACATTTTATATTGAGATTCGATGAAAGAATAACTAATTGTAATATAAGTCTACTGAAGTAGATTACTGAGTTTCAAATTTTCTCTTAAATATCTTTAATGACATATTCGCGCAAGTATAAGTAGGTATGTATTTTTAAGGCAGTCAATAAACTGTGCTAGACATATAAAAACAAAACGTTCAACGATAAGCGGCTATCAGAATATGTGTTTGTATATAAATTTTACGTGATCTACTTTATCTTTATAACAAAACTAGTAAAGGCCTTTGGCTTTATCTATATCATTAGACAATTTATATTAAGCTATGTAATAAATAAGCCAATAATTTCGAGTAATTTACGACTGTAGTCACATATGTTGTTTTATTTCTTCAATATAGTATTATCATAATACTTACGTTTATTAAATAATATTACTCTTAGCATACGTAGGTTTTACGATAAATTATTTTAAAACGGTTTCCGCCATGTTGACCTTCGAAAGAAAGATAAGAATATCGACTAATTTTAAAAGCGGCTGAAGCAAGAATTGCGGGCGTAATTTTTATTAAAATCCATTTGGCAATTTAGGCGTAAGCTTACGACATGCAGAGACATCTATTATCGAGTGGACGAAACCTTGCTTAGAAATTTATGTAATTATATAGAGATGGCAGATTTATATAAATCTTAAAAGTATTCGAATTAAATGTTAATGTATAATTTATTCAAATAGGTTTAAAAAAAATGTTTATATATTTAAATACATATCTTTTTTATAACGTAAAAATAATGTTGTTTTTAAGATGTATGGTAATAGAAACCAACCAAAAGTTTACCTTAGTTCTTTGGAGATAGCCTTAATATATGCTATTGCAGACTTTTCTGTAGGTCTTTTTAAGACCTACAATTTTCTAGTAGGTAGGTACATTGTTTTGATATCTCCTTTTTATTAAGGTTTAGCCAGTATTAGCCATGTAAATATATCTAAGGACGTCTCGACTGAACCAGTTATTATATTTTCTCGTGGGAATGAAAGATTTTCCTATAGTAAAAGTTATCCTAAATGATGACCCGAGTAAAGTCGCTACGGAAAATTTAGTTAAAATCGGATCTGTATTTTTTGCGTGAAATACACACAGCCGTACAGATAGAGACAAAAATTTCAATAACTGTTGTCTATAAACCATTATTACATAACAGTAATTGTTTTAAAAAAATATTCCGTGTGTCTACGTTCATCATCAAATCACATTACGCTTTGTTACTACATATATGTATAGATGTCTATATTTTACAAGATAGAATTAATAATCAATACTTAAAAGTCTTATGTCAATAGTATGTATAGCAGAACCCGCGGCATCGCTCGCGCTAAAACTGCAAAAAAATGTCTATAAAAGTAGTTTCATACAAACTTTCATCCCCTATTTAACCCCCTTATAAGATGTGTCGGCGACGGAAAACCTATCTTCGAGTAACGTGTGTATTAATATAGGGACAATGTCATTTTAGCGTATTATGAATAATTGTTGTAAATATGAAATCTCATTCTTATTAGATTTATTATGTTAAAATAAGTTCTAATTAGTGTAATAAGGTTAGTTTAGAGTATTTTTTGCTTATTTGAATCATATAAGACTATTTAACATTAATTTGAAAGGAATAGGTACGTAAGTAAAATGTTAGCATATAATTACGTAACTTGAAAATGAGATTTTTTGTTTCTTGCAATAGCATAATAGTTTATGTTTTAAATAATAGATTTTATTATAAAACTTATAATAAAACAAGAATTAGGTCGATAGGACTATCCGTTCAAAAGTTATAAGGGAAAATGTATAGTAAAAATGTAGCAACCTAGAAATTTAGATATTTTTGTTTTAAGACTTTTTTAATTAATTATTATATATTGAATATTATGTTTTAATATTGTATAAAAGTATGTAAGGCATGTAAATAAATAAAAATGTGTAAGGTGTTTTACTGAAAACATAAAATAAAAGGACTCTCAAGGTTTCGGTTTAGGGAAATTTTACTCGAAAAATGATCTCAAAGTACGCGGCTCTCTGTAAGGTATTAACGGGCCAAATAAAAGGCGAGCCATTTCTCGATTCGAGTCAGTCGCAAGACAGCCACCGAAGAGGCAACAACTAAAAGGAAAAGGAAGAACCGAAACCAAGAGAGAAAAAAGGAAAAATTGTGTTTTTATTTCATCGCCTCTAAGTATAGTCTCCTGTCAACGAAGAAACCCTAGTGGATCGGGACCCAAGCTACGCATTCAGGGGTGCGTGGTGGCGTACATTACCAGCGAACGGACATACTGCCGTGTACGCCAAGAACGTCTGGGAGATTGTCCCAGGTCGACCTCCGGGTACTAGACATACCCTGGTTCTGGTCGTCCGAAACAGTTGGTCCTTCGAGCCGGATCCCTGCTAGAAGAAGTTCAGAAGAAACAGAAGATTGCGTTCAAGATGCCGGTAACCAGGTCGCAGAAGGATGCCCCCTCACGTCCCGGGTCCCGTCCTTCAGATAGGGACGCGACAGATGGAACGTCGGGATCAGAAGGGGTCACGTCAGCGTCGGCGTCATCGACTTCAAAGAAAAGGTTTCAAGATCAGAGAAGACTTGCCCCATGTGTGAGGGTGAACACTTCCTCGTCGGGTGTCAGAAGTTCCTGAAGGCGTCTGTGCAAGATCGATGGGCAATAGTGAAGAAAAGCCGCGTTTGCTTCAAGTGTTTACAAGGGACACATCGGAAGGAGAGCTGCAAGAAGCCGTCGTGCAAGGAATGCAAGAGGTGGCATCATCATCTGCTGCACGTCGAGACAGAGAAAAGTTCCTCGGAAGAACAGAAGAACAAACCACAAGAAGTGGCGAGCATCATGGCATCGGTGAATGCGGTC